AACTCCTACAGCCTCTTTACCCTTTGTGTATTACTCCGCCCACATACAGCCAGCAGAAATCAGACACTGCAGATCTAAAGTTTAAAAGATGCTTGCTCAGCTGTTTAACTGTCAGCTTATGATTTGAATCCAATGTGAAAGAAAGTAGTTCCTCATACAAAAGGGTTTTTGAGACTCTCCATGTTTGATTTTGTTTTTATATACACAATTATGCCGTTAAACTGTTATATAAACGCAATATCACACTCGTAGCAGTGCGATATGGCTGTATATCGGCACTGGTGGGAGGCCACCTTATCGCACTGCTACTTGTGTGATATTGCTCATATAAATATATATGTGTGTGTGTGTGTGTAGGAGCAGTGGCGTAGCGCAAAATGCAGGGGGCCCCCTTCACAGGTTATTGACTGGGCCCACGCCACTGTGTAAGGGTAATTCTTCAACTACGGGCATTTTTTTGTCCTTTGATCATATATCCGAAAATATATATAATTTGGTTCAAATTCCTCTTTCTTTGTCAAACTAACAATAAAACCTACTTTGAAAAATTTTACCAGCTTTCTATTTATATTTTTCATGTTATTCAACCTCCTTTTAGGTGTCAAAATCACTGTTTTCACCTTGTCGCACACTCCGAGTTTTCAACTTTAACAATGAAAATAACATTTTAAGATATTATTTATCTGGTGTCTATTAATGTATCTTAATGAAGCACTAGTGAAATAGTTTAAATATTTTATAGTTATTAATGTGAGACTATTATCAATATTATTTTTTGTACAAAACATAGCTGTCACACAGTATCAGTGTCATTTCCAGCACAACACTGTAATGTCGCTTTAAAAAGTTTGTGTGAAAGACTATTTAGGTGCTTTCTATGACAATGAATAGTGCCATCTGAGAACATCTTCAAGATGGAGGGAATTTACATTTTTATCAACAACACTTGAAGAAAAATCAAGGTAAATATTGCTTGATAAGGAAATACATTTATTCTATGTCATTTCCAAACATGCTGTACCTTCAGAGATGTTTTTAAAAACCAAACAAAATGAAGGTAAATAAGAGTGTTTTGAATACATGAAAGGCTAGCATCAACTCAAAGCTAATCAGTGAAGCTATTTCTCATTTCTTCCACAATAAACTGTTGAAATGTAATTTCCATCAGCACACACATTTTTAAAGAATATTTAAAAGTTCTCATCACACATTAAATGTTTTTTCACAATGTATAAGTTCATGCTCTATTTAATATACAAATTCAGTTTATTTCTAATAAGCTCTTAACCAAATTAATATTAAAGTTTAGAGTGTGACAGGCGTACAATTCAGCAGACAACTAATTTATTTCATTGACAAATCTATAATTATTATATATAATGTGGAAAGATTGGTTAAACTAGATACATAATTGATCTTAGACAATGTTTGACTGCCATAATTTCTTTCAGCCATATCACCCTGCAGCTCAAGACCGGTTACTCACTGAAGCTAAGCAGGGCTGAGCCTGGTTCGTACCTGGATGGGAGACCACATGGGAACACTAGGTTGCTGTTGGAAGTGGTGTTAGTGAGGCCAGCAGGTGGCGCTCAACCTGTGTGAGTACTAATCCCCCAGTGAAAGTAAAGGGGGCACTAAACTGTCAGTGGGTGCCGTCTTTCGGATGAGACGTTAAACCGAGGTCCTGACTCTCTGTGGTCGTTAAAAATTATATGGCACTTCTCGTGAAAGAGCAGGGGTGTAACCCCGGTGTCCTGGCCAAAGTCCCTCTATCGGCCCTTACGATCATGGCCTCCCAATCATCTCATCCATCGAATTGGCTCTATCACTGTCTCTCCACTCAATCAATAGCTGGTGTGTGGGGAGTGGACTGGCGCTGTTGTCCTGTGGCAGCCGTCGCATCATCCAAGTGGATGCTGCACACTGGTGGTGGTGTGGAGAGACCCCCCCTCATGATTGTGAAGCGCTTTGGGTGTACGGCCATACACAATGAATGCGCTATATAAATACACATTACATTACATTTCTTTCATTTTGAAATAAGCTGTATATTTAGATGTGGTGGAATTGACATTTGTTCAGTGCACGATGGAAAAAAAATGTTTCTCTTCTCATCTAAGCTTGTCCTCTTACAGATCTTAAAACTAGACAAATTGTTTAAACTTATGAGGCTGTTACATTCATTTTAAACAATTTTTTTTTTTACTCAACTTCACAAGGCTAAAAGTGCCCATAGTTGAAGAATGGCCTTTAACTGTTAATAGTTCTGCAAATAAAAACAAATGTTTTCATGTTTTTTATTCTAATTTGTAGATTAAGGCTATTATTATGACTATCATTTACTTTACATAGACTTAGTGACAGGCCATAGTGACAGATGGGACGATCTACAGCTTCAGTGAAGAAGGTTTCCCCCTTGTGGGAGTAAAGGGTCTAAGTTTTACTTATGTTAAGCATTTTGCTGTGCATTGTTTTTAGTATTGTTATTTAAAGGATTCATAGATCATGCAAAAATTAACATTGTCATCATTTAAGATAAAACTATTATATATTTCTTATTTCAAACAGAAATCTTTTTTTTTATTAAAGTGACTTTGAACGTTGCATGGTTGTTAATGCCAGAGGGGCTGGTCTGAGTATTTCAGAAACTGCTCATCTGCTGGGATTTTCATGCACAACCATCTCTAGGGTCTACAGAGAATGGTTTGAAATAGTGAAAATATCCAGTGAGCGGCAGTTCTGTGGGCGCAAATGCCTTGTTGATGCCAGAGGTCAGAGGAGAATGGCCAGACTGGTTCCAGCTGATAGAAAGACAACAGTAACTCAAATAAGCACTCGATACAATCGAGGTCTGCAGAAGAGCATCTCTGAACACACAACACATCCAACCTTGAGGCAGATGGGCTACAGCAGCAGAAGACCACACCGGGTGCCGCTCCTGTCAGCTAAGAACAGGAAACTGAGGCTACAATTCACACAGCCTCACCAAAACTGGACAATAGAAGATTGGAGAAACGTTGCCTGCTCTGATGAGTCTCCATTTCTGCTGACACGTTCGGATGGTCGGGTCAGAATTTGGCATCAACAACATGAAAGCATGGATCCATCCTGCCTTGTATCAACGATTCAGGCTGGTGGTGGTGGTGTAATGGTGTGGGGGATATTTTCTTGGCACACTTTGGGTTCATTAATACCAGTTGAACATCGTGGCAACATTACAGCCTACATGAGTATTGTTGCAGACCATGTCCATCCCTTTGTGACCACAGTGTCTCCATCTTCTAATGGCTACTTCCAGCAGAATAATGCACCATGTCATAAAGCGTGAATCATCTCAGACTTGTCTCCTGAACATGACAATGAGTTAACTGTACTCAAATGGCCTCCACAGTCACCAGATCTCAATCCAATAGAGCACCTTTGGGATGTGGTGGAACGGGAGATTCACATATTAGATGATGCGATCATGTCGATATGGAGCAAAATCTCTGAGGAATATTTCCAGCATCTTGTTGAATCTGTATGCCACGAAGAATTAAGGCAGTTCTGAAGGCAAAAGAGGGTCCAACCCGGTTCTAGTAAGGTGTACCTAATAAAGTGGCCAGTACAGTACATCATGCATCAGATATATCTTTTTTTTTTTATGTATATTTCGAATATAAAATTAGACACATTAATTTCTAAACAGACAGCTCCCAAAAGCAGAAAGCGCACTCAAAATAAATTGAGTATAAATCTTTTATTATTTAGATGCAAGTATAATAAACATACTGTACTGTCAGAAGATAAATATTTACAATATTCAGCCTTGCAGTTGTTAGTAGAGAAAGCAGAGTCATTACTCAAATCACTGAATGGAAACTAAAAAAAAGCACATCGTCTAAACTCAGATCATAACACGCGTCACTCTGCCTCGATCCTACAAACGTCAGGGAGGTAATAAATGATTGTCTACTTAAACAAACAGACAACACTTATCATCAGTGGCCAAACAAGAGGAAAGACTTTACCCTTAACGAAATAAAAGAAAAACGATATCAGACATCATCTGCTGTGCTGGTTCATCCACCTCAGAGAAAGCAAAGCTAGTTTTTTTTGTTCTCCGATAAGCCACTGGGTTTCAGGTCTGTCAGAAAAGCTCGATCACCGCAAAATAAAGAGCAATTTACAAACCACACGCTCTGCTCCAGCATGCACATCTCCAGAAACACAATCCCTATGGTGAAACGCATTCATCAGCAGTTACATTAAAGCCAATGAGGAATATCCTGAGGGATCAAATATTACTCCAGCGTCCCCTGTACACATATAAACAGAGTGAACTTTTACATTCAGGGATTATTATTAATATGGGAAACGCTCATCTCCACGAGGAACATTAAAACACAGTCAGTCTACCGTCAACTGTACATTAATGGACAAATATTCTGCTGGCGAAAACACTCAATCCACAACCCGTTTCGATTATACAAGCCTGAAAGCCGAGTCAGATCAGTGTGTGTGTGTGTGTATGTGTGTGTTTATTAAATACGCTACATATGCAATAATACTAATGGAGAAAAGTTATACCGACACAAATCACCGCTGTTTATGAATTCAACTCTTAAAAACACACACAGAGCAAAGGCTTCCGCACGCAAACCCTCACTTTTTTCCATCTCATGAATATTCCAAGCCTTAATGACGCTGAAAAGAGACGTGATTTGTGTAGAATAACCTGCGCAGTCTTTATTATTGGATGCCACAGTTAATATACATACTGAAAAGGCATGTTTAAATCAAAGGATCTCCGTGTGTGAGCTTTAAAAGAGGAAATTGTGGATGTGATCTGGCAACCCACGCAGATGCATCACACCTGCTTGCTTTAAAAGAAAGAAAATAGGGAGGCGTTCGAGAATGGGAACTTAAAATGCTCTGCAATTAAAACGAATGGATACGAAATGCACACACGTACATACTGGTAAAAAGAAGAATGATGTGCCGAGGTCTTTTTTTTTTTTACTTTGCATCTACAGGAACGCTGCCGTGGCCACCCGCCTCTGGAAACGAAAGCTTTGGAGAGGAAGGTGGCGGCGTTTTCAGGGGTTGAATCCACCACTGGAGGCTCATCATTGCCTTTGAAGGAGAATCATCGGAACTGCCTTCAACGTTTCATCCAGAAGAGAGAGGAGAGAGACATCAGAAGTAGATCTGTTTGGCATCTGAGGGATTCTGCTCCATTGGACAATACGGGCATTTAAGCCTGAGAAGAGAGAGAGAGAGAGTACATGTTCAGGAATATTTTAGATTCACATGTCATGTCTTTGTTATTTAAAGGAGACCTATTAAGTAAAAAAATCTCCTCTATAAGGGGTTTAAAACACAGTTGTGTGGCAGCAGTGTGTGAATATAACCGACTTCAAATGATAAATATTAAAGGGTTACGAAACACCAAAACACATTTTTTGAGCTGTTGACAGTCGTATATGTGTCCCACACTGCTAAAAACACTATTAGCACACCTATATTTCACTAAAAAGTGTAAATTGGTTGTTTTTTGCGTTATTTCGAGCAAATTCGTACTTCCGGTTTGAAACAAATTTTTGAAGCTGCGTCACGGCCATGAGATAATAGCGTGTATTCCAGCGTGCAGACTGGACATCTGTGCCAGAGTGAGTCTTATTACGTCTTACAGTGTTATGCATTAATGCATGAGTAAGGCTTGGTTCAAACCAATCAGCGCACTCTATTGTGCAACTTCATTAATATTCATTACTGTCACAGTGTTTAGACGACAGAGACGCCACGTTGTGTTGGCAAAACAAGCGTGAAGTGTTGCTTTTATAGTTTGCTGCAGTGAAGTTTTGTTTTCATTTTCTCTCTGTGAGAGCTCAGCTGGAGTCACGTGTGGATTAACAGTGTACGCGACGCTCGACAACAATAACTTACGTGTCTAAGGAGGATTATTGTTTACCTGAGAGCTGTTCTCATCTGCAGACGCTGAGATCCGGATTCACTTGTAGTCTCCTCTTAATAAAGACGCGGCTCTAGTTGCTGGTGATTGTCCTGTCTCTACAGATTTGGTAAGTGAGCGAGCAGTGCTCTTTGTTTATTCAGTTTGTTCGTATCGAACTAAGTTAACTATTGCACCGAGTGTAAACATGTTAGCACTACAACCAAACTTTAACCTCGTGTAGGATTTTCGCCGTATTTTGTGACCGGAATAACACGCGCGGCTTTCTGACGCTACCTGCTGAGTGCATCTAAGTTTCCGGGAAATGCTGAGTTTTTTTTCTCTCATTCGCCGTGCGGTATCAAACATTGCATGAAAAATACACGCTTAGAGCAGCGCCTCGAATCAAATATCTCGTTTGTCGCGAGGGGCATGAATGAATTCTCTGAATGAAAGAGCCAAACTGCAGTTAAAGTCCACCATTTAATAATTTGGCAAATAATTCGACTACAGATGTCCATGTAAACACAGTCACTTTCTCCCGTGTGTGTGTGTGTGTGTTTTGACTCTGAAACTCAGCGGGTGACACTCCCACACCATCCCACTTTAGTTCCTCCGACACTCCCCCTAAAAAGAGCTGGACACGCCCACTTTTCTGACTTTTTCCAAAGTAGAGGTGTGAAAACACCCTGCTGAAATGAGGGGGTTTCATGGCCCTTTAAATAATTGTATTTTTCATAGTCAAAATTGATAAAAAGAGTCTGCAGAAACTGCTTTGTACGTGCCATCAGAAGGCGAAAGCCCCGCTCACTAGAGACCATCTCTAATAGCACTCTAATTCTCTCACTCCAGAGTGAGGAGCTGTCCGCCATTAAAGTTTTGACCTGCTGAAGATAACGTCAGCGACTAAGAGGATTATAAATGTGGAGTTTTAGGATGATGTATAAGATAAGATCAATAGATAGGATTTTTGAACTGTAAAAACTCACTGGCCACTTTATTAGGTACACCTTACTAATACCAGGTAGGACCTCTTTTGCCTTCAGAACTGCCTTAATCCTTCGTGGCATAGATTCAACAAGATACTGGAAATGTTCCTCAAAGATTTTGCTCCATATTGACATGATAGCATCACACAGTTGCTGCAGATTTGTTGGCTGCACATCCATGATGCAAACCTCCCGTTCCTCCACATCCCAAAGGTGCTCTATTGGATTGTGATCTGGTGACTGTGGAGGCCATCTGAGTACAGTGTACTCATTGTCATGTTCAACAAACCAATCTGAGATGATTCACGCTTTATAACATGATGCGTTAACCTGAGGAAGTGGCCATCAGAAGATGAGTACACTGTAGTCATAAAGGGATGGAGATGGTCAGCAACAATGCTCAGGTAGGCTGTGGCGTTGACACTTGGTACTAAAGGGCCCAAAGAGTGCTAAAAAAATATCCCCCACACCATTACACCACCACCACCAGCCTGAACCATTGATACAAAGCTGAGACTCATCACACCAGGCAGCGTTTCTCCAATCTTCTGTTGTCCAGTTTTGGTGAGCCTGTGTGAATTGTAGCCTCAGTTTCCTGTTCTTAGCTGACAGGAGCGGCACCCGGTGTGGTCTTCTGCTGCTGTAGCCCATCCGCCTCAAGGTTGGACGTGTTGTGTGTTCAGAGATGCTCTTCTGCAGACCTCGGTTGTAACGAGTGATTATTTGAGTTACTGTTGCCTTTCTATCAGCTGGAACCAGTCTGGCCATTCTCCTTTGACCTTTTGCATCAACAAAGCATTTGTGCCCACAGAACTGCAGCTCACTGGATATTTCCTTTTTATCTGACCATTCTCTGTAAACCCTAGAGATGGTTGTGCGTAAGAATGCCAGTAGATCAGCAGTTTCTGAAATACTGAAATACCAACGACCATGCCACATTAAAAGTCACTTAAATCCCCTTTCTTTCACATTCTGATGCTCGGTTTAAACTGCAACAGTTCGTCTTGACCATGTCCACAGGCCTAAATGCAGTTGCTGCCACGTGATTGGCTGATTAGAAATTTTCATCAACAAACAGTTGAACAGGTGTACCTAATAAAGTGGACGGTGAGTGTATAGCGTCTTATAGACAACATGACCATCAGGCATCATTTTTGGGTCAGTTTACCAGCACAGATTAAACTTTAAACGTAATGCAGATATTAAGTACTCTTCAGGTGTGTGTATCTGATGCCTTACTTTCCAGCATTGGTGAGTTTGTTCAGAGCGTCTCTGGATATGACGTGTCCACAGATGAGCTTCATGGGAGGATTGCTCTCTGATGTTTGCTGCCTCAGGATAGGACAGGCGAACACTGAGTGATACCAGCACTTCTTTCCCAGGTCTATTTCAATCTGAAGACACGCACACAAACAGATAAAGCACAGATATTCACCCGTAATTAAATAAGCAGACAAAAAAATCATCTTACCAGTTATAATCAATCTAAACTGCTTTATGTTTCAGTGTTTTATGTTTATAATAAGCATATAGAGCAGTAAAATGCAATTTATTACACGGGCTGTCTGGAATACTCAATTCTGATTTTTAAGTCGTGACATTCCTAGGTATGTTATTCCCAGATAACAACTGCTGAATAAAGCAGACTCATTCAGTTACATCTATATACAATTGAAACCAGAAGAAGTTTACATACAGGCACATAACAATTGAAAAAAAAGTCTGATGGTAAATCATACTGAATGTTTACTATTTTAGGTCCATTAGGATTACCTAAATGATTTACATTTGCTAAATGCCAGAATAATGAGAGAATTTGAGAATTTATTTGTTAATTTCTAGACAGTCAGAAGTTTCCTTGGCATTTTTTAGCTTTGCTTTTAAAATGTATAACTTTGGTCAAATGTTTTGGGTCTCCTTCCACAAGTTTCTCACAATAGTTTGAAAGAATTTTGGCCCATTCCTCCTGACAGAATTGGTGTAACTGAGTCAGATTTGTAGGTAGTCTTGCTCGCACAAGCTTTTACAACTCTGCCCACAAATCTTTTACAGGATTGAGATCAGGGCTTTGTGATGGCCACTCCAGAACATTCACTCTGTTGTCCTTAAAGCACAGTTTTAACTAATTTGGCAGTATGCTTAGGCCCCGTTTACACTAGTGCGTTTTCAAGTTTTGCTACGGTTACGCCATCCGTCCACACTACGCCGGAGTTCTTGAGCGCCGAAAACGGAGCGTTTCGAAAACGCTGGAGAGGCCGTTTTCATTCTGAAACGCTGCTGCTCCGTCTCAGTGTGGATGGGGAAAGACGGAGACATCTGAAAACGGAGGCGGGGCTGCAAACGTTCGCCTATCTGATTGGGGCTTTTCCTCAATATTAAGTAGCCCACACACAGTTCAGGCTCGCATCCTCTCCTTGTAAGTTAAGACTTCGCAAGTTTGATCAGCTGCAGTCTCCCCCTTCTCAGTTGGATATGGAAAACATACCGAGGACACGCGTCAATCTTCAAAGGGAACAGTGTACTTTATAACTTCATTCACATCACCCTGGCTACGTTGTTTCACTTTCTCAACAATAAAATGTAAACATGATTTAAGGAACTGCCTATTTTCTTTTTAATATTAGCAACTTAACAGACAGCAGAAATGTTGAGGCGCCGTGCTGCATATATGAGTGTCATCTTCACTGTGTGGATATTTATAACAAAACGGAGCCGATAACAACTGCCTCCTTTCAATTTCAGTGTAAATACGAAACATCCCTTCTCTTTTGCTGAATATCAGTTTTAATAATCGATAATTATAAAAGTATAACATACAATAAGTTTATACATTGTAGGAAATAAAGGCAAGCGATCAGTCAATGTACCTGGATTAATCATTAACTTATCTTTGCGCTTGACCAAAACATGTTACCCGTAAACAAGTAACTTAATAGATTCCAATGACCAAAGTCAGGGAATTGGCCTATGTCGTTAGATAAAGACAACAACATGAATGAAATATCACGTTTAGCAAATATAGTGAGATTAGATCCAGCGGGAGATGCTTGATGAGCAGTCCGACAAGCAGAGCTCTCATCTGGGTAGAAATGCTGGAGCGCTTGCCCGAGAGTGTGTGTGTGGTCACGTGATGTGCGTTTTCAGCGTTTTGGTGTGGACGGAGAGCAGTTCAGAAACGCTGGGTAAAACGCGAGTGTGGACGCGGATCGTTTTCATTCTACAACGCCGTTTTAAAACTAAAACGCACTAGTGTAAACGGGGCCTTAGGCTCATGGTCTGTTTGGAAGACCCATTTGTGGCCAAGTTTAATTTCCTGGCTGATGTGTTGAGATGTTGCCTCAGTATTTCTACATAATGTTCTTTCTTCATGATGCCATCTATGCTGTGAAGTGGACCAGTCCCTCCTGCAGCAAAACAGCCCCACAACATGATGCTGCCGCCCCCATACTTCACAGTTGGGATGGTGTTGCTTGGCTTGTAAGCTTTCCTCTTTGTCCTCCAAAAGTAACACTGGTCATTATGGCCAAACAGTTCAATCTTAGCTCCATCAGAGCACAGGACACGTCTCCAAGAATTAATCTTTTTCCCAGTGTAATTTAGCAAATTGTAATCTGGCTTTGTTGTTGATTCTGGCTTGTTGGTTTTTCCATGTTGTCACACAAGGAAGCAGTGTGTTCGAGGTTTTACTTAAACACTATTCTACAGTTGTGCCTCCAGTTAACTCAAATGTTGTCAATTAACCAATCAGAAACTTTAGAAACCTTGACACCATCACCTGAGCCTTTTCAGAGGCAGAATAATCTTATTGTATGTCAACTTGACTTTCAAGAAAAGTTCTAACAATTTCTCAAAAAATATCTCTCATTATTCTGCTATTAAGCATAAATGAAAACATTACATAAACATAATGCATTAGTTCATATGGGTTTTGTAGAATAACAGATAAAAGGTTGCCAGATTTTGTCAAATTGGTCAAGTCTTCCTTTCAAACAGTACCTAATTCGCTCCAAATCACTTGTGACAAAATAATGTGCAGGTTAGTTTATACTCCATTCAACTAGTATAGTTTCTGTCAGCTTTGAGTTTTTTGACTGTTTGGCGCCATCTTGTGTCAGAATAACATGCTGATTAGTGTATACTCCATCAGCTGTTCTCCTTTCTGTTAACTTTGTATATTATTAAATAATAAAGAATACATTATGACCCAGAATAATGTTTTGTGGGAAGTAGCCTTGTAATAAGACAGCTAAAATACATCCAGGATGGTTGTTTTCAAAGAAAGATCCTTCAACCATATACAACAGTGCTCCGCTTCACATTGGGCTGCTGGTAAACCTGTCAGACTATTCTGTGATAACAGCCTCCTGGATGAACTTAATTTTCCAAAATACCATTTTAAAATTTAGTAGTATATAATCTACAAATAAATTTTAAAGTGTGTTTTCATTTTCATTTCAATTCATTTTGAAACACTGAAATAACTAAATAAACCAAACAACGTTCCAAATAACTGGTGCATTCCTAATACTAATGTAAAGCTACTCTGTGGCAAGTAAAAGTTTTTCAACAAAACCTTTTAGACGTCCCTCAGAGCACTGAAATAAAAGCACTACAGTGAAAGAGAGAGACTTACTGGCAGCTCATCCTTATGTGTCCAAACCCCGCTGCACTGTCTCTGTTCAATGACCTGCTTGATGTTCATGAGTACAGGAAGTGCCATACAGCCCGACGCAAAACTGATGAAGAGCAAATAAATAAATAAAAATCAGGATTTAGTAATAAAATAATCATTCAGGATTCTACAGTCAATACAAATTCAATGCAACAGTGCCTAAAAAACAGCACTTTAATTGCAATTACTTAATTGCAACATGCCAAATAATTGCAATGAATCATATACATACACATTTACAATAACAGCAAAAAAAGATCACCTATGAAGATTCATGATTATACAATACACTATTTTTATTGTTAAATAATAAATGTATACATAAAAATAAATTTATACTAAATAGAGAATAAACTCATAGATTAAAAAATTATAATCACAATAAATAAAAAAGAATAAACAAAACTACAATAAATATATATATATATATATATATATATATATATATATATATATATATATATATATATATATATATATATATATAATAAATAAACAAAAATACAAATAACAATAAATATAAAAATGACAATGAATAAATATAAAAAATAAACAAAAATACAAATAACAATAAATACAAATAATAATATAAATGACAACAAATAAAATAAATTAAATAAAAAAAATATATATATATATAAATAACAATACATTAAAATACAAATAACAAAAAATATAAATAAAATTAATAAAAATACAACAATATAAAAATACAAATATAAATGACGACAAATAAAATAAATAAAAATACAAATAACAAATTAATATAAATAAAATAAACAAAAATACAAATAACAATAAATATAAATAAAATAATTACAAATACAAAATAATAAATAAACAAATAAAATAAATAAAAATACAAATACAAATACAAATAAATATAAAAAATAAAATAAAAAATAAACAAAACTACAAAATAAATAAAAATACAAACAACAAATATAAATAAAATAAATAAAACAAAAACACAAATAACAATAAACATAAATAAAATAAATAAACAAAATACAAAAAACGATAAATAAATATAAAATAAATAAACAAAATACAAATAACAATAAATATAAATTAAATAAATAAACAAAAAATAAGTAAATATAAATTAAATAAATTACTAAAACAATAAACACAAATACAAACAACAATAAATAAATAAAAAATAAAAAACATCAAATGGATGAGTTATTTTAAATTGATAATTGCCGTTTTTACTGTTTATTTGATCAACTAAATCCAGCCTTAGCTACTATATAAGATTTACCAAAAACATTATGAAGTCATACCAATGTCAAATTTTAAAAAAATAAAAAAATAAAAATACACTGAACAGAAAAGCACTGAATAAGTAAAAAAATTTAGCATTTAAATTTTATAAGTGTGTCTTGAGAGACATGCAATTCGCTCAATCCAAAAGTACTCGTAAGATCAGATGTTGCAGTTGTTTTTCTGACCTGACACTGAGTGGAGACTCTACAGAGAGGCCAAGCAGAGCACAAGCGTCGCGTGTGAAGATGTTACAGATCTCAGCCCACTGGTCCGTCTCCAGAAGACTGCGGTACGGAGAGTTCTCGATCCCATGGCGGAGGTACACAAGACTGCCCATTAAGATCTGAATATCTGAAGAGCAAATAAAGAAATTTCACGTCTGAAAATCTCTGAAAGTGCATTACATAAATCCATTAAAAATATTTAAGTGTCCGTATAATGCTAGTTTATTTGTTTTTGAATTGCATTTGGGGTCTACTAAAATAATTCAACTGTATCTGAATCTTTTCCCAGAGATGGGTTGCGGCTGGAAGGGCATTCGCTGCATAAAAACTTGCTGGATAAGTTGGCGGTTCATTCCACTGTGGCAACCCCGGATTAATGAAGGGACAAAGCCGACAAGAAAATTAATGAATGAATGAAGGTATCTGAATCTCACTTGCAAACAGTTATACAAACAGTAACAATGACATATGTTCACTTTGTGTATTAGATTTTGCGTTAGCAGCAGGAAATAGCCCCTTCAACCAAACAAGGACTGGACAATACAACCTAAAATCAAAACTAAAATCTTGATTAATTGAACACTTTACCTCAATTTTGATTTTTTAATGTTTGATACATTTTTTTTCCTGTCATATTTTTAAGACATTAAGGCCCCCGTTTACACTAATGCGTTTTGGTTTGAAAACGCATATGTTTTGCTACGGTTACGCCATCCATCCATACTACGGCGGCGTTTGAGCGCCGAAAACAGAGCGTTTTGGAAACACTGAAGAGGCCGTTTTCATCCTGAAACGCTGCTGCACCGTCTCAGTGAGGATAGGGAAAACGGAGACACCTGAAAACAGAGGACGGGCAGCCAACAATCGCCTCTCTGATTGGGGCTTTTCCTCAATATTAAGGCCGTACTCACACTAGGTACAGTTGCCTCGAACCGGGCCACAGCACGCTTGTCCCCCCTCCCGTCTCCCCCGACGGCCCGCACTCACACCACAATCGGGCCTCGGCACGCTTACGTCATCGCTGCTGCTCTGTTCAGTGAGAAGCGCTCTCTCACTCAGCAGCACAGTGGAGATTTCTCTAGTTATATAGTTTCAGTCGGTTTGATATGCAGTGACACGCAGTCAAATATTTCGCCAAACAGTCCTTAGGGATGTGGGGACACGCAGTCAGATATTTCGGCGAACAGATCCGCCACTTTTGGCGCTCATAAACAATCATAAAGCCCTCGTGCTGCAGGAATGAGGAGGTCTGCTGAAGGTGCGCAGCTGTGGTGCAGTGAGGAGTTTGCGTCTTTAATAAACTACGGCAGTTTGCGTTCACTGAACAGTAAGAATAATTAATAAATCCATATGAAATAGTCCCTTAAAAGTCACGTCTCGCTTTCAGTTTCGGGCTTTGGTGCATTTTGCACTCACACTACAAACGTACCGCGCCAAAGCCCAAGTGAACCGTGCTCAGGCACACCTCTTCCAACCGGGCCAGGGCCGGCCAAGTTAACTGTGCTTGAGCCTGATTCAGCGCACTCACACTTTTCAAACGATCCGGGAAACGGGCCTGGGCACGGTACCTATGGCATAGTGTGAGTAGGCCCTAAGTAGCCTACACACAGTTAAGCTCTGCATCCTCTCCTTGTAAGTTCAGACTTCGCAAGTTTGATATGGAAAACATACTCCAGAGGACACGTCTGTAAATCTTCAAAGGGAACAGTGTACTTTATAACCTTATTCACATCACATGGCAACATTGTTTCACTTTCTTAATAATAAAATAAAAACATGAAGGAACTGCTATTTTCATTTTAATATTAACAACGTAACTGACAGCAGAAATGTTGAGGCGTTGTGCTGCATATATGAGGATCTTCACTGTATGCATATTCATAACAAAACGGAGCCTATAACACTACTGCCTCCTATCATTTTCAATGAAATTACGAAACATGCCCTCCCTTTCACTGAATATCAGTTTTAATAATCAATAATGGCCATTATAAAAGTATAACGTACAATAAGTTAATATATTATAGGAAATAAAGGCAAGCAATGAGTCCATGTACAGAATGTACAAGGTTAGATTAATCATTAATTTATCTTTGCGCTCAGCCAAAACACGTTACCTGAAAACAAGTAGTAGATTCAAAAGACCAAAGTTGGGGAATATGTTGTTAGATAAAGACAACAAGATGAATTAAATATCACGTTTAACAAATATAGTGAGATTAGATCCAGCAGGAGATCCTTGATGAACACTCTCATCTGGGTAGATAGGCTGCAGCGCATGCCAGTGTGTGTGTGTGTGTGTGTGTGGTCTCGTGATGTGCGTTTTCAGCATTTTGGTGTAGACTGAGAGCTGTTCTGAAACGCTAGTGTGGACGCAGATCATTTTCATTCTAAAATGCCGTGATAAAAATAAAACGCACTAGTGTAAACGGGGTCCAAGACCCTGCATACACCCTGTTGTGGTGAAGGCAGTCTTGTTGAATTGTTTGGCTCACCTCTCTGATGCTGTGAGGCGAAGGGTTGGAAATGTCGAGCGTACTGTAGCGCCTCCTGCTGTTTGCCGATGCCCCCATTGAGCAGGCTGATGAAATACAGTCTGTGCAGCTTAAACTCAAGGGTGCTGTTCAGATCCAGCAGCCGCTGACGGTTTGTCACTGCCCATCTAACATAACCACAAAAGTGAATGACATCCCAATGATTCCTCTTTGTATTGTTCTGTTTATATATCAAACATATCTGTGTAAAAAACATCTATTTTAAAAACAGTGAACTAGAGAGCAGAAGGATGGGACATGTACTCTAAAGCCGGTCTGAGATCTTGTGTTCTTAAAGCCTCTAAAATGCGGTTGAGCTCCAGAAAGGGTTGTTTCATGCTCATGTCGATTACTACACCAGACTCCTGAGAACACAGACCCACAAGACACAAGTCAACATGAACACATTATCAAGAAAAAAGCACTTTCACTTTTGCAGTATTTTCAGGAACGACTGTTATCTGTACCTGGCAGAGGTCTTCTGCAACACTCAGCATGCCCTGTCGATACAGGTGTTCAACGATGGTTTCACTGAGGTATTTCTGCCTCTCTGGAGAGTCCCACACATTCTCAGCAACTACTGCACTCACCTCCGCATCAAAATTCTGCACCAGAGAACGTCACACATTTATCAAAGAGTTCACTTTAAGAATTATTAGTCATGTCAGCAGCACTGGCTATGAACATTGGTCATGCATATTCAATGCAACACTCACAAACATTTGTTTCTCAATTAATAAACATTATATTTAGTACATATTGTGATGTTGGTGGCTGTTTTTTGCCCCACTGACATCCATTACTGTCACATTGTTTGATTGCAAAGCCATGACAGCATATAATCCTGCATTCTTGATTGTTGCTGGTTTTCCCTGTTGGGAGGAGGTGAAATGTGTAATCTTTTTCTGCTAATCAGTTGGTAGCAATTAGCCTTTAGATAGGCCGGTGCAAAAAAATTCTGTTTTTTTATATAAAACAGCAGATTATAGCGTGTGTGCAGGAATACACTTACTATGTTTACTATATCCTGAGAGCTCAGGGGATTATTTTGATGTTTTCAGACATATCAAGATATGTGCGCAAAGGTGTCTCTCACTCTCACACACAATACTTCATATAGAGGGCAGAAAATGTTTTCACACAGCAACTGATGATCAACAGTAAAAATATAAACTTAGACCAACAGGAAAAAATTAGGAACAATCAAGAATGCATAAATATATGCTGTCATGGCTTTGCAATTAAAAAAAATGTCATTATAATGAAGGTCAATGGGGCAAAAACACTCACCAACACAACATAAGCAGGGTTTAATGCTAAGGATTGTTTTTCTACTAGCCCGATCGGGCAAGTGGTTCAGATCTTTTATTATATATATATATATATATATATATATATATATATATATATATATATATATATATATATATATATATATATATATATATATATATATATATATATATATATATGTATATACATATATATATGTATATACATATATATATACAAGACCACCTCATTCAGCCAATTTCGGACCAACTTGATTAGATGCGGATACAAGCTCGATTGCTGGATTCACATAGGCCAAACGATCGGCGCTAACTGGGCAAACGAGACAGGTTTCGAAACTAACGTCTTGCATTCTGTTTGAACGCAATTGGCAAACATTCACAGCCAAATTAAACTTTAGTGACAAGGCAGAACTGGCCCGGTCAGGCCAGTAACCATCCTATGTACTGGCCCGCGCGTCACGCACACTGGCCTCAGGCCATCGGGTAGTCCTTATTGTCGAGCCCTGTAAAAGGAAGTCAATTTGCCCAGAGTGTTTTGTTGAATTTTTGAAAAATTACAAAGCATTTTGCCATAATATGTGTCAGCAAAAATCACTTCATTTGCTGAAACACAGAGAAAGTTGTGGCCAAATTAAGACTCTATCACCCCAGAGTGGATGAAACCATTCTTAACATCACACAGGGGTTAACAGCAGAACTGAAGCTCTTACTCTGTCGATGGCTTTGCCCACTTTGGACACGCTGCCGTGGATGTCCTTGTGTCTGGAGGCAAGCATCTGCACGGTTTCCTTGATCTCCTTACAGCACTGGGCCATGGTTTGATGTAGCACTGAGAGATCTGCATCCTGAACACCTAAAACACAAATCAAACACAGCATCATCATATATTTCTATTTAATGCTATGTCAGCAACAATGGCTATTTTCATAGCAAAACACTTCCTTCATAAATATACAATTAAAAACACATACAAAGCAATACATAAATTAAGATTTCTCGGATTTTAACGACAGGCGGCACGTTGGCTCAGTTGTTAGCACTGTGGCCTCACAGCAAGGTCACTGGTTCAAGTCCCAGTTGGATCAGTTGTCTTTTCAGTGTGGAGTTTGCATGTTCTCCCCGTGTTGACGTGGGTTTCCCCCAGGTGCTCTGGTTTCCCCCACTGTCCAAACACATACGCTATAGGTGAATTGATGGGCCGTAGTGTTGGAGTGTGTGTGAATAAGTGTATGGGTGTTTCCCAGTACTGGGTCGGGGCATCTGCTGTGTAAAACATATGCTGGATTAGTTGGCGGTTCATTCCGCTGTGGCGACACCTGACAAATAAGGGACCAAGCCAAAGGAAAATGAATGAATGAATTTGGAGATAATCCAGCACAGCTCTTTGACCAGGAGCTGAACTCTCCATCTCAATTCAGTATTGGATTACCACAACACGTAGCCTATTCCTACTTTGAGAAAGAGAGAGGAGAACAATGCATCACTGCTTGAATTGACTCTGAATTGGATTAATTAATACACAGACTCAGTGTGGTTTGGGTACATGACAGATATAAATATGAAAAAATAGCATGTGAAAATCATCCGTCAAAAATCACTTGATCAAATCTAGGCAAGGCAAGTTTATTTATATATATTATTTATATATTTCATACACAGTGGCAATTCAAAGTGCTTTACATAAACAGGAATAAAAGAGACAAGTGTAAGAAAATAAAAACAAATAATAAGAATTATAAAATAACTTTAAAAAAATAGATAAAACAGATAAAAATGTGTTAAAACAGGTTACAGGGCTCGAAATTAACTTTTTTACTTGGTAGCACCGGTGCTCCCAACTTCAAATATTTAGGAGCACCAAAAAATTTTTAGGAGCACCAGAAAAAATTTAGGAGCACCCACCAAAAATGAATGAACAGCTGCAAATAGTTTTTAAGGGATTTATTGTATTTTAAAACAACATCAATATGACTGACAAAAACCAGAAACAACTATCTAACTAATGCTGCGCAGACATTGATATTTGTGTGCAATAATTCCAAAATGAATGTCTAATAATTAGGCCATAGAATATTAATGATGATGAAAATGACAATAATAGTAACAATGAATTCCATTTCTCATTATGATACTGCCTTGAATGTGCATGAATGTAGGTTATCTGCTATTAAAAGTCTGTTACTTTATGAAAAATAATTGTATAGTTTGCATCAAACAAAAATGAAGCATTGCAGTAAGAAATATTGATTTTGTACTGCTGTTTTTATATGCACGTCAATTTAATAAATAATATTTCTGCTACAAAACAAACAAAAGATTATAATAAATCATTCAATTCAATGATGAAAGCTGCAAAACAGTGATCAGTAAATAAATATAAAACTAATATACACCTCAAAAAGAATAGACAAAAGAAAGTAAGTAAAGTCTCACTTCTATCACTCTTTAAAAGTTTTGGTTTCAGTTTGTGTCAATTTAAATGTTCAGTCTGAGCTGATCTTCATTTTCTGTGTTAGTGAAAAAGCAGGCGAGTCAGCTGACCCAATTTATGAGCAGGCAGAGCAGGATTCTTGCGATGACAACCGGCGCAATACCGGTCTTTGTTATGAGCCGCAGTTTCAGTGTAAACTTAGTAAAGGCAAGCTTCTTTGGCGATGATATGTTCAGTATTAGATTTTACTTTTAGCGGACATTTGCGCTGAACACGTAGTGAATGCAACGCATGGATATTCGGGCGCCTTCTCCAAGAAGCGCGTACTCGATTGATCTCAGCTGGCGGATCATTATTCACCACGTGACGCGTCATGATCGCTCTTATTTTGCGCCTGGTGGGGTTTGCAAACCTGTGTGCTTTAAGTTTTCACTCTTCAGCCATTTGCATTTCCCGTGCTCATAAAAGCTCCTTCCCTGTCATCTGACAGCGGAATACCTTGAGTGAATGACAGCTAATATGAACCAATATAGCGGCAGGGAAGAGCAATTCAGCATGTTTTTACAAAAAATCAAAAAAGGTCGCACTACAACCATTATCTGCAGTCGCACTAATGCGCCCAAATATATTATGAGGTCGCATAGATTAATTTTCGGGCGCATATGCGACCAAAATGGTCGCAATTTCGAGCCCTGGGTTATAAGATACTAAAAAAGAAAAGAAAAACATAATAGTGAGATATGTCGGACGCAGCACAGTGCTTATTCAGTAAAGGCACAGTTAAACAGATGTGTTTTCAGTCTTGATTTGAAAATGCCTAATGTTGGAGCACATCTGATCAGTTCTGGAAGCTGATTCCAGCAGCGGGGGGCATAGTGGCTGAAAGCTGATTCACCCTGCTTTGACTGAACTCTTGGAATTTCTAGTTTATATGATCCTAAAGATCTGAGTGATCTGTTGGGTTTGTGTTCAGTCAGCATATCTGTAATGTATTGAGCTCCTAGGCCACAGGTGTCAAACTCAGTTCCAAAAGGGCCGCAGCTCTGCACAGTTTATTTCCAACCCCAAGTAAACACACCTGATCAAACTAATTGAGTCCTTCAGGCTTGTTTGAAACCTACAGGTAAGTGTGTTGGAGCAGGGTTGGAACTAAACTGTTCAGGGCTTCGGCCCTTCAGGAATTGAGTTTGACACCCCTGTCCTAGGCCATTTAGTGATTTATAGACCAGTAATAATACTTTAAAATCTATTCTGAATGTAACTGGGAGACAGTTTAAAGACCTGAGGACAGGTGTGATGTGCTCTGATTTCCTGCTTCTGATCAGAATTCTGGCCGCAGCGTTCTGGATGAGCTGCAACTGTCTGACTGTCTTTTTGGGAAGGCCAGTGAGGAGGGCGTTACAGTAATCTACTCTACTGCTGATAAAAGCATGAACAAGTTTCTCTAAGTCTTCAGTGGAAACAAAGCATCTGATTCTTGCGTTGTTTTTGGGATGATAGTATGCTGATTTACTAACTGCTTTGACATGACTATTGAAACTCAGATCTGACTCCAAAGTCACCAAGATTCTTGACCTTATTTTTTTGTCGTTTGACCCTTATAATCTAGACTTAGGGTGCTTTCACACCAACACTTTTGCTTCGGAACGTGTCTCGTTTGCCCAGTTAGCGCGGTTCGTTTGGCATATGTGAACAGGGCAATCGCGCTCTGTTCCGCGCCAAAGTAATCGCTCCGAGATCGCTTGAATGAGGTGGTCTCGGCTCGATTGAAACGAACCCTGGAGCGGTTCGATTACAGTGAGAAAGCGGTCCGATCCGAGCACGGTTATATCACAGTGTTTTATGGATATTTAATAGGCTTACGGCTATATGAAGAGATAATTATCAGCATGGCAGGAAGTTTCGCGAGTCTTCTGATGCCCGCAAAGGAGTGATGATCTCCCGGTAATCTCGCGTCTCCCTCCCAGTCCTCAAATAGGCATCGTCGCGCACCCTTCTCACCCCTCCCCACCGCATCTCTCCTCAGACACGTCGCGCACGCACCCTTTCAATAATCATCAAACCACCACCTCTCCTGACAGCTTAGCGGGACGCTGCAAAATAAACCCTGACACTCTGACCAATGTGAGGAGAGTTTACTCACATGTGACTTGTTTTAGCTCTTTTTTTTTTTTTTTTCGGTAGTCTACAAAACATACCATCGTTATACAATAACTTGCCTAATTACCCTAACCTGCCTAGTTAACCTAATTAACCTAGTTAAACCTTTAAATGTCACTTTAAGCTGTATAGAAGTGTCTTGAAAAATATCAAGTAAAATATTATTTACTGTCATCATGACAAAGATAAAATAACTAGAAAAAAGACAAATTAATAGAAATAAGTTTTTAAAACTATTATGATTAGAAATGTGCTGAAACAATCTTTCCTCCATTAAACAGAAATTGGGGAAAAAAATAAACAGGGGCGCTAATAATACAGGAGGGCTAATAATTCTGACTTCAACTGTATAAATATTTCCCAAATGATGTTTAACAGATTTTTTTTACAGTTTTTCCTTAATATATAAGAAAGAAATAAGTAATAAATAAGAAAGGCTTATTTGTTTTATTTCAGCTAGAATAAAAGCAGGTTAAAATATTTTGAAACCTATTATAATAGCTCGATATTATTAGCCTCCTCAAGCAATATATATTTTTGATTGTCTGCAGAAGAAACTACTGTTATATAATGACTTGCCCATTTACCCTAATTAAGCCTTTGTGTCACTTTAAGCCTGGTTTATACTTCTGCGTCAAGTGACCGGCGTAACCCATGGCGCATGCAATGCACGCAGCTGTGCATTTATACTTCTGCGCGCTGTCTCTGTTGGTCTGCATTAACACTTCTGAAACGCTAATGGGCAGTGAGGTGTAAATGTTCCTCTGTGTCAGAGTTTTTCTCTGCTGTTTTGCTTTTCTGAATATGTACAAGTGGCTCAAACTTGCTCATTTTGAGGCAGAAACCGGCGGACGAGCAACAACTTAAACTATGAGGGAAACACAAAACAAAACTTTCCATCACGAGCTCCTTCACGGGACTCTACACTTGTAAACAATCGCTCCATCGGGCTCGCGTCCAGCTCGCGCCATTTGCACGGCTCTCGGTCTCGCCCAGACTCATCAGCACTACCAAGCCAACCAATCCCAGAGCTTGCGCTACACGTCGTTGCGACGTGCAGTTACAATTTTTGACAGGTGCACGTCAGCGACGTCGACGGCCACGGCGAAGGGCTATGCGTCAGCGCCGTAGCATACGCCGACGTTTGACGCAGAAGTATAAATCAGCCTTTAACCTGAATACTAGCATCTTGAAAAATATCTAGTAAAATATAATGTGCTGTCATCATAGCAAAACTAAAATAAGTTATTAGAAATGAGTTATTAAATCTGTTATGTTTAAACTGTGGTTTAAGCATCTTCACTGTATTTTTTATTTTATTATTGATTAATAATAAAAACAGTCCGCAGCAGCAGGGATATTGCGGCTTTAAGAATAGTGCGGCTCTGATATGGTTTCTCTTTCACGTGTCTTTTGATTCTCAACTTGTTAGTTTATTATACAAATAAGGGGTTAATATGAATTATCACTAAACACCGTGCTCTGACACAAATGTGCATGTATTTGACCATTAAAGTGCACTCATTAAGATGGCGCTAGATGTGTGTGTGTGTGCTCTGCTGTCCGAGGCCACACACACGCTACCTGTCCGAGGCTGAGCATGGCGCGCACACACACCACAGCACGTGCTCTTTTGCGCTTTTAAAAATATGAATGATGCGCATCCCGTGCTGCAAAAGTTACATTACAGCACATGCTTTTAGTCATTTTCAAGTGGAACTGAGCTTTGCACAGCAACACACGTGTACAACTGGAAAGGGGGCGGTATGTGATGGAATAATCGTTTATTTCGATTATCGTTACAAGCCAAAATCGAAATCGGATTTTTGATTAATTGCACAGCCCTACTTTTGATTATTAATGCGTTACTATTAAGTACTGATACAAAATTATATTGTAAAAATTAACTAATAGTCTATATTGAGAAAAAAAAATCTAATTTAGTCTTGGTGTGCAATGAATGAATCATTGAAGTGGATTGAACATGAAACAATTAGGTTGTTGTAAAAAAAAATTATAATAATAAAAACTCTCAATATTGGGTTGTTCCAGCTCATTTTATATAAGCAGTCTAAACAAAAACAGCAAACATCCATTTTTTTATCGTCTTGAACAGAAGTAACTCAAACAGGTTTGAAACAAGTAAAACAGGGGTGTCAAACTCAAGCTGCGTCCCAAATGGCACACTATACACTATGTACTCATGCACTATGTACTTATGCACTTGCACACTCAACAGGAAAGTATATGCATGTAGTGTCGTCCCAAATGGAGCACTAATGTTTTTTTACTAAGCGGAAATTCAAACCGTTTCCCTGATGACGTCTGACGGTTGCCAGATCAGTGAAATAAACGACCGAATTATCAAGTAATACCTGCTTGCCCCTTCCGCTACGTAAGCAAACCTGCGGTCGTTGAGTGCGTGAAGTGTCCATCATTACACACTTTATTTTACCGGCTGAATGAGTGCATCATCTGGGTAATTAAAGTGCACTTATTATTTTTTAGAGTTTTCAGTGTGAACACACTACTCACACTATTTATACTACAAAATGGCGTAGAATAGTGCATAAGTATGCGATTTGGGACGCAGCTTCAGTTCCTGGAGGGCCGCATCCCTGCAGTTTAGTTTCAACCATAGACTGTAAAAGATATGGACGTAGTTTCCGTGACGTCACCCATAGGTTTATGAAGAAAACCAAAAGAGGCTACCAGTAGGCGTGGCCAACCATCGCCATTTTGTTTGCGTGTCATCGCACCAACCGAGGTATACCAAATAAGGGCAAAGAGGCGGAGCGTGAGCAGAGCTACAGACGCATGCTGGCATTCTGCTTAGACAGGCTATCCTATGAGAGAAACGTTTAATACTTCATAACCTGCGACTCGTTTGTGTTCTGACCCCATGTGCTTGGTTGTCTACTATATTAATAAAGTGTTTAGACTTTTAAAAACACTGTTGTAATACATTGAGCCACTAAACATTGTTCTTATGACGTTTTTCAACAGGAGCAAGCATGTAACGCCATGTCTGATTTAATGCTTTGATTAGTGACAGAATCTTTTAATTGTGGGTGAACAATCTTTTTATTCTGATCTACCAAATCCTCACCATAAGCGAGCAGTCGACTCCTCAGCTCACAGACGTTATTTAGGAGTTCGTCCAGCCGTTCCTCTGACTGATGTCCATATGTGACGAACCGGTGCAGCACCTTCTCCAGTTCTCGCTCCACACACGCACACTGCTCCATCAGCACAGCTTACAAACACACACACACACCACGTCCTGCAAAACAACACAACAAAAACATCAACACACACTAATGCAGATCACCAGCAATATAAACTAGGGATGAACTATATATCGTTTGAGCATGATATTGCAATGCATGTTCGCTTTTATTTTTAAAGCTTTAGTTGGTAAATGACCACAGTATATATCTAATTTCTTGGTGTACTACTCAAATGCTTATAATACCAGATCGGCAGATATGCTCTCTTAAAATACCATTTTTCATACAGAGTTGGGTCGATTTGCATTCTCCAAGTATGCTCCATGTGATTTAAGTGAGCTTCAGCATATACTACATGTGGAATCTGTACCATTCATTCATTTATTCATTCGGCTTAGTCTCTTTATTAATCTGGGTTCGCCACAGTAGAATGAACCGCCGACTTATCCAGCACATGTTTTACACAGCAAATGCCCTTCCAGCTGTAACCCATTACTGGGAAACACCCATATAAACTCATTTACACGAAAACTTACTACGGACAATTTAGCTTACCCAATTTACCAATACCACATGTCTTTGAACTTGTGGAGGAATCTGGAGCACCAGGAATCCTACGCTAACATGAGGAGAACATGCAACCTCCACCCAGAAATGCCAACTAACCCAGCCGAGGTTCGAACCAGCGACCTTCTTGCTGTGAGGCGATTGTGCTACCCACTGAGCCATGATGACACCTATCGCTGTATTTAAAAACATTAATTATTATTATAAATTAATTATTGATTATGGTTTATATTATTTTTGTGTGTGCCTTTTGTGCTGATGTGTATTTTCTGTAACTCTGTCCTATGCTGTCTGTCTTAACAAGGACTGACTTGTGGAAGAGATATTCTGTCAATAGGACTTTACTGGTTAAATACGTAAATGAAAAATAATAATATAAAAAATAAAAACAATAGTCACATCACAGAATTAGATCATCTATTAATGATTAAAAGCGAAAACTTTAATAATTGTATAAATTGTTTTTATTGCTAAATGTATACATACAGTTGAAGTCAGAATTATTAGCACCCTGTTTATTTTTTTTCCCAATTTCTGTTTAACAGAAAGAAGATTTCTTCAGCAAATTTCTAAACATAATAGTTTTAATAACTCATCTCTAATAACTGATTTATTTTATCTTTGTCATGATGACAGTAAATATTATTTGACTAGATATTTTTCAAGACACTTCTATACAGCTTAAAGTGACATTTAAAGGCTTAATTAGGTTAATTAGGTTAACTAGACACTAGGCAGGTTAGAGTAATAAGGCAAGTTATTGTATAACAGTGGTTTGTTCTGTAAATAATGGGGGGGGGGGGGGGTAGCTTAAAGGGGCTAATAATTTTAACCCTAAAATGATTTTTTTTTTAAATTTAAATCTGCTTTTATTCTAGCCGAAATAAAACAAATAAGACTTTTTCCAAAATAAAAAATGTTATCAGACATACTGTAAAAATTTCCTTGCTCTGTTAAACATGATTTGGGAAATATTTAAAAAAGAAAAACAATCCAAGGGGGTCTAATAATGCTGACTTCAACTGTATATATTAATTATTTATACAATAATGACCATGTTGTTAAATTTCTATATTTAAAAGCTACTAAACTCTGCAGAAAACCTTAAAGCGCTGTTTATTTCACTTTTCTTTTTGCTTTGTCGTATTTATATACATTTATAATTTATTAATTGTATGCAGATCCATTGCATAGAAAAAGACTTGATCAGCCCAGTTGATCAATATTACTGACTCTTCCCGAATTCAAATCATCTGATAAAAACAATAATTGTATCGCAATATACATCACAGCAAAACAAATATCGCAATGTCACATTTTTCCAATATCATGCAGCCCAAATATAAATTAAAAAAACAGATCTAGAGCCCTATGATTTGCAGAAAATCACTCAACCCAGACCTAAACACAGCATTTAATGTATAAAACGGATTAGGGCTGCACAATATATCATTTCATTTACATCGCATGACCTGCAATGTCAAGTATGGCTATTGTAGATTAATGGCAAAGTTTAACTATTCACTATTAACTATTATTTCTGTCAAACATATCAAGTGAGTTTAAAGCATTCAGGCACACTAAGCAATAGCATTTCTTGCTTCAACATGACACAAATAATTTTTTTATAGTGAAGGCTGCCTAGTGTCATTTTACATTAGATTTTTAAGAATATTTGTTTACAACTGCCATTAATTCTTACCAGACAAATAACGAACCTTTTTCTCTTTGTATATATTTTTTTACCTCTAGAAACCTACTTGAAAGGTAATTTTAATATGCACTCCACTATAAAACTACCCCAAACATTCTGAAATAGTACAGTCTTCACAAAAAGAGTTTTTCAATCCATCAGGTAAAATGTGTTTCATATCGTAATGTATATCGGTTGGGGAAAAAAAAAAGCATTGCAATGTAAATTTTTCCCAATATCATGCAGCCCCGAGACGGATTGTCGCAGAATTTGCCACATTTTGGATGAAATCATTTTTATGACTCATTTATAAAATGTCTGTTCTATACCAAAGTTTCACTAACTGACAAACAAAATGACAGAAATCCAATTTACAGATCTCCAAAAACACACGCCATAAAACAGATTGTATGTTCATATGTGAAAGGAACTTTATGGTTACCTTTAACAAGATTTTTTAGAATTAAATAACAAAATGCACCATCAAATCTGGTTCAAGTTGGTATGATGTAGGTCCAGTACAACTAAGGGTAAATTAAGATTAAATATTATTATGTTATACTATATTGAGGTTTTCTGGGCACCAGTGTGGATGTAAAAATAAATAAATAAAAAATATATTTTTAGGGTTTTTACGTAGGCATGGGCTGATTCTGACGGTATGATAACCTTGGATAAAAAAAATATCACGATTTTACAGTGATATTTAGATTTTTCCGCTTTGAATACAATATATTTTATTTTGAGAAACTTTTAAAAAATTTTAACAGTAAACCTGTCAGGCTGAATAATTCGAATAAATCATTGACTTCTGCTGTCTTTGTTAGTTTCAAAAACACATATTTCTTTACCATTTTCTGCTGGAGATACTGCTGTCCTAAAAAACGTAAATAAAAAAAAAAATCTTACACATACCTTGGGAACAGTATAGCAAAAAATGTTGCCGGTTTTAAAACCTTGACTTTTTCAAACCGCAGTATACCTTGAAAACGATTATGTTTAATGCCTACATTTAAGAAAATCTTTTTTTAATATAATTGGGTTACAATTTCAGTAAAATTTAAATGATAAAAACAAATGTATATTTTAAATACAACAAAAAGTTATAAACTTGCCTTATTTTCAAAGCATTTCAGAAAGTTGTTACAATTAAAGTAAAATACAAAATTTTAGATAAAGAAATATTTGAAACAACAAAAAAAATTTATTAAAATTGTATATATATATAAAAGAAAAGAAAATTGTATATATAAAATTTGAACATTTAAATATTATTTTAATTTTCATTCTCACTGCCACATAATTATTAAATAATCCATAGTTACTGAAAAAGTTGTCCAAAGCCTAGCTCATTTTGTTAACTATTGCTAATATTATACACTTTAAGCACAATTAGCTGATAAATGACCTTTTTCGGCTAAATTTGATGACCAAAGTAAACCTAAAATTATACAATGCTGCTAATTATTCTATTAATAGCAATTACTTATTAATTGTCAGCACATTCTTCGTGAACGCAACAGATATAGCATGATGGAATTTGTCAGCAAATATAATAAATTAATAAAAAATTTGACTTCTAAAAGTGTGATTTTTTGTGGCTAGACATCTGACAGATTTGCTAAATTAATTGAAGGATGATTAAATGACTGAATGAGCACTGATTAAATCAAACTAAATACATTGCAGGGAAGACAAGTTTGCAGCAAGTCAGACAAGACACCAGAGTTAAATAAAACCCCACCAACAATAAAAACAACTAAAAAGTATTTAAAATTAAACTTCCTACATAGAAGACATCCAATATCTGTTGTTTTCCCTAAAATAACTAGATTTCTTATAGGCCATTACTCCAAAAATTGAGCTTTATAGGCCTGATGTTTAAAAATAACCACACTATAGAGACTTGAGTGCTTTGTGCACCACTATCGTTGTCCAAAACTAAGTTTTGATCAAACAAATCAATTTTAACTACAAAATAACCAACCCAGATCGACAAATTAATGTTAATTTCTGCGTTTTAGAAATATAAAAAAACATCCAAAAGCCTCAGTCAGGGTCAGGAGCTATAAAGCCCAAACATTGCAAAATAATGAGCGAAAAGCAGCCAACAACAATTAAAATCCCTTTGTTTTAACTTCTCGAATAAGCCACCGCAGTGACATTTATGTATACCATTAGAAAAGTGATAAAACAATTGAAACTGTGCGCTGGAATGACAAACTATGTGACCAAAACAATCAGTTAGCATGCTAGCATAACCGGGACAAAAATCTAGCCATCACTACGAGTGTAATGGTCGCAAATTCAACACATACACTGACACTTGGGACTGTTTTGAAGGAGGATCACCGTATTGGTGATTTCGAATTAATTTTATGATGTTAAATTAAACGTGTAAATGAAATAAAACAGAATGTTCTTGCCTGTTTGACACCAGTTCACCAGCAGACGTCCCTGAAGCGCTGCAGTGAGCTGTTTATCTGGACTCGGCCGCTCTGCTGCCTGCTGCGGCTTGGAGGTGCATCTGCTTTTACGAAAAACGAGCAAAGCACATTCCCCTTGCAATGGTTAAATGGAAACAAGCATTCCCTTCATTCTTTTTTCCCCCAAAAATCTGGTCAGATATTACAAAATACATAATTCCCAATAAAGTAAAAGAAACTAATTTTAAAATATTACATAGATATTATCAATGCAATGATTTTAGAAGTGCATTTAAGCAAGGTTTTTCACCCTTGTGTTGTTTTTGTAAAATGGAAGCGGAAACAATTCTTCATTTATTTTTCAGTTGCAGTTACACAAAACGGTTTTAGTCCTAAGTTTCCTTTCTACTGTTTGAAGTGTTTTATAAACTGATCAGTATAACTGAGCAAATGGTTTTATTTACGGATTGCAACTCTGGATTACTGGAAATGGACAAAAAATAACTAAAATTCTTATTTTATTTGGAAAGTATCACATCCACAAAACAAACTGTTTGCTGACTGTACCAAATTGTAAACTAGCTATTTTTCATTGATCTAAAACTTTTTTTATGATTCCCTCACTGCTGTACAAAGTAATACCAAAGCTATGAAGACATCTCAACTACTGGAAAAAATACTTCATGTAGACAATTCATTTTTGTTGTTAATTCCATTGTATACTGTTTTATGCATAACTCTGTACACCACTTTTTGATCAATAAAAAAAATAAAATAAAAAAAGCACATTCCCCTGATCATGTTGATTATGGGGGTCTAAACTTTCTTGATTTTTCTTCTATGAATAATACTTTCAAGATAAATTGTTTGAGGCCATTTTTGAATGATCCTGATTCCCTTTGGAATGTAATTCCCAAGTGTATTTTTTCCAAAGTTGGTGGTCTCCCTTTTTTATTAGTATGTAATTATAATGTCTCCATAATTTAATTTATTAAATTATCCAATTTCCATAAGCAAGTATTATTAGCATGGCATTTAATATATAAACACAACTTCAGTCCCCATAGGTAGGCTATTATATCTGGAATAACCATAGTTGTTATAAAAACAAATCTATATTCTTTCCTAATTGGTTTAGGAACAATATTTGCTTAGTTTCTCAACTTTTTAATAATAATGGTGATTTACTCTCTTATTCTGAGTTCTTAAGTCAATCCTGTATTCCTATAACCCCACGAGAGTTTGCCATCGTTATGGACGCAATTCCCAGTGGAGCTATTACCCTTTTAAAAACTCTCTTCATTCTGTTCTCCCTTTTACTTCATTAATTAATGCTTGTATAACAGTGATTGGAAACATTTGTTTCACGCTTTACCCTTCTCTCAGAAATAGAAAGATTCGGCATCATTTCAGAATGAAATAACCTCTATTCCTCATGTCATATTTCACTGGAGTATTTTATTTCCTTTCCCAGAGATGGGTTGCGGCTGGAAGGGCATAAGTTGGTGGTTCATTCCGCCTTGGCGACCCCGGATTAATAAAGGGACTAAGCCGACAAGAAAATTAATGAATTAATATTTTATTTCATGACATTCCTTGGAAGATTGTGTGGTCTTTACCCAACAAATTTCTAATTACAAATAAGGTTAAAGAGGTTTCCTTCAAGTTGCTATCCAGTGAATGTTTATATTTAAAAAAATGCTTCCTGAAAAGGATCTACAAAATTCTCTGGCAAACCCTCTTCTTGTTTTCCACAAGAAGCAGAAATCAAGTCCTGGCTCTCTCTTAACTTCCTCAAGTTAAATAGTTAAAAAAACTGAGGTTTTGCTTGTTGGTACCAAATCAAGAGTCTCCAAAACTGACAGCTTTTCTCTCTCAATTGACGACTGTTCCATTTATCCCTCTGAACAGGTTAAGAGTCTGGCAGTCATCCATGATAGCACCCTATCTTTTGAATCTCACATCAATAACATCACCCGGTCTGCTTGCTTCCACCTACGCAACATTAACTGTCTCCGCCCTTCTCTTACCCCTCATGCCACTGCTGTTCTCGTTCATAGCCTTGTCACATCTCGTTTAGATTACTGCAACTCTCTTCACTTTGGTCTCACTTATAAATCTCTCCGTAAGCTTCAGTTGGTCCAGAACTCAGCTGCCCGTATCATCACCAGAACCCCTTCTTCTCATCACATCACCCCTGTCCTGCAGCAGCTTCATTGGTTACCTGTTCATTTTCCAATTGACTTTAAAATCGTGATGTTAATATTCAAAGACATCCACAATCTCGCCCCTCCATATTTGTCTGCCCTCATCCACATTTCTGTTCCTTCTCGCACCCTGCGATCTTCTTCCTCCCTCCACCTGTCTGTTCCCTCTTCTCGCCTTTCAACTAAGGGCAACAGAGCATTTAGCCGCTCAAAACCCCCAAAAAATCAGACTCAAAACCCACTTATTTAAGATGGCTTTAAATACTTAATTTTATTTGCACTATTGCAGTCTATATTTTATTATTTCTCTTGTTGTTTTATTGCTCTTGTTGATTGTACGGTGTCCTTGAGTTGCTAGAAAGGCGCCTTTAAATAAAATGTATTATTATTATTATTACATTGTTCCTTTTGTAGAATAATAGATTAATCTGTCGATCATCTTTTTTGGGAATGTGCCCATATTAAGATTTTCTGGAAAGAATTCAGTTTATTTATACGTGTCTCTCTTTTATATAATTTTTCTTTGTCATACAAGGATGTTTTATTTGGTTTTTATCATGTTGATAAAGTTAAAGATAAATATTTTCTAATAAATCTGTTAATTTTACCAACTAAATTTTTTATACACAAATGCATTTTTTTGTCCGTAAAGCCCCTTTTTCTTATTTTTAGTAAAGATTTGAAATATTATTTAAATATAATCTCTACCTCCAGCAATGTCAAAGCTTTAAAATAAGTAACACTATGTGAATCTTACAGTATTGTCTCTTTTTTATGATACCCAGATGACTGCATTGTATGTGATCTTGTAAACATCACTGTGACCTTGCTTTAAGGTAGATTTAAAGTGATTTTTGTAATTCATATTTCCCCCTGGCATATTCTTTAGTTTTGTCTTTTTGTTGTTTTGTTCCATTGTCTACTTTAGTTGTCATAGGTTTTGTACCTTTTCTGTAGATTTTTGTATTCTTGTTGAACGTTCTAATAATAAATAAATAAATAAATAAATAAATAAATAAATAAATAAATAAATAAATAAATAAATAAATAAATAAATTCCCCTGATGATGTTGAAGACAAATGCAGTTACGACCTAAAATGTAGTAATAAAAATATAGGAAATATGTTTCAGTCAAAGAAAAGAATCACTCCAGGAAAATGTGTTTGGAATTCCGTAATGGATCAAACTAATTGGATAAAATCTTCACTCTTACATTACAAATTTTGTGTTCACAACAGAGTTAAAGATTTACAGTACATTTAAAAGCGTTACACAATATCTACCCCACAAACGAGATTATATGTAGATTTGTTGCCATCAGAAGATGGAGACACTCTGCTCATAAAGAGATAGACATGGTCAGCAACAATACTCGGGTAAGGAGATGATGCTCAGTTGATATTAAAGAACCCAAAGTGTGCCAAGAAAATATCCCCCACACCATTACACCACAACCAGCAGCCTGAACCATTGATGCAAGGCAGGATGGATCCAGGCTTTAATGTTGTAGAGGCCAAATTCTGACCCGAGCATCCGAATGTGGCAGCAGAAATGGAGACTCATCAGAGCAGGCAACGTTTCTCCAATCTTCTATTGTGCAGTTTTGGTGAGTCTGTGTGAATTGTAGCCTCAGTTTCCTGTTCTTAGCTGACAGGAGTGGCACCCGGTGTGGTCTCCTGCTGCTGTAGCCCATCTGCCTCAAGGTTGGACGTGTTGTGTGTTCAGAGATGCTCTTCTGCAGACCTCGGTTGTAACGAGTGCTTATTTGAGTTAATGTTGCCTTTCTATCAGCTGGAGCCAGTCTGGCCATTCTCCTCTGACCTCTGGCATCAACAAGGTAGGGATGGCTGACGTGAAACTGACGTTTCGACAGTGTCGAGATCCCGAAGCGCAAGTGTTTCAAAACACTGCACCGAAGCATGATCCGAAACATCCAGGTCACGTGACTAAAGTGTTTCGAAACACCTGGTCACGTGACAAAAGCGATTCAAAGCATCGATCATTTCAAAGGCGTTTCAAGACCCGGAGAATCTGCATTTGACTGGCATGATCTTCATTAAGTTTCTGTCCTGTATGGCCTAGTGGGCCGTGCGTGTGCACTATGGTACTGTAATTCAAATTTATTTTGGGTTCGAATCTCGACTAGTACAAATACTCCAAAATCATGATTTTATGTATTTTAATCATGTTACTGTTTTATGATGTAGTCTAGATAGGATACAGCTGCGGATATGCCATCAATTTAGCATTATTTTTGTAACACTGCAAAACAATAATTAATATTTTTACAGTACAGTGATCAGTTTCGGTTTTGGATAGACCTTAATAAAATACAATGGGAAATTTAATTAATAATATAAATAATTATTGTTAACTTCTGGCCACAACTTTATCTGATCTGGCAACAACCCTGTTTTATGAACAAAACAATACAAATTTATTTACAAGGTGTTTATTAGGATGTCAGAGCAATGTTGAAACAAAACGATACAATATCAAAGCATTACCAACTGGTATTAAAGCATTTCAAAACAATTTTGTTAGTCTGGATTTGAACCCATTATTCCCGCATGGTAAGCCCAAACTCTAACCGCTTGACTAAACCATTTGATAATTCACTGCTGAAAAAAGGGGGGTTTGATACCTCAATTTGCTCAACTGTTCTTTGCTGAAGCTGTTTCAGTGCAATACAAATAAAATGACCACTAGGTGTCACCGTAGAGTGGTGTTTCGAAACGTTTCGAAGCTTCGACACATTTGCTTCGATAGTTTGTGTTTCACGAAGCCTCGCTTTGCCCACCACTACAACAAGGTATTTGCTCCCACAGAACTGCCGCTCACAGGATATTTTCTCTTTTTTTGTCCATTCTCTGTAAACCCTAGAGATGGTTGTGCGTTAAAATCTTAGATCAGCAGTTTCTGAAATTCTCAGACCAGCTCGTCTGGCACCAACAACCATGCCACGTTCAAAGTCACTTAAATCAGCTTTCTTCCCCATTCTGATGCTCGGTTTGAACTGCAGATCATCTTGACCATGTCCACATGCCTAAATGCATTGAGTTGCTGCCATGTGATTGGCTGAGTAGAAATGTGCGTTAACAAGCAGTTGGACAGGTGTACCTAATAAAGTACATATATATATATATATATATATATATATATATATATATATATATATATATATATATAAAACAGAATAAATGATTTGTTTATATATGCAAATAAGTCCATGTCTCAGACTTAACACAAACATCACTGAACATTTATTTGAATTGAAACAAAATTAAAAAAACACCACTAGAAGCTGCTTTCTATTGTAAAATTTTACTTATAATATTTATTATGCACAAGGTACAGTACAAAATCATGAGTTTATCATGGCAGCAAACGTTTTGCCCAAATGTCCTCAGGAAACTGTCATCTGCATTTCATCGTCCTCATGGTGTCAGAGAGCGCAGATTCAACAAGCATACAGAAAACACAAAAAACAAGTGGAAAAGATTATACAAGGTCCATAAATACAAAGACACGAAAAGCATGACTGAAAGAAACGCAGCTAAGAAAAGAGAAGTACAAAGTTTTATGATGATTAAAAAAAAAAAAAACTGCTTTTTAAAAAAGCGCCTGAATGATTGGGTTGCAAAAAGAGATACAGAAATAATGAGCATAAGGCCTAAAGGCATTGAAACACATTGAATATCAGTCATGGAAAATTCTCCATTTGCAAAAACAGTTCTTCATTATGAGGCAGTTTCCTCTTCAGTCAGGGATTGTTCCTGGAGCTCAATGATATTTATATTTTTTTACCAACAAAAGGTGCTTTCATCATTTCAGACAATTAAATGATGGAAAATTTAGATTTATAATCTTAAACCCTACTGCAAATTGACACCAAAATATGATAACATGAAGTTGCAGTATGGCTAAGATGTCTATTAATAAAGTAAACATTCATTTTTGGGGGTACATTTGACAAAATATGCTTTTTAAGGGGGGGTTCGGCATCCCTTCAATGTTAATGCACCTATAATCACCAAATATATATGCATGCTAAATATTTCAGCTTGAAATTTGGTACATACCCCCCAAAATGCTGTGTTTAATGTGTATGAATGATGCTTAGGAGTTTTCTTCTGATCTCTACACTGCAAAAAATGGTTTTCTTACTTTGATTTTTTGTCTTGTTTCTAGTCTGAAATATCTAAAAATTCCTAAATCAAGAAGAATTTTACAGACAAGCAAAACATATTGTCTTGTTTTGTGAAATGATATGCCAATATTAAGTGAGTTTTTCCTTAAATCAAGCTAAATAATCTGCCAATGGGGTCAGTAAATTAATCTTACGTCAAAACAAAAAACAAGATTAATTTAATCACCCCATTGGCAGATTATTTAGCTTGATTTAAGGAAAAACTCACTTAATATTGGCATATTATTTCTCAAAACAAGACAATATGTTTTGCTTGTCTATAAAATGCTTCTTGATATAAGAAATTTTAGATATTTAGACTAGAAACAAGACCAAAAAATCTAAGCAAGAAAAGCATTTTTTTTTTTTTGCAGTGTAAAAAGATTGCAAACCATTCAGAGGCACAAAAGATCACAGACACAAATCCAACATGTGAACCCAGAATTTCTCACACATTGAAAATGAGCTATTTCCGATTATAATTTTGAGAAGGTGGTGGAATTGAAAGTGATAGTCCACTCAGAAATGGATCTTGGATCATTTGGTGAGTCAATTAACAGGAAACTTTCATTTTGGAGTGAATTAAAATCCCTCCCTTTAAATACGAGCAGGCCTTGCGCAGCATCCAACGAAGAAGCAGAAACTCATCTTTTCAAAAAGCATGAAGACTCAAAGGCCACGAGAATGGAGGAAAAACAACACAATCACTCCTCTAGACTACTAAAGTTTCTTCAGTCGCTTGCTGACAGCTGAAACAAATGACGAAAACACAAAAGTGCATGATTGAAATCAAGCTGGGAATGTTGTATTTCCTATATTCCTTTTGACTCTTTTTCTTGTTTACAAATCAGTTGTATTAAACTCCTATAACATGTAGACATTGTGTGGACTCACTGACAGACAGACCTGGAGAAATCAGTTCAAGTACTGCAAACTGTGGCGTTTAAAGGGTTAGTTCACCTAAAAATTTTTCATATCCCTTGATTTACTCACCCTCAAGGCATCCTATAGGTGTATATGACTTTCTTCTTTCAGTCCAATGCAATTGAAAATGTTTTATAAACAATCTTATTCTTTTCCAGCTCAACAATGACAACGACTGATCAAAAGAAACCCAATAAAGTGCATCCATTCATAATAAAAAATGCTTCATAAGCTAAATAAACATCTCCTTTAGTGAATCCATGTGTTTTTATAAGAAAACATCAATATTTAAGACTACATAAACAATTTTGTGTAACTTCAGGCGAGTGGCATTCATTAATCTCCTTATTTTGAGATGTATTTTTGGTGCATTAGCGCCTCCAGCTGGACTGGAGTGTGTATTTTAAAATATATTTAGTGCACAGTGTCAAATCCAGTTTCTGGAGGGCCGCAGCTCTGCAGTGTAGCTCCAACCCTGCTCAAACACTTACCTGTAGGTTTCAAACAAGCCTGAAGCACTCAGTTAAGTGTAGGAGTTTGACACCTATGCTTTAGTGCAGTGTTTCTCAACCAAGTTCCTGGAGGACCACCAGCTCTGCACATTTTCCATGTCTCCTTAACCAAACACACCTAATTCGGACCATCAGATCATTAGCAGACTGAAATACTTGTAATGGGTGTGACAGACAAAGGAGACATCTAAAACATGCTGTGCTGGTGGTCCTCCAGGGACATGGTTGAGAAACACTGCGCTAAAGCATAGGTGTCAAATCTAGTTCCTGGAGGGCCAAAGCTCCAGTTTAGTTCCAACCCTAATTAAACACATTTACCTGTAGGTTTCAAACAAGCCTGAATTACTCAACTAGGTGTAAGAGTTTGACACCTATGCTTTAGTGCAGTGTTTCTCAACCACGTTCCTGGAGGACCACCAGCTCTGCACATTTTCCATGTCTCCTTAATCAAACACACCTGATTCAGACCATCAGCTCATTGGCAGAAACTGAAAGACCTGTAATGGGTGTGACAGACAACGGAGACATCTAAAACATGTAGTGCTGGTGGCCCTTCAGGAACGTGGTTGAGAAATACTGCGCTAAAGCATAGGTGTCAAATCTAGTTCCTGGAGGGCCAAAGCTCCACAGTTTAGTTCCAACCCCAGTTAAACACACTTACCTGTAGGTTTCAAACAAGCCCGAAGCACTCAACTAGGAGTAAGAGTTTAACATCTATGCTTAAGTGCAGTGTTTCTCAACCACGTTCCTGGAGGACCACCAGCTCTGCACATTTTCCATGTCTCCTTAATCAAACACACCTGATTCAGATTATCAGCTCATCAGCAGAGACTGAAAGACTTGTAATGGGTGTGACAGACAACGGAGACATCTAAAACATGCAGTGCCGGTGGTCCTCTTGGAACCTGTTTGAGAAACATGGTGTGCATAGTTAAAAGGAACACAAACACAACAAAAAAAGACAAAGAAAACACATTAATGTCCAGCTGGTGGCGCTAATGCACCAATAAGTACACATATAAGGATGGAAGTTGCTGGAAACTACACAAAACAGTCTGCGAAGTTTTAAATATGGATATTTTTCTAAAAAATATGCATAGATTCACTAAATGAGACTTTTATCTAGCCCTTGGATCAATGTGAGGCACTTTTTATGGATGGATGGATGCACTTTTTTTTTTTTTTTTTTTTTAGATTTTATGGACAGCCAATCGTCATTGTCGAGCTGAAAAATCCCAAGTCCAATTGGATTCAACTCAAAGAAGTCATCTAAATCTATAAGATGCCTTGAGCGCCATAAATAATGGAATAATTAAACATTTTTTGCGTGAACTAACCCTTAAAAACCATAATTGTGTGGGATGATGTGTCTAAACCGTTCATAAACGATCAGACTTGTTCATAAAAACTGATAATCATAACCTATATTCAGATTTCCTAAGTAAGACAACAACAGTACGGTCCATGATGCGCCATTTTAAACCCCCGTGAGGTCATCCTTCTGTTCAGGTCAGAGAATGTAAACAATTCCAGGAGGAAAATGTAAAAAGTAAAAGAGCACCAGACACTAATCATTATTATCCAACAAACGGACTGAAGTCAAAATCCCACAGCACCAGATCCGACCCTCTATGAGGATTCTCCAAGAGGACTTGGGTTGAGAAGGCAAGCTCATAGCGAGATCAGTGTATCACAGGTGTTCATCGTTCTCAACCGATGCTTGAACCAATCGGAAAAACAACGGCGGCTGATTTCCCTGCGTGTCGTCAGTCACAGGTCATATCCAGAAGAATCAAGCTCATTTTTCTGCTTCCACCAACTCATCCCATGATGTTTCCTGTTCGTCTCCTTCCACTTCATCCCCATCCTCGGTTCCTACAAAGTCAACATTAACGAAGTCATCCTCATAGTCTTCAAACTCCTCCTCCTCCTCTTCATCCTCCAAACCCATTCCTCTGCAGTCGATTTCTTCTTCATCATCTTCATCATCCACAAGCTCAAGATCTTCTTCTTCTTCTTCTCCTTCTTCAAACACCACCTCTCCGTCACTCATATCTTCCTCCTTGATGTCTTTAGGAGATGATGAAGGTAAAATGTTATCCACCACTTCGTCTCCATACGGGTCTCTTTGGGATTGAAACGCTGGTCTGTTTTGAGCGGGAATGAAGAGCGGTGCTGCGGGTGGAAGTGCAGGCTGGGTTATCCTGCCAGATGCTGACATATTGGGCGCTTGACCTACAATGGATGTACTGGGAACATACTCTCGAATCTCGCCCGGTTCCAGAGGATCTGGGCCGCAGGGGTCGTGTTCGCTGCAGGACAGTTTGCCGTCCAGTTTGGATATGAAGAGCATTCCCTCGCGGTGCTGCTCGCAGTAGGAGTTGGGACACATCTCGCAGTAGGACGCCGCTTCTCTGCCGCACTCATTACACTGATGCCACGGGCACTCCCAGCGACCTGAAAAACACAAGAGAGGATTCAGCTCTAATTAACACATTGTGAAGCAGTGGAGGTGATCAGGTTGCAAATTACAGAGGGGTTTGACTCCCCTAATCAACACTTGATCCCCCTGAAGGACGTCAAAAGGACAGTCTTAGGAGAGAACCCCAGACTTCCCTCTCCCCAGGCACTTCCTCAAGCTCCTAAGCGGGGATCCCGAGGCGTTCCCAGGCCAGCCGAGACACATAGTCCCTCCAGCGTGTCCTGGGTCTTCCCCGAGGCCGTCTCTTGGTGGGACATGCCTGGAACACCTCCCTAGGTAGGCGTCGAGGAAGCATCCGAAACAGATGCCCGAGCCACCTCAGCTGACTTATCTTGATGTGGAGGAGCAGCCGCTCTACTCCGAGCTCCTCCCGGGTGTCAGAGCTCCCCACCATATCCATAAGAGTGCGCCCTGCCACCCTTCGAAGGAAACTCATTTCGGCCGCTTGTAACCGAGATCTTGTCCTTTCGGTCATGACCCGAAGCTCATGACCATAGGTGAGAGTAGGAATGTAGATTGACCGGTAAATCGAGAGTTTTGGCTTTGAGAGCTCAGCTCCTTCTTTACCACAACGGATCGGTACGTTGACCGCATTACTTCTGCAGCTGCACCAATCCGCCTGTCAATCCCACGTTCCATCCTTCCCTCAGTCATGAACAAAACCCAGAGATACTTAAACTCCTCCACCTGGGGCAAGGACTTTCCTCCAATCTGGAAATGGCAAACCACCTTTTCCAGTGGAGCTCCATGGCCTCAGACTTGGAGGTGCTGATTCTCATTACAGCCGTGTCACACTTGGCCGCACACCACTCCAGTGTATGCTGAAGGTCCATGTTCGGTGAAGCAAACAGATCAACGTCTGCGAATACGAGATGAAATCCTGTGGTCCCCAAACCGGATCCCCTCTATCCCAAGGCTGCGCCTTGAAATTCTGTCCATAAAAATTATGAACAGAATTGGTGACAAAGGGCAGCCCTGCCGGAGGTCAACTAGCACTGGAAACAAATCGGACTTATTGCCAGCAATGCGAACCAAACTCCTACTCTGTTCATACAGATCGCCTCTGACCCCATACTCCCTGAGCACCCTCCACAGAATGCCATGAGGGACACGATCAAATGCCTTCTCCAAGTCCACAAGACACATGTGGACTGGTTGAGCATTCTCCCATGAACCCTCGAGCACCCTGGTGAGGATATAGAGCCTGTCCACTGTACCACGGCCCAGACGAAAACCGCATTGTTCCTCCTGGACCCTAGGTTCAACCATTGGCCGGATCCTCCTCTCCAGTACCCTGGCATAGACTTTCCCCGGGAGGCTGAGGAGTGTGATTCCCCTATAGTTGGAGCACACCCTCCGGTCCCCCTTCTTAAAAATGGGGACCACCACCTCAGTTGCCCAGTCCAGAGGTACTGTCCCCGACCTCCATGCAACTAATAAGTTATCTTTTTAAATTTCATTTTTAACCCAACTCTGTTAGTAATGCTCATATTCTTCTCGAATTTGGTATGAAACAACCCAGCGTTTTTCTTTAGAGTGTAAGAATTCTATATACAGTTGAAGTCAAAATAATAAATTTACAATTTTCTTTCTCTATCAAATTGTTCCCAAATGACAGATAAAGGAATTTTTTGCAGTATTTCCTATAATATCGTCTCTTCTGAAGAGTCTTATTTGTTATATTTCAGCTAGAATAAAAGCAGGTTTTAGTTTTTTAAAACTATTTTAAGGTTAATATTATTAGCCCGCTTAAGCAATGTTTGTTTTGCATTGTCAACAGAACAAACCACTGTTATACAATGACTTGCCTAATTTCCCTAACCTTAACCTAATTAAGCCTTTAAATGTCACTTTAAGCTGAATACTAGTATCTTGAAAAATATCTAGTCAAATATTCTGACCGTATAAACCATAAAACGTAAATAATAGATCACCTAATAGTGAGAGTTTTTCCTTATTTACTATTACCAGGGTTCCCGCTCTTTCATAGACACCAGATTCAATCACTTTCAAGGACTTTTTAAAGCCCTATACATTTTAAATCAAATACATTTGTTATTCATACACTGTGGGAAAATATCCATGAAATAGCAGTTTTCCATATTTTGTGATTCATATTTTTATTTACTTATTTATTTATTATTGCTTTTGAATTTCATTATAAGAGCTTGATTTTTCTTCCAACAACTTTTAACCTTGGAAAGTTGGAAAAAGTGACTTTTATGAACATTTGTAATAGTTTGCTTTCCTATATTGTCTGGGTTGGTGTTGTATATTACGCTACAGAAGGCTTGTAATAATGTGCCAGAACATTTTCTATTATTTTACAGACTTCTTTACCTATATATTATTTATTATACATTACGTTATTTACTAAAATGTCAATAAAAGTCACCCTGTTAAACTGTAGTTTAATTTTCAACATCAAAAGTCCACAGAGCAGAGATCAACACAAAGGTTTCATGACCCTTTAAAGCACAAGTGTGAAGCTCAGTTCCTGGAGGGCGGCAGCTCTGCACAGTTTAGTTCCAACCCTGCTCCAACACACTCACCTGTAGGTTTCAAACAAGCCTAAAGGATTCAATTAGTTTGATCAGGTGTGCTTTTAAAGGGTTAGAATTTAACTGTGCAGAGCTGCGGCCCTCCAGGAACTCACACTTTACAATAACGTTCCATTAGTCCATATATTTACTGACACAAAGGAAAATCGAACATGGCTTGATCATATTTGAACATTTACTAATGCATTAGACACCAAGCCAACATGCCTTGGAGGGGAATTATCCTTTCATTATTATATTCACTATGATTTAATGTTAATGTTTGATAGAAAAGTGTGTACCTGCAGGTCTTTTGGACAGATTCAGACAGTCGGCGTGATAGACTTTGGGGCAGCCGGGTTTCTTACAGGACACGATCTGTCCTCCGTCCCCACAGTAGAAACATTCATCCTCTCGCTCCTTGGTGACCTCCGACTGACTCTTGCGCTTGCCTGAAACTTTCCTCCTCAGTTTCCGTGTCTTGTCATCTGATGGTGGCTGATTCTGAACAATCAGAGAGCTTTGTCAGATTACAGGCTTTTCGCGCTGTGTGAATTTTGTTTTTGAAGACTCAAATTATTAGCCCCCCTGTACATTTCCCCCCAATTTTAGCTTAATGGAAAGAGGATTTTTTTCAACTCATTTGTAAACATAATAGTTTTAATAACTCATTTCTAATAACTGATTTAATTTATCTTTGCCATGATGACGGTGCAAAATATTAACTTTATGTTACACTTTATCGCTGTATTTTCCTTTAAAAAGAAGCGTTTAGTAAATCCTACCTTTGGTCTGACTCCCAGGAATCCGCTGCAGTTGGGCGCTCCACATTTACACACGGTTTTCCCGTTACCCAGACACTCCAGGTTATAATTAAACGTGAGTTCAACACCTGAAACAATGCCAACAAAACTATTTCATTAACACTGCATTATATGACCAGAGACATTTGCATTGCTATTTATTCATTCATTCATTCATTCGGATGATTTTCCAGCTGCAACCCATAACTGGGAAACATCCATACGCACTCATTCACACACATACACTAAGGACAAATTAGCCTACCCAATTCACCTGTACCGCATGTCTTTGGACTTGTGGGGGAAACCGGAGCACCCGGAGGAAACCCACGTCAACACGGGGAGAACATGCAAACTCCACACAGAAATGCCAACTGGCCTAGCTGAGGCTCGAACCAGCGACCTTCTTGCTGTGAGGTGAACATGCTACCCACTGCACCACCGCGCAGCCCTGTTATGCTGCTTAATATTATTCTACCTTTTATTATAGCCCTATTTACACATACAGACCTTTCCAGAAGATTACCATAAATTTTCCGGAAAGGCTGTGTGTGAACAGGCCCTTTTTGAAAATACCGGGAAATTCGTTCCGGCTTTTTTCCGGAAAACGAAGTTGTAACATTACCGGTAGTTTGCCGGAATGCTGCGCTGTGTGAATGCAGAAGGAAAATTGCCGGAAAGAGCGCGTGCACGTCTTGAACGTGCTGACGTGAGACGTCTGCTTTAGCCAATCAGAACAGTCAGACGCGTTTACGTCCGCGCGGTTTTTGAGAATAAAAGCCTTTGAATATTTTTCCAGATGCGTTTAGCTGCTAGATGTTAGTCAGATCACGTTTCTATGTTCATACTTAATGCCAACTGTGTAAATAATTATCGTTAAGATGCTTATGATAAGCAGTTGTTTGTTTACCTTCAAGCTCTGCTTCCTTCAGTTGTGTGAAGTGTCGTGTCGCGAGTGCCCGTGAAGGAGCCCGTGAGCGCCAGCACACACACACATATGTAATGTAGTCAAATGTTTACAAATACAGGCCCAGCCGTTTAGAGCTCATTTCTGGTTAATAATGTCAGAATTTACCGGTATTTTGGAATGTATGTGTGAACGGTCTTTTCCGGATAAATTCCGTAATGTCCTCGCCTTTGTGAACAGCGCTTTTTTAAATATACCGGTAAAGTGGTTTCGGATTTTTTCCGGATATTTACCGGTATCACTGTGTGAAAGGGGCTACTGTCTGTAATTTTAGTATCTGTTTGTATTTATATTGTATCTCAGATTTTAATGTTATGTACATAGATACTATAGCTCAGTGGTTCTCAAACTGTGGTACGCGGAGGAATGAAATGTCATGTACATGCATTATATATTTCAAAATTAAAAAAAAATGATGTATATAATATGCCATATATGACATATAGCCTATATTTCTGAGGTAATCTGCCATGTTTTTTTTTTAACTGTGCAGAATCGTAGCTGCTTTATTGAACCTACTACGCTACTGTATTTCAATACTGCTCATTTTGGTGGTACAATTTTTTTCTGAGGTGGTACTTGATGAAAAAAGTTTAAGATCCAGTGCTATAGCTCATTGTATGTACATCTTTTTACATAGTTTTACTCTGTTTCAACATACTCAATGTGGCATGGAATAAAGCAGCATCCTTCAACAATCTCACGTGTGGAAAGAGTTTATCTGTCTGTCTAACTTTGAAAAGAGAGACACTGGAGTGAGGGCAGAACACTGATTTATTTGTTGTCTTATTAATTTTTCATATTTTGTTCAGCTTATTTTGTGTTTAAAAAAATTCAAATTTTTTCCAATCTCTTTATTTTTTTATTTTTTTAAACACAAAATGAGATTGAACAAAAATGTAATAATTAATAATATAATTAATTTCTTGTGGAAAACCCAGCCTCTGCCTCCAGCGGCCCCCTGGTAAATTGAGTTTGAGACCCCTGATCTAAAGGGTTAATGCTGCCAACTGATGATCAACAGTAAAAATTACACAATTTACCAACAAGGAAAACCACCAACAATCAAGAATGCATGATTATATGCTGTCATTTCTTTGCAATCAAAAAATGTCATTATAATGGAAGTCAATGGGGCAAAAACAGCCCCCAACATAACGAAAGGGGAGTAAATTTGAAGAATAAACAAGGGTTCAATCTTGAATCATTCGCTCATTCATTAAAGTACTGAATCCTCTGCTTGAGATTTGTCTTCACCTTTAGGAATATCTTCCAAAGCGAACAGCCCGACTCTGGTGTCTCCGTTCACCGTCCACTTCTGAGTCTCGCAGTTTGGCTGGCAGCTGTGGTTCATGAAACGCGACTCGTTTCCCTTCGGCCCGGCGTCTATAATGCGATCCTGAAAGGACGAGGACACCCAAAGTGAGCAGGGAAGAGTTTACTGAGCAGATCTGGACTGAGGATTGACCACTGACTGACTGACCTTATCCAGTGTGAGCATGTAGAAGTTGCAGATGTCGTTGTCTTGTGCGTTTTTGATTCTGCTTCGACACTCCTCTTCGTCAATGACCTCGCCAACATACTCGTTCACAAAAGCTCCCTGCGGTGAAGCAACAGACTCTTTATTAATAGCCCAACAATACTCAATAAATAAACTAAATTAAGTAAATAATATGATGCAAACACAAAATAGTTAGAAGAGTGTACCCCACACATTTTTTAGTCAAATGACGTAAAAAAACTACATTTTGGAAATCTATGCATGCAATTTTTTTTACAATTTAGCTAAAAACTGAATCATTTACATAACATTTATGAAAATACAGAATTAAATGTGGATCAAAAAATTATCAGAATTTTTTTTTTGGAGGTGCAGTAGGTGATCTGCCAAAATGCTAAACGGATAGTATAATAGGCCCTATTATACACCCGGCGCAATGCGGCGCAAATGTTATTTGCTAGTTTCAGCTTGGCGCAAGTCTCGTTTTGCTGTTTTGCACCACGTTGTTTAAATAGCAAATGCATTAGCGCTCATATGTGCGCCCATAGGCGTTCTGGTCTAAAAAGGAAGGCGTTCTGAGGCGCACTGCTATTTTGAGAAACTATTTAATCTATTTAAATCTATTTATGAAATAGATTTTTCATTAGACCAAAGCAAAGCCGGTCTAAAGTCGAGCGCAGAGTTGCGCCTCGCTTACACACTGCTTAATAGCCTACACACAAGATGTAAAGCAATACGCAAATATCTTTACATATGAAAAAACTAAGATATTAAGGATATATGTAGGATATAATAAGAATAGATATAGGATATAAATATAAAGGATTAAAATATTACAAAACATATTATTTTCTAGCCTACATAAATATGAAAAATCACTGCTTTTATGTCTTCTTCATCTCGGGAGGCTTTTTCAGTTCATTCATAACAATTTGCTTTTGCATAATGTTATTATTATGAGCAGTATTATTTATTATATCCATATTTATATTTGTTTTATTAAAAACAAGTTTAGATTTGCCCACCTGTCAGGTTATAGACAATAAGGGGCACAGCATGTGTTTTAGGATACAACTCAGGTTTTTGAGCACACTTCATTATTATTGTTCATTTATTCATTTGCTGGAAATTAGAACTGAATTTAGAAATAGTTTTGAAACAAATATTTGCCCTTAACAAACAAAATTAATTATTTTTGGCTAATTGATGTCTGTGCGTACAAGGTTTCCCTATCCAAGAGCGAAAGTGAAAGTAGATCATTTATTTCTCATTCTCACAATGTTTTTTGTTAACTGTTTGCTTGTGAAATGCTCAGTTTTTCCACTTAGACTTACTTCACGTCCTGTAAATAGCAAATGCGCTTATGACGCGACGCAACTGGCTCTTAAAGGGAATGGGAGATGAGACTCTGATTGGTTTATTCTCAAAACACACCTATAACTCATTAAGAAAATAAACTCAACCCTTTTATGGACCATCAAAATAGAGCCCAATATCTTTGAAACACAGTCCATCCCTTGCTGTCCATAGCCATGCCTTTTGAAATATGAACACGTGCACCTTAAAGGGCACATAGGTTAACCCTTTTTTCATATTTAATATAAGTCTTTTGTGTCCCCAGAATGTGTCTGTAAAGTTTCAGCTCAAAACACTCATCAGATTATTTATTATAGCTGTTTAAAGTGTCTGTATTATAGCTGGGACAAGGTTGTTGCTCTTTTTTTTGCACTGGACATTTAAGGCTTACAGGAGAAACTGTATAAAATGTATGAACTATAACAGGTCAAAAATAAAAAGATCAGCAAATACCTTCTTGATGTCGGATATGCTGCGCAGACCCCATCCGCGTGATAGAGTCCTGAAGATCTCCACCTCTGTGTACTGGCGTTTGGTGAAGCTCTGGTTCTGACAGCGCTCTCCTGCGGGACACACTTGCGAATGACACTCGTACAGCAGCATGCGGTTGATGCACTCCGAGTCGATGCCGCACGGGTTCTCATCAGTGGCTTTACAGTTGCAGCGTGGGATTTCAGACAGATCCGCCGTGATGATCAGCACCTTCCCTATTTGTTTGTTCACCTGAGGGAAAATGTATACGTTTGCATGAGAGATGGCACATTTTAAAGCATGCCCATAGCCAGGGCGGGTTCGGGTGGTTCAAACAAACCACCCCGCCACGGCCAAAAGGTCCAGAATTTGTCCTTTTAATTATTTTATGTAATTTAATATTATATAATATATTTATTATTTAATTAATATAATGTATATATTAATATATATTGCAATAGTGTAATTTTAAATAACTCTCGCCAGTAATTCAAATCCCATAGAGCCTCAAAGCTACAACAATGTGACGTGAGTCACGTGACATAACCCACCAAATATTTGATGCAACATCCATACTGAGTAGCGCAGTGGGTCGAAAGGAGCAAGAAGGCAGAAAAGGCAGGCAGCGTCGTCATTATCGCAAAATAATAAACATGTTTAAAAAGACTGCCAAACAGGTAAAGTTACTTCCTAACAGATGAAAACCTGCCCCTATCCATGAGGTTCTAGGCTAAAGGCTGATTTATACTTCTGCGTCAAACGCCGGCGTATGCTATGGCGCTGACGCATAGCCCTTCGCCGTGGCTGTCAGCGTCACTGACGTGCACCTCTTAAAAAATGTAACTACACCTCGCAACGACGCATAGCGCAAGCTCTGTGATTGGTCGGCTTGGTAGCGCTGACGAGTCTGGGGGGATCGAGAGCCGCGCGAATGGCGCGAGCGATTGTTTACAAGTGTTGAGTCCCGCGAAGGAGCTCCGGATGGAAAGTTTTGTTCGGTGTTTATTAGGGATGTAACGGTATTGTAAATACCGTCATACCGCAATATTAATTTTTTTCGATATTACCGTAGTCGCATGACTCGGTAAAACTATAGGTCTTCTGAGAAAATTTGCTCAGGTGAATGAAGCGAACGGGAGGTACCGGAAACTACAATTCCCATCAGCCCAGGCTTGGCCATAATCCCTTGCGGTCTGTTGTCGCTACAGATCCAGTAATGCGGAAATGGAGTGTGCTGCTAGAAGCGGGGATCAAAAAGAGCTGGAAAACCCTAAAGCGGGTGTTGTCGCCGCGCGCGTACTGAATAGCGGTGTTGTCGCGCAAGTTCTTATCAGCTGTGTTGTCGCACGAGTTCTTATCAGCTGTGTTGTCGCGCGCGTACTGAATAGCCGTGTTGTCGCGCGAGTTCTTATCAGCTGTGTTGTCGCGCGCGTACTGAATAGCCGTGTTGTCGCGCGAGTTCTTATCAGCTGTGTTGTCGCGCGCGTACTTAATAGCCGTGTTGTCGCGCGAGTTCTTATCAGCTGTGTTGTCGCGCACGTACTGAATAGCGGTGTTGTCGCGCGAGTTCTTATCAGCTGTGTTGTCGCGCGCGTACTTAATAGCCGTGTTGTCGCGCGAGTTCTTATCAGCTGTGTTGTCGCGCGCGTACTGAATAGCGGTGTTGTCGCACGAGTTCTTATCAGCTGTGCTGTCGCGCGAGTTATCAGCTGTGTTGTCGCGCGCGTACTGTAAAGCGGGGACGGAGGGTATGTCGCAACGCGGGGGCACTTTTGATCATTTTGGAAGGGAACTTTCTATCCAAGACTAAAAAGGGCATGTGCACTGCACAGGTTGAGCACTGTGTGTGCACGTGCCTGCAAGTTGGGGAATACGACTAATCAGTCATGGGGACTGCAGAAACACAGCACACTGTTCAGATTGATGCAGACATGAGATCTCTATCTTACTCATGGTTTGTCCTCTCAAGTGGGGGAAAGACAATGCACAACGTTACCCACTGCTGTCAACCTGGGCCAAGTCATATCTCTCTTGTCCCAGAAACCTCAGTCCCAAATGAGAGGGTTTTTTTCTGTTGCAGGGGACATTGTAAATGCCCAGAGATACCAGCTTTTACCAGATTATATTTATATGATAATTTTCCTTTAAACCCGTCTCTATCTAAGTGAGTGAGTGATTAAATGTTGAATGTGATGAGTTTTCAACAATACTAAATTGAAACTTTATTTTTTTACATGGTTTAATATTTTTTTGTTATTAAAATTGAAGTTCCTGTTTCAAAGCTTACAGATAGATGGCTAATTTGTATGTCATTGACACTTTTGGCACTTTTTTGGAGTATTTTCATAAGTTTTGTTTTTTCCTGTAAATGATTCAATAAATACCGTACCGTGACATTCATACCGAGGTATTACCGTACCGTGAAATTCTGATACCGTTACATCACTAGTGTTTACCTCATAGTTAAAGTTGTTGCACGTCCGCCGGTTCCTGCCTCAAAATGAGCGAGTTTGAGTCACTTGTACATCCCGGAAGTGTTCAGGAAAAGCAAAACAGCAGCGAAGAAACTCGACACAGAGGAACATTTACACCTCACTGCCAACTAGCGTTTCGGAAGTGTTAATGCAGACCAACAGAGACAGCGCGCAGAAGTATAAATGCACAGCTGCGCGCGTTGCCTGCGCCGTGAGTTACGCCGGTCACTTGACGCAGAAGTATAAACCAGGCTTAACTGGCTGCATTAGCCGGGACGTCCTGTATATTTATTGACTTGTCCAGTACATGACCTCGCTAACACTATTTTTGCCATTATTTTTATTAAATAACTGTCCGACGTAGGCTTTAATGGCAAGCAGAGTCCTCAGCCGTCAGATTTATACTTTTTTTAAATAAATGTGTTGGTCAGCGCAATAGTCTAGGGGTTAGCGCGCCGAAATATGGTGCAGTAGCACAACAGGGCATCCCGAGTTCGAATCCCAGCTCAAGGACATTTCTCTACCCCTTTCTCTCTCTCCAACTTCGCTTGCTTTCTCAATACTGTCCAATCTAATAAAGGCAAAAAGGCCTTAAAATAAATGAATAAAAAAATTTGTTAAATGGATGTTAATCATTACCTTGATGTGTTTGTATGGAGGAGGTTTCTTGTCATTCTTTCGGTCTTCTTGTAGTTGCCTCATCTCCTTCTCCTTCAGCAGTTCTCTGAATCTATCAGCCGCTTCATTTAAAGCTGAGACAAAGACAAAAACAGACTCTTTAAAGCTATTTGCTCTCTGTATATTATAGTGATCCACACTTTGAAAAATAATCCATAAATGCTGCATCAGAAAGGCTCTAAACACTTTTGCTTTCTCATTGTTTTGTATTGAATCCTGTATTTACCAAGTAAATTGTGACTTTTTATTTAGCTTTTTTAAATCAGAATTAAATAATTTTGCAATTCTGAAAAAAAATAATAATAAAAAATCTGAATTTCAAATTAAAATAGGATTTTAATAAACTTCTTGCAATTCTAAAAGCAAAGGATGCACTTGCAACTGTATTTTTATTGTTTACTGTATTTAATTATTATTATTTTTTTTTAAATCGCTAATATTTTTTTTTCCTTTTTCAAAACAGTTCAGAACAAAACAGAACATCAATAAAAGAAAAATTATAATTTTTAAAGGAAACAAAGAAGACAATACAAGTGCCAAAGGTCACCAATACAGTTTTAATTACATTCGTATTTATGGTTGATAAAATGTTGCTGTAGAAAATGTTGTTAAGGGTTAACAGGCTCCAAATATATTTAAAATAAATGCACCACAATAAAATTAATATAGTACATTTTTTCTTAACCATTTACCTAGGGGTGTCAAAATTAATTGTTTCTTCGGTGCTCCGCGATGCGGACAATTCGGTATGGGTTTAGTAATAATCATAACCGGTTATTATGTACTGACGTCATTTATCTCCTATGCGCTCTGTCGCGAGGGAGGTGAGGGCGAGTATTTACAACACTCAGGAGCCAACTCTGGGCCAGCCCGTGGCATAGGCACCATAAGCAAATGCTAAGGACACTGTATATCCAGGGGGGCGCCAGAAATGAGCGCGGTTCAGTTGTTTTTGTTTTCGATATTCTTGACACACATTCAGTTATAGACGGCAATAACTCAAAAACCTCCTACCCTAAATAGATCTAAAGTGAGTTTCCTACAAAAAGACAAAGCTGGTTATGTTTCACAGCTGTCTTTCTTGTTTTTTTCGCTCGACATTACGAGCACTGCTCCGTTTGAGCCCTCGCAATATGTGTTTAGCCGGGAGAGCTCGCACTGAGTGGAGTTCTCAGTAAGGGACCGTCGGAAAAGTGCTTCTTTTTTTTCGTTTTTCTGCACCGCTCTGTGCGAGCTCTCCCTGTTGCGAGGGCTTAAGTGTGTGTGTTTGTGTGTGTGTTTGAATGAGAGACAGTGTGGTACTGTGTGTTTATACAGACAGCTTTTTAAAGCCTCCCCCCTAAAATATAACACTGTATATGGAAAGCATCGTCAATGCACCAAGATATCGAATTGAACCGAATCGAAGGCATGATAATCGTAACCGAACCGAACCGTGAGACCAGTATAGGTTCACACCTCTACATGAACCCCAGTATGCAGACATTTTATAGGCTTGTTGGCTTAAGCTCAAATGTCAGTACTTCCATGTCATACACCTCTTTTACAATAGCATGCCATTCACCTACAGATGGAGGATCCTCCTTGAGCCATTTCTTTGTAATTGCCTTTCTGCTAGTTATTAGTAGTGTGTTAAGAAGTATGCATCATTTTTTTTGGTATTTCTGAAGAGTAAATTGCCAGGTACATAGTTTTAAAATTACACTGCAACTTTGTTTTGGATAACTGCGAGATTAGAGGCTTTTATGTGCAATGAGTCTCACAATTCAACCTTTTTTTTCAGTCAGAACTGAGACAAATCCACAAATGCACATAAAGAAAATGCAAAACTGCTATTCCACAAACTAACTAAATTACAACCTTTAGCAGCAAGAAATAAACTTCTATTTAAAAGAAGAAATGTCCACATTGCAACTTGCAGAAACGAGATATAATAGTGTCAAGATACATCCGATATCTAACAGATTACAAAAGGATCCAACTGTTAGTCTGAACTAACTTCAAGTCATACATTACTACTGCTACAAAATCTAATTTATATACATTAAAATGCTCTTACTGACTGTGATATAGGATGTTTTATAATATAAAGCTACCTTTCTTATAGACGGCATCTGCACCCTTTCCCATCTTCTCCTTATTGTTGGCGTCTCCTTCCATATAGGGGAAACATCGAGCCTGATACGTCCACACGTAGTCTTTAGAGCCGAAGAAGTGCACGGGAAACTCTCCGACCTCGTGTTTCATGCGGGAGATGTTTTCAGGAACGCTTTTGGGTTGCGTGACTTCAGCGGGCCACCATCTGCCAGAAAACACAGCGGACAAACACACATCAACACTGCACAGGGTCTACAGCAGGGGTCTCAAACTCAATTTACCTGGGGGCCGCAGGAGGCAAAGTCTGGGTGAGGCTGGGCCGCATAAGGGATTTCACAAAAAAAAAAAGTCCTCAATTGTCATTATTAACAGTTTTAATTATTTCTTCTAAACATGAAGTGTCCTTAACATTAATAGAATATTGAGTGAAGATGATGAACAGTTCTTCTGAACATGGCATCTTTTGCCTACTCCTTGCTGCCAGAGACTTGACAGCGCTTCTTCTCACAAATCTGAACCACATTTGGCTTTAGAGCGGAAGCAGTTGAGACCCTCAGTATGGCTTGAAGATGATCATCATTAAGTCTAGACCTGTACTTTGACTTATTGAAGTTCAAGGTGGAGAATAACTTCTCACACAAATATGTGCTCCCAAAAGGCCAAGTCCTAGGGAAAAAAGTGGGGGAACTCACTCAAAACTTCCATTCCCTCACCTAAAAAAAACGCGTATATATGTATAAATAAAACACCCCCACCCCACCCCACCCCAGTCACATCAGTCTGTACCAGTCTGTATCTACCTATAATATATATAAGATGCAGGCTGTAGCTAGGTAGCTAAGAGGCAGGCAGGGGCGGGAACAGCTTACCTTGGTTCTGGCCGGCGCGAGTTCCCTCATAACACTTCCCGCCCGTCACAGCGTCTAACAAAGGGGCGGGGTGCGTGGTGACGTCACCGGCATCCCCGCCCCTTTGTTTACACGGCGAGCGGGGAATGCCAATGACCGCTGTGTACGGATAGAATCAGCGGAGCAGGGAGCACTCTCTCTCCCCGCTCCGCTGATTCTGTCAGTGTACAGCGGTCGGCGCGGGCCACAAAATATTGCACTGAGGGCCGCAAATGGCCCGCGGGCCGCGAGTTTGAGACCCCTGGTCTACAGTGTAATTCAAATACAAATGCACAGACAACTGCAATAAAATATCCAGATATTGATTTTTTTTTATATTTGTGCAGCTTTGATGTGGAAAAAGTCCTGATGAAACACACCTGTATCGTCCCACTTTGACCCACAGTATGTCCTTGTAATGGGGCTTCTTTCCTGCTCGACAGTCGTTGCAGAACCAGCTGCCTTGTGGCATCTCAATATTCAGACACTCTCTGTGAAAGGCAGCAGGGCAAGATTCACAGCACAGCAGACTCCCGCCTGTTAATGGCAAGATAAACCCTAGTAAAACATTTGCTTTCCTCATGATTCAATATGACTAAGATATTCAATATGAGTATGAATCTATAATGAACTGAGAATGAATAAAACTTGCATTTATCAAGCATGGGGAAACATTTACTAATGCATTTTTTAAATCTAAAGTCGTGCTTGTTATTTCAGGAATAAAGTGCATCCCAACATGAAGCAGAGGAGCGTTATAAGCCTTATTCTGCAAAAACAACCATCCTGGATGTATTTTATAATGCTTATTGCATGGCTAAATGACACAAAACATGAAAATAGACACAAGATGGCGCCAAATACAGTAATAAAACTGTGGATGTAGGAATATTGATGTGGAACATGTTCACTCACAGCGAATTGTAGTACCAGGATGAGCGGGTGTTATTCAGCAGTTGTTATCTGAGAATAACATACACAACTGGCCAATCAGCATATTCTACACTCAATGGCCACTTTATTAGGTACACCTGTCTCATTTTTTTTTTTTGTTAACGCAAATTTCTATTCAGTCAATCACGTGCCAGCAACTCAATGCATTTAGGCATGCAGACATGGTCAAGACGATCTGCTGCAGTTCAAACCGAGCATCAGAATGGGGAAGAAAGGGGATTTAAGTGACTTTGAACGTGGCATGGTTGTTGGTGCCAGACGGGCTGGTCTGAGTATTTCAGAAACTGCTGTTCTACTGGGATTTTCATGCACAACCATCTCTAGGGTTTACAGAGAATGGTCTGAAAAAGTGAAAACATCCAGTGAGCGGCAGTTCTGTGGGCGCAAATGCCTTGATGATGCCAAAAGTCAGAGGAGAACGGCCAGACTGGCTCCAGCTGATAGAAAGGCGAATAAGTACTCGATATAACCGAGGTCTGCAGAGGAGCATCTCTGAACACACAACACATCCAACCTTGGGGCAGATGGGCTACAGCAGCAGAAGACCACACCGGGTGCCGCTCCTGTCAGCTAAGAACAGGAAACTGAGGCTACAATTCACACAGGCTCACCAAAACTGGACAATAGAAGATTGGAGAAACGTTGCCTGCTCTGATGAGTCTCCATTTCTGCCGGGACATTGGTATGGGAGGATCAGAATTTGGCATCAACAACATGAAAGCATGAATCCATTCTGCGTTTTTTTCAGCGGTTCAGGCTGGTGGTGGTGGTGTAATGGTGTGGGGATTTTTTCTTGGCACACTTTGGGCCCATTAGTACCAATTGAGCATCGTGTCAACGCCACAGCCTACCAGAGTATTGTTGCTGACCATGTCCGTCCCTTTATGACCACAGTGTACCCATCTTCTGATGGCGGCTTCCAGCATGATAGCGCACCATGTCATAAAGCATAAATCATCTCAGACTGCTTTCTTAAACATGACAATGAGTTCACTGTACTCAAATGGCCTCCACAGTCCAATAGAGCACCTTTGGGATGTGGTGGACCAGGAAATTGGCATCTTGAAAGTGCAGCCCACAAATCTGCAGTAACTGCGTGATGCTATCATGTCAACATGGAGCGAAATCTCTGAGGAATATTTGCAGTATCTTGTTAAATCTATGCTATGAAGGATTAAGGCAGTTCTGTGAATAGGTGATTAGGCTATAGGTGAATTGGATATGCTAAAAATTAGCGAAAAGTATAAGTGTGAATGAGTGTGTATGGGTGTTTCCCAGTACTGGGTTGTGGCTGGAAGGGCATCTGCTGCGTAAAACATGTGCTAGATAAGTTGGTGGTTCGAAAATTAAATGAATGAATGAACTGTTCACTCATGAAGCAGTAAACTTCCAATTGCTTAATCAAAGAGTGCAGATGAAAAAAATACAATACAAATAGCCCCTTTCACACAGTGATACTGGTAAATATCTGGAAAATTTCCGGAACGACTTTACCGGTATATTCAAAAACGCGCTGTTCACACAGGCGAGGACGTTACGGAAATTTTCCAGAAAAGACCGTTCATACATCCATTCCAAAATATCGGTAAATTCTGACATCATTTACCACAAATGAGCCTTAAACGGCAGCGCTTGTGTTTGTAAACATTTGACTACATCACAAACTCTGTGGATGATCAGTATTGTGAACAACTTCGATGAAAACATATGGAGGATCACTTTCGCATGTCGAGATGTTCATAATATGTGCGTTTCACAAGCACACGCAAAGCTTGAAGGTAAATTAACAGTGGCTTATCATAAGCATCTTATCAATAATTATTTACACAGTTGGCATTAAGAAGAACATATAAACGTTATCTGACTAATTTCTAGCAGCTAAATGCGTCTGGGAAAATATTCAAAGGCTTTCATTCTCAAAAACCGTGCGGACGTAAATGCGTCTGACTGTTCTGATTGGCTAAAGCAGACGTCTCACGTCAAGATGTTCTAGACGTGGACGCGCTCTTTCCGGCAATCTTCCTTCTGCGTTTACATTCCGGAGCATTCCGGCAAACTACCGGTAATGTTACAACTTCTCTTTCTGCAAAATAGCCAGAACGAACTTACCGGTATTTTCAAAAAGGGTCTGTTCACACATACAACCTTTCCGGAAATTGCCGGTAATTTTCCGGAAAGGTCTGTATGTGTGAAAGGGGCTAACAAGATCACACTGCAGCCACATGAAAACTTAACTCAACATTAATTTAGATGGTTATTTCTTGCACATTTAGTAGGATCATATATTATGAATGCAAAAAGAAGTTTCAAGCTCTTTATCCATAAGCATAGCTCTTTTAAAACCTTAAGAAACCACACTAAAAATTCAAGCACTTGTTCACTTTAAATGAGTAATACAAGTTACTTTGGAATACAAGCTAAAAAAGACGACTTACCAAGTATCACAAATGATAAAGATAATAATGTAGACTGGACTCGTACCTTCAGAACACACAAAGCACCAGCTGACGTTGATGTGTTCGTGGTTTTTGCAGCCTTTGCGTGGTGTGAAGTGGTTCGGGCAGAGAAAGCTGTTATTGGCTAAAGGAACGCTGCCCGCTGCCATACAGTAGTCATTGGCATGGTAGGCCACAGGGCAGCGCACGCAGCGGGTCAAGCGGCCTGTGGGATTTCAGACAGAAAAATCAACTGATGGTTAGAAACTGTGTTCGTGCATATCAGTGTGTTTTAAAGGGCCATGAAACCCCCTCGTTTCAGCAGTGTGTTTTCACACCTCTACTTTGGAAAAAGTCATAAAAGTGGGCGTGTCCAGCTCTGTTTAGGGGGGAGTGTCGGAGGAAGAAAAGAGGCTTGGTGTGGGAGTGTCTATTTGGGTGCGCTGAGTTTCAGAGTCAAAACACAACCACAGCGGACAAAGTGACTGTGTTTACATGGACATCTGTAGTCGAATTATTTGCCAAATTATTAAATGGTGGACTTTAACTGCAGTTTGGCTCTTTCATTCAGGGAATTCATTCATGTCCCTCCCGACAAACGTGATATTTGATTCGAGGAACTGCTCTAAGCGTGTATTTTTCATGCAACGTTTGATACCGCACGGAGAATGAGAGAAAAAAAACTCAGCATTTCCCGGAAACTTAGATGCACACAGCAGGTAGCGTCAGAAAGCCGGTCACAAAATCCAACACGAGGTTAGTTGTAACTGTTAGTGCTAACTATTGCACTCGGTGCAATAGTTTGTTTGATACGAATAAAATACGAACTGAATAAACAAAGAGCACTGGACGCTCACTTACCAAATCTGTAGAGACAGGACAATCACCAGCAACTAGAGCCGCGTCTTTATTAAGAGAAGACTACAAGCGAATCCGGGTCTCAGCGTTTGCAGATGAGAACAGCTCTCAGGTAAACAATAATCCTCCTTAGACACGTAAGTTATTGTTGTCGCGCGTCGCGTACACTGTTAATCCACACGTGACTCCAGCTGCGCTCTCACAGAGAGAAAATGAAAACAAAACTTAACTGCAGCAAACTATAAAAGCAACACTTCACGCTTGTTTTGCCAACACAACGTGGCGTCTCTGACATCTAAACACTGTGACAGTAATGAATATTAATGAAGTTGCAGAATAGAGCGCGCTGATTGGTTTGAACCAAGCCTTACTCATGCATTAATGCAGCACACTGTAAGACGTAATAAGACTCACTCTGGCACAGACGCCCAGTCTGCACGCTGGAATACACGCTATTATGTCATGACCGTGACGCAGCTTCAAAAATTCGTTTCAAACAGGAAGTACGAATTTGCTTGAAATAACGCAAAAACAACCAATTTACACTTTTTAGTGAAATATAGGTGTCTTAATAGTGTTTTTAGCAGTGTGGGACACATATACGACTGTCAACAGCTCAAAAAATGTGTTTTGGTGTTTCGTGACCCTTTAAAGAGCAGGTCATATGGTGTTATTTGCAGCTTGTAACAGTACTGTTATTTAACCCTTGTGTGCTGTAGGGGATGTTTTCATTGACTCTGGGGTGATTTTGCGTCTTAATTTGGCCATAGCTTTCTCAGTGCTTCAGCTAATGGAATGATGTTTGGTCATAGATCTTATTTCGATGCATATTTTGTGAAAAAGCTTTGAAAATGTGACAAAAATCCAACAATAGAGCAAGGGTGTTTCTTTGGTGACATCGCTTTGACTCACATGCTGAAAATGGCAGACGTGAAAAAACAAACTGAGGATGTGGTAATGCGCACCTGTCAATCAATATCAGTGGGCGGGGGGGGCCGCACTCCTACGTCAAGTTGCGGTCGCTCTAAAAACCGCTCTAATTGGTCCACTGTTTTTATGTTGTTAAATTAAAAAAAGGGAATGTTTATATCACCCCAATATGACGGTCTATACACTTTAACTACACACATGTCTGTCCAAACAGCTTGAAAAGTAGATTTTTCACCATAGGTGTCCTTTAAGTATTTAAGATGCCGATGACCGTTAAACACATCATAACAGTCTTGTGAAAAGGCTCCATAAAACAGCGGTTTTATGCAACGTCTGAATGCCACTCACCTTTGGAGATGCCGGGGTTGTTGGGGTTTGTGATGTAGCAGGACAGACAGACGTGGATGGAGCAGCGGAAGCCGCGATTCTGTGCGACGGTGGGGGAATATTTTAATATGCAATCCATGTGATAAAACTTCCCACACACAGGGATCATACACCGCCTGACCTCCTTGTCAGGCTTTTTACACACAAAACATGTGTGCACACCTAGAGGATTGAAAGGGAAAAGAAGTTCATTTTGTTTTTAATTAATGTCAAAATACATTTTGTGGGTGACTGATATATCTTTTTTGGGTTTATTTCCCCCCTTAGAGCAAACATTGATCCTCTTATGCAGCATTGAAACATTGAGAGCATAAGCTGTAAGCTGTCAGTCACTTTCCAGCTCAACCAATAGCAAGAGTTAGGGGTGTGGCTACAGCAGCATCAGGCTGAGCCAGAGATTGTTCCAACCAGTCATGGAGAAAAATAAACTATTCACATTTTATAATAAGATTGTATTAGTTAATGTATTACTAACATGAACAAACAATGAACAATACATTTATTACAGTATTTGTTCATGTTTGTAAATGAAAGTTAACTCATGTTAAGTCATGATGCATTAACTACAGAGTTCATACACTTTTTAATTACTAAAATTCCATGATTTTTCCAAGACTCTCAAGTAAATATTCATGACCGAATGCTTCATGCAATGTCGTGGTAAAAAACAATGCATATTAATATTTACTACAGCATATCGTAAAACACGCAACAATCTATTTAGTTTTATATTATATTGATAAATCATTCATTTTCTTTTCAGCTTAGTTTCTTTATTAATTAGGGGTTGCCGCAGCGGAATGAACCGCCAACTTTTCCAGCATATGTTTTACACAGCGGATGCCCTTCCAGCTGCAACCCATCACTGGGAAACATCCATACACACTTATTCACACACATACACTATGGACAATTTAGCTTAACACGATTCACCTATAGCGCATGTGTTTGGACTGTGGGGGAAACCGGAGCACCCGAAGGAAACCCACACGATCACTGGGAGAACATGCAAACTCCACACAGAAATGCCAAATGACCCGGGTGAGGCTCGAACCAGCGAACTTGTTGCTGTGAGGCGGTTGTGCCACTGTGACAACCAATTTATATTTATATCTATGTAAAATGTATTTAGATAATGCATACACTGCACTAATAATGTGAGAGTATGTAATAGGCCAAGGACAGAAATTAATTAAAGACAACTAACCTATATTTAAGTATGCACATATCAGTTTTCCTCGACTTTCCATGCCATGTCAAAATTCCAAGGCTTTTTTTAGGTTTTCCATGACCCTATGAACCTGTAACTAATGTTAACAAGCATGCTGGGAGGCACAGTGGCTCAGTGCGGTTACCACAGTGGCCTTACAGCAAGAAGGTTGCTGGTTCGAGTCCCAGCTGGGTCAGTTGGCATTTCTGTGTGGAGTTTGCATGTTCTCCCCATGTTGGCGTGGGTTTCCTCCGGGTGCTTTAGTTTCCCCCACAGTCCAAACACATGCGCTATAGGTGAATTGGATGAACTAGATTGGCCGTCGTGGATGAGTGTGTGTGAATGTAAGAGTGTATGGGTGTTTCCCAGTACTGGGTTGCGGTTGGAAGGGCATTCGCTACATAAAACATATGCTGGAATAGTTGGCGGTTCATAGTTGGAATAGTTGGCGGTTCATTCCGCTGTGGTGACCCATGATAAGTTGAAAGAAAATGAATTAATGAAATATTAGTTTTTTTTTATTTTCTTACTGAATGTCGATGTAAAGTAATTTCATTCTGCGTTACATCTACTGTGATGTTCTAAATGACAAAAATAAAGGAAGCTGAACTGAAACTTTAAAAAAAAAGCATAAGCATCACCACGTTTTTTGGCACAAGCTGAGGATGGATGACAATCCTAGCTGCTGGTTTGCAGGTTTCTTACCCATCTTGCACTCCTGGCAGATGAAGCGTCCTTTAGGAGTCTCTGTGAGGCCGATGCACTGCAGATGAAAAGCTCCACAGCACTGACCCTCACACAGCAGCAGCTCTCCGGTCTTCTCACACACCTACAGACAAACACACTCACAATCTAATACACACAATACACAGTGTCTTTTTCACAATAGAGAGGTTAAAAGCCACATGAACCGGAAGCTGTGCCTGCTTTTTTCGTTCGTAATGTGATTCAGTTTGTAGAGAAATAGAATATTGAATGAGAAAACAGTGGGCGTGGCTTGTTTTCTTCTACTGTGAGCTGTTTGGATGTAGTAAAGTTCATTCATAAAAATCTGGAAAAGGGTTTAGGGAGAGGTATTACAACCTAACAGACTCCTCCTGCTCGCAGTTTCTGTTTGTTATCAAAACTGACAGCTGGAAGGGCGTGGTTAAGTATGTTAGCCCTGCATTTCATGCATCCATGTGAAATCCCTGAACAGAAATGCCACCATGTTCACATCTAGCCAATATTGAGAATATAATGAACTGCTTACCAATGGTATAATAATTTACATCAGTATTATATTATTAAAGCTGTGCATTATTTGCTTATAACTATAGTCATATAATTTAACATACTTATTTTTTTTAAGTAAATGTAACCACTTACAATGAATTTATTTAACCTCCTAGGGCTTAGTGGCCACATACGTGGACAGCACATTTAGCTCTGTTTTATATTTTGTTACAGACATACAGTGTCATCCTGCAACTGTTTTGCTGCATATGAAATATCCAAAACCCTTTTTTAACTGTCCAAAATGAGCAAAAAAAAAATTATGTCTTACTGGTAGTCAAAACATGTTCAAAAATATGTGTGTATGTGTTATTAATGCATTAAAAAAACAGTGAGAAAAAAAACTGCTGTGTTCAAGGCAGATATAAAGGGCCCTATCATACACACGGCGCAATGCGGCGCAAGGCGCAACACTATTGTTGTTTGTTAGTTTCATCTTACCGCAAGAGTCGTTTTGCCCCACGCTGTTTAAATAGCAGATGCATTTGCACTCATATGTCTAAAAAAGGGGGCGCGTTGCTATTTTGAGGAAATTAAATAGACTGTTCAAAAGACCAGATCGAAGCAGGTTTATAATGCAACTCAGAGCGCGTTATTGCTTAATACAATCAGGATGTACAGCAATATACAAATATCTTTACAAATGAAAAAGAATTAAAATATTTAAAAAATTATTATTTTCTAGCATACATAAATATAAAAACCACCGCCTCCGTGCCTACATCTCACGATTTGCTTTTGTATAATGTTATCATTATTAGCAGTATTATTTATTATATCCATATTTATATTAGTTTTTTTTATTAAAAACAAGACTTGTCCACCTGTCCGGTTTTAGACCATATAGTGCACAGCATGTGTATTTAGATATTACTTAGTTCATTATTATTATTGTTCATTTATTGTTTGCTGAAAATTAGAACTGAATTTAAAAATAGTTTTGAAACAAATCCTTGCGTTTAACAAACTAAATTAATTATGTATAGGCTAAAGGATGTCTGTGCGTACAACATGTTTTCTTATCTACGAAAGAGAGTGAAAGTGAAAGTAAAGAATGAGGAGACTCATCTCTCGCTCTGTGTGTGTGTGTGCGTGAGAGAGAAAGAAAGAGAGAGAGAGAGAGAGAGAGAGAGAGAGAGAGAGAGAGAGAGAAAGAGAGTGGTGCGGTGCGTCTCTCTCGCGCTCTCTGTGTGTGTGTGTGTGTCCCACGCAGATCTCAAATACGAACAAGACAAACAGGTGACCTCAAACCTTAGGTTGCATATACGGTATTCAGTTTCTGAATGATTTAGGCACAAGCCAACAGTTTAGTGACGCTGTCTGAGCCTTACGTCTTATATTTTTATTATGCACAGTAATACCGGATACCGTGGTAAAATAGGGAGGAGGTTTGACGGTATCAAAATTTGGATACCGCCCAAGCCTAGAGCGCATGCTTTCATTCATCAATTTCTATGGCGTCTCTCATAGCTTGGTGACCGTTCTCTCACAGGATGATAAACGAACAAATCATTGCTGCAGCTCTGATACAAGTTTATGGAGAAAAGTAAAAAGCACTGCAGTGTTTGGGTGCGCTGTGTTTGTCTGAGGTAATTAGTCGACCGTTATTACTGAAATGTGTATATTCCATACAAAGTGTGAAGCAGATTGGTGCGCTGAATTGCGGTGCGCTCGGGACATTCGGAAAAGTCTAGATGTGTTTTTAGTAGGTGCACCTGGAAAATGCGCGTGGTTCACATGCACGCTGCTTGCACAACATGTGCACGTTGCTCCCATATGTGCGTCGTGCAAGTCGAGTGCCTCCACTGAAAATGACAAACACCCAAAGCGTATTGGCATTTCTTCCAAGGCGCACGCTCAGCAGCCACATTTAAATAAAACTATAGCCTTTATACAGAAACTACATATCGAATCTTTTTTATTATCGATATTGACAATGGTGTTCGGTCAATAAATAGCGATATCAATTTTATCACCCAGCCCTAATCACACTTGATATAAACAGTCTGCAGAAACACTTTGATAGACATTCTCCCTCTGTATGTGTCATCAAATGGGGAAAGCCCCGCCCAATAGTGACCATCTCTCCCTCATTAACATAGGACGTTAGTCTTGTTATTGAATCTGCCACTATGCTGACACACAGGTAATTGCAGCTCCGCCCCCTTTTGAAAACATCACAATCTCATTTGAATTTAAAGCAACAGTCACAAAAATTAGGATGAAAGGGCCATGAAACCCCCCGTTTCAGCAGGATGTTTTCACACCTCTACTTTGGAAAAAGTCAGGAAAGTGGGTGTGCCTAGCTTTGTTTGGGTGGGAGTGTTGGGGGAGGGAAAATGGGCAAGGTTTGAATAAAAATGGGAGTTGCCATTTGGGCACGCACTTCTGACCGAGTACAAACAAACACACACGCAGGGGAGAGAGTGTGTTTAATGACGGTGGGATGTTTGATACCTCACGTCGTATAAAAGAAAAAAGCCTCAGCATTTCTCTGTAACTCAGATACACTCAGGAGGTCAGAAAGCCGTGTGTGTGTAGACCAATGACTGTAAAAAATATGGACGACGCGACAGCCCTTTTTCCCATTGAACGCCTTGAGGGCAAAACGCCTGCTTGACGGGCACAAACTGTTGCAAAAGACTGCTGAAATTGGAGCCAGACATGCGCAGAAGGATTGTCTGATGGAGCCAGAGGAGGAGCTGCGAAAATGAGCGGAGTCGAGCTTCCAACCAAACGCTTTATGTAAAATCAACTACGCCCCCCGAACTTCTCAGCATGCGTTTGCTGTCATATCAACACAAATGGATGTAATAACGTTAACAAATATGAGGGTTTTATATATTCAATCGCGCCAGCTCCAGGCCGCAACACATAACTTACTCGCGGCGTCGCGGGCTGATTCCGGCTCGCATGCGGCAGTGCCTGCTCGCTCGGCCGCCGCATCTGGCTTGATTGACTCGGGCTGGAATTGGGTAGTGAGTCCAGGCATCCGGAGTAGGTCCAGCAGAGGTAACATTAGTCAGTCTGAGCTCTAAGAGATAAGTCTCCGGCAGGCGAGAATCTAGCCGGAACTGTGTTTTGCTATCTGGGTGGCTAGGCATGTATCAGCAAACTAATAAAGCCCGAAAAAAGCCCTGAACTTAGCGAATAAACAGTGTTCCACCAGGATCATGTATGTCAGAAACTATAGTTTACTGCTGAACTCATTTTGTCATGGTAAAATAACACAGAAATCGAATAATAACACTTCAGTCTCCTGCCGAAGCTCAGACGCGCTGCTTTGAGAAACTGTCAATCACAGCTGTCAATCACGATGACACGCCCAGCATTAAATTACTGCTAAAAACAAACTGTTTACAAAAATGAAGATCTGCACCTATTTCAGCACAATAACCAGTGCCTTAATCCACCAGAACTATCTTTCGGGACATTTTATTGCAAGTGTAATATTTTTTTTTATTTGGGCTCAAGTCTCCTTCATTAACACGGAGGAGGCGGGCTTTATGACTTGTACTGCAGCCAGCCCCCAGGGGGCGATCTAACGGCCGAAACCTTCACTCAAACGTAGGCTTGCGGCACACTTGGTGTAGACTATCCTGTCACAAAATGCAGCGAAAATTCAACACGACGGTCGGCAATAGTTTGCTTACAGTGTTCACGTGTTTACACTCAGAGAGCAGCATTTACAACTTTCAATATTGTAGTGATATTAACGTACTGTAAACTAAGTAACTTAGAAATCATTTTGACTAAGGTCTGTCTGTAAACACTGAAAGAGTACAGCTGACCATACCAACTATAACTTTGCCATCGAAATGAACAAAGAAAGTGCGCTGATCACACACTTACTGCATCTGTAGACAGGACAATCAACACATACTGGAGCTGCGTCTTTTTTAAAGGAGACGAGCAGCAAATCCGGATCTCACCATTGATGAGAAATGCTCTCGAGTAAAAAATGTTCCAAACAAATGCATTTCTGCCGCGCGCCACGTCTACAGATCCACGCGTGAGTCTAGCAGCGTCTCATAGAGAGAAAATGAAACAAAACCTTCACATTATGAAAGCAACACTGGCGACCCGTATCTCCAAACAATTCTTATTCTTTTCCCACAACTTTTGGCAACACGACGTGTGTCGTCTCTCTGCCGTCTGAACACTGTTTCAGGTACAGTCTAAGAAAGCTAGCATGCATATTAATGAAGTTGCAGCACATTCATAATAGAGCGCGCTGATTGGTTTGAACCAAGCCTTACTCATGAATGAATGCAATGCACTCAGAGACGCAATACGGGACGCCTTGGTACAGACGTCCAGTCTGCACGCTGGAATACACGCTATTATTTCATGACCGTGACGCAGCTTCAAAAATTCGTTTCAAACCGGAAGTACGAATTTACTTGAAATAACGCAAAAACAACCAATTTACACTTTTTAGTGAAATATAGGTGTCGTAATAGTGTTTTTAGCAGTGTGGGACACATATACCACTGTCAACAGCTCAAAACATGTGTTTTGGTGTTTCGTGACCCTTTAAAGCCTAAAGGGTCAGTTTCAGAGAGTTACTCTGAAACTGACCCTTGTGTGTGTGTGTGTGAAGTTTCAACTCAAAATACCACACAAAGACACACACTAGGGACATCAGAGACTTATTTTACATCTTATACCAGTGTTCTAGAGAAATTATTTTGTCTCTCAAAATGGTTTTAATGTTCTTCTTCCAACATTTACTTTATGTAGTCATTTTACCTGGCAGACATTCTCCTTCAGCGATGCCCCTCCGCCTCTCTCCACGGATCTTTTATTGGTCGAGAGTCCAGACAAATCACCAGATAATGAATCTCTGCTGGAAAACGCACTGTCATTGAGTCCTGCAGCAAAACCCTAAAACAATCAAACACAAAAAGCAATTATAACACATATTGTAAGTGTCTCTCTGCAGCACTTGATGATAACAGCAGGCGAATAAAGACCTCAGAGATCAGCGAGTCTTCGTTGTTAATCTGAGGTTTAGATGGACTGCTCTGCTCTCCTTCAACCGGGATCTGACTCACACTGGGAACATCCGGCTGGATCGGGGAAGACGTTCGTAGTTCACCCTCACTTTGTGCTGTAAATGAGGTAAACAGAAACAGTAACGCTTGAATTAAGGGATCAATTCTTACTATTACCAACCTAGTCGGTTCCTAATTTAATGCATTTGTTATTTTTACGTAAATGAATTATATTTTTACAATAGTGTATCTGACTACTTACATAAAATGCACATAAATATAAATCACTCAAAATCTGTATAATCAATTTTCGAAAGAAGGCATGCAAATGCAGAAACTTTTTCACATTTGAATATCAAATATGATGCTGTACGCATCATATGGGTGAAAAAAGAGATAAAAAAAGATTCTCTTTTTTTCTGTGCTGCATCTATATAAAATTAAAAAGACCAATTTTTGCTGAGTAAAAATAAAAAAGTGCATAATTAAGATCTGTTTATCTATGTGCATTTTTGTTGTATAACATGTCTTTATTGAGTTTTTTCAAGATTTTACAATAATTCAAACATCAATACCGAAAACTTACCCTAGACAGGCTTAGGGGGAAAAAACTGATTTAATAATAATCCTTATTTAAAAAAAAATTATAAAAATAATTTTATAGTAAATTAATTAATAAATAATAATAATATTAATAATAATAATAAAATAATGATAATAATAAATAAATAAAAATAAAAAATAATTCTAATCAAGCACCAATTAACATTCCACAATTTCAGTCCTCCGAAGCTTCTTCAATATCTCAGTTTTTTACAAAGTTCAAAAACACCTCCCAGATATCACAAAATTCAGAGGATTTTTTTCCCCTATTATATATGTGAGCTTTTCAAGAGCCAAGCATGTAATAAGGTTTATCTGTGTGCATTTTTAAAAAGACATTAAATGGCACAAATAGCGCCGCAAACATTAAGAAAAAAATAATTCAATAACTAATTTTAACAAAATCCTAGACTGACAAGATTCTTATTAGCTGCATGCTTATTATTGAGATCTTGATTAAGATATAATCTTAATTGATTATTAAGATATATATTAGGATATTTATAATTGAAGAGTTTAATGCAAATGCAAATGCCGCTAAACGCCACATCCGCCAAAACTGAGATAATGACATTGAGTGAATGCTTTAGGCATGTACAACACCATCAACAAATAGTTTTGCTTCAAATCATCCAAATCCCAGGGTCAGCTCATTCAGAAATAACAGTTTGTTGGCAAAAGCCTCTAAACGCCACCTGCCTTTGACAGCAAAAGCTGCTATATCCCGAGAACCAATCAGAAGACACGAATCTAATCATGTTTTCAATGTAGCAGCGCACTGATACGCCGGCTTTTATGAGGAGATGTTTTACTCCGCTTCCGATGTTAAAAGTCAGAGTTTGATGAACTGGATGAGCCTGTCCCACTGTCAGTGAATAGCAAATGTTCCTTACCTCAAAACTCTGTGCATTATAAGCGAAAGAAAACACAATGTGCAGTCGGAAGTGTAGCATGCATTCATAACGTGTTTTTGCTCAGTGACGCTATGAATGAGTCTGATTTACTATAGCTAGATTAAACAGTAACTCCAATTTCACGAAAGACTAAGCTAAAATGCTGATTTTTATCCTTCATGTTAATTTAAGAACTTAAAGGGTCACGAAACACCAAAACACATGTTTTGAGCTGTTGACAGTCGTATATGTGTCCCACACTGCTAAAAACACTATTAGGACACCTATATTTCACTAAAAAGTGTAAATTGGTTGTTTTTGCGTTATTTCAAGCAAATTCGTACTTCCGGTTTAAAACAAATTTTTGAAGCTGCGTCACGGCCATGACATATTAGCGTGTATTCCAGCGTGCAGACTGGACGTCTGTGCCAGAGTGTGTCTTATTACGTCTTACAGTGTGTTGCATTAATGCATGAGTAAGGCTTGGTTCAAACCAATCAGAGCGCTCTATTGTGCAACTTCATTAATATTCATTACTGTCACAGTGTTTAGACGACAGAGACGCCACGTTGTGTTGGCAAAACAAACGCGAAGTGTTGCTTTTATAGTTTGCTCCAGTGAAGTTTTGTTTTCATTTTCTCTCTGTGAGAGCGCAGCTGGAGTCACGTGTGGATTAACAGTGTACCCAACGCTCGACAACAATAACTTACGTGTCTAAGGAGTAACATTGTTTACCTGAGAGCTGTTCTCATCTGCAAACGCTGAGACCCGGATTCGCTTGTAGTCTTCTCTTAATAAAGACGCGGCTCTAGTTGCTGGTGATTGTCCTGTCTCTACAGATTTGGTAAGTGAGCGACCAGTGCTCTTTGTTTATTCAGTTCGTACTTTATTCGTATCAAACAAACTATTGCACTGAGTGTAAACAAGTTTGCACTACAACTAAACTATAACCTCGTGTTGGATTTTGTGACCGGAATAACCCACGCTGCTTTCTAACACTACCTGCCGTGTGCATCTGAGTTTCTGGGAAATGCTGAGTTTTTTTTCTCTCATTCTCCGTGCGCTATCAAACATTGCATGAAAAATACACGCTTAGAGCAGTTCCTCGAATCAAATATCTCGTTTGTCGCGAGGGACATGAATGAATTCCCTGAATGAAAGAGCCAAACTGCAGTTAAAGTCCACCATTTAATAATTTGGCAAATAATTTGACTACAGATGTCCATGTAAACACAGTCACATTGTCCGCTGTGGTTGTGTGTTTTGACTCTGAAATTCAGCGCGCCCAAATAGACACTCCCACACCATGCCTCTTTTCTTCCTCCGACACTCCCCCCTAAACAGAGCTGGACACGCCCACTTTTCTGACTTTTTCCAAAGTAGAGGTGTGAAAACACCCTGCTGAAACGAGGGGGTTTCATGGCCCTTTAAGTATGGTGAGAACGACAGCTTCTAAAATTGTCTGAGAGGCATCCCTTTTTGCGCAGTAGGCCAACCTTGTGTTTTATTTGCCAATTTAAGCTATTTTTTAAAAGATAAAAATAATATATAAAATTATAATTATTTATATTACTTTATAATACCTACATATCTGATAAGCTTTTAATATTAATGCTCAATGCACAGATATTGATCACAATGTTTTTACACTGCATTTAGTTTGCAATGTTTACATCGCTCTACTTACATTAAATCTAAATCCTAAATATCAGAAATGACAACAGATTGTTCAGATTTAATTAATGTCAGTTTTTAATGTTATTGATTAATGCGCTTACTTGACAGATTTCATTCATTCAATTTCCTTCTGCTTTGTCCCTGGTTCATTAGAGGTTGCCACAGCGGAATGAACCGCCACTTACTTGACAGATTTATGTATTTTTAGGTGGTTTGTGTAATGTGTTTAATGTTTGATTAAATAATTTTGTAATTGCTTCTGTAGTGATTTTTCAACTAATTACACTGTCTTGGAGGATTTAGATGTTTTCCATAAAAAGCAGAAGTAAATTTAGCTGGTTTTGACACAAAAGAAAATCTACCTTGTTAAAAACCAAACAATTGTCTAAAGTGACATTTATGAAAAAAAGCTATTTAATTTACTCGCTAATAACCTTGTCATTACCTATAAAATGAAACTGCTGAACCTTATCAGAGGAGCCTGATAGAAAATGCTCATTTACAAAAAAGCGGCCAGATGGATTTAGTTGGTTTTGCATCTGAACTCTTCACTTATAAAGCACATATTCTGCATGATCTTATTCTACAATGCTAATCCTAACAATATCTAAACCTAACCACTACCTTACCAACTATTATTAAGCATTAAATGATGCATTTATTTAGTTACAATAAATTGTGACAACAGAAATAAACATTATTGCAACTGTTTTGGAAAAAAATATGGTGGTGAATCATTTATGTAAAGTGGTTATAAAACTTAGGCACCACTTATTTTGTCCCACACTAAATCATAACGTGTGATGTAGAATATAAAATACAAATATGGAAACGTTGTTTTGGTGCACTTTTTAACAAATATCTCATAAAGTGTTTATTACTAATGATTGGATAGACTAAATTGCATCTTAAAAGCTTGTATAACAAAGCCTTATTTTTACATTGTTTAAGCCATTTTGTGTGTACAACTTAACAAATCCAAGTCAGAATAAAATAACAAGAGTTACATATGAGAAAACAAACCTGATACAGCACATGGGCTTGATGGTGGAGGTCCAGCCTCTTCCTGTTTCTGAAAAAACAACAACAACAACAGGAACATTGCTTAACTATTATTTAGCTTTGCTTAGCAATGATTAGCTTAATTGCTTTGTTTTAATAACAGTGGTATTTCCTAATAGATTCATGATACTTTTAACAACTCACTTTATTTATTACTAAAGCTGTAGTAAAAAATATGCTGTAAAGATGGTGCACAGAATCAATTCTGTGTCAATTTGGAGATTTTTGTTACTGTTTATAAATGTAGCCTTGAGCAGTGTTTCTCAACTGGTGGGTCGCGATCCAAAAGTGGGTCGCAGGAACATTTTCAGTGGGTCACGGAGTGTGTGGTCAAAAAAAACAACAAAAATAAAAATTTGTACTTATTTTGCTTATACCGGACTTTTATTTTGTAATGCGTGCGCGACAACCCCACCGTTTGACATGTGAAATTTCATTTAATTGTTGCAACAAATTTGCCGAATCGCAAGTATGACCCTGAATATGTAAAGTAAGAATATATATATTGACGACAAAAAAGACAAAGCCTCAGTGTGATATGTAGTGAGGTGCACTCATAAGAGAGCATGAAACCTTTGAAATTAAAACAACATTTAGAAACCAGAAAACTTGTTTTATTAAGTTTATTATTAACTGTATTTGTCGTGTTTACTTTGTAATATTTCTATAATTTGATCCATTTTGTTAAAAGACAGCAATAAAATATTGTTTATTTGTAAGTCTTGGTAAATTTCTTATGATGTATCTGTCACTACTTGTGTATGTTAACAAATAAATACAAATTAATTATAATTCCTAAAATTGTATTATAGTTTCTAAAAATTTGGGTCGCAGCTTGATGACCATGTAAAAATGTGGGTCCCATGGCCAAACCAGTTGAGAACCCCTGGCCTAGAGTGTCATCTACAATTAAAAAGTAGACTAGTGCGCCATCTACTGTTAAAAAACCATCTACTGTTAAAAACAGGCCTAGAAAGCCACCTACCGTTAAAAACTAGCCTAGAGTGCATCTTCTGTTTAAAACTAAAATAAATTAATTTTGTTAAAATGAATGTAGCTTAGAGTTCCATACGCTGGTAAAAACTAGCCTAGAATGACATCTACAGTAAAAAAGTACCCTAGAACGCCATCTACTGTAAAAAGGTAGCCTAAATGGCCATCTACTGTTAAGAAAATGTAGCCTAGAGCATCATGTACAATTATAAACTAGCCTAGAGCTCCATGCACTGTTAAAAACTAGCCTAGACTGCCATCTATTGTCGAAAACTAGCCTTTAGCGGCATCTACTGTTAAAAAGTAGCCTAGAGAACCATCTACTGTTAAAAACTAGCTTTAAAAGCCTTCTACAGTTAAAAACTAGCCCAGAGGACCATCTGATGTTAAAAACTAGCCTAGACTGCCATCTACTGTTAAAAAGTAGCTTACAGCGCCATCTAAAGTTGAAAACTAGCCTAGAACGCCATCTACAGTTAAAAACTAGCCTAGAGCACCATCTACTGTTAAAAACAAGCCTAGAGCGCCACCAAATGTTAAAAAGTAACCAAGAGGACCATCTGATGTTAAAAACTAGCCTAGGACGCCATCTACTGTTAAAAACTAGCCGAGCGCCATCTACTGTTAAAAACTAGCCTAGAGAACCATCCGATGTTAAAAACTAGCCACGAAAGCCATCTGAGGTTAAAAACTAGTCTAGAGCACCATCTACTGTAAAAACTAGCCTTGAGTGCCATCTATTGTTAAAAACTAGCCTAGAGAACCATCTGCTGTTAAAAACTAGCCACGAAAGCCATCTGAGGTTAAAAACTAGTCTAGAGCAAAATCTACTATTAAAAACTAGCCTAGAGAACATCTGCTATTAAAATCTAGCCACGAAAGCCATCTGAGTTTAAAAACCAGCCTAGAGCGCCATCTACTGTTGAAAACTAGTCTAGAGAACCATCTGCTGTTAAAAACTAGCCACGAAAGCCATCTACTGTTAAAAACTAGCCTAGAGTGCCATCTACTGTTGAAAACTAGCCTAGAGAACCATCTGCTGTTAAAAACTAGCCACGAAAGCCATCTACTGTTAAAACCTAGCCTAGAGCGCCATCTACTGTTGAAAACTAGCCTAGAGAACCATCTGCTGTTAAAAACTAGCCAAAAAGCCATCTACAGTTAAAAACTAGCAAAGAGCGCCATTTATTGTTAAAAACTAGCCACGAACACCATCTACAGTTAGAAACAAGCCTAGAACGACATCTATTGTTAAAAAGTTGCCTTGAGCGCCATCCGCTGTTAAAAAATAGCCTAGAGCTCCATCTACTGTTAAAAAATAGCCTAGAGCGCCATCTACTGTTAAAAACTAGCCTAGAGCGCCTTCTACTGTTAAAAACTAGTCTAGATCGCCATCTACTGTTAAAAACTAGCCTAGAAAACCATCTGCAGTTAAAAACTAGCCACGAAAGCCATCTACTGTTAAAAACAAGCCTAGAACGCCATCTACAGTTAAAAACTAGTCTAGAGCGCCATCTACTGTTAAAAACTAGCCTTGAGCGCCATCTACTGTTAAAAACTAGCCTTGAGCGCCATCTGCTGTTAAAAACTAGCCTTTAGCGCCATCTGCTGTTTAAAAGTAGCCTAGAGCACAATCTGGTGTTAACAACTAGCCTAGAGAGCATATTCTGTTTAAAACTAGCTTAGAGCACCATTTGCTGTTGAAAACTAGCCTTGAGCTCTATCGGCAGTTAGCTAGCCTAGAGCGATGTCTTTTGTTAAAAAACTAGCCTAAAGCGCCATATGCTGTTAAAAACTAGCCTAAAGCATCACCTGCTGATAAAAAGTAGGCTAGAACGCCATCTACTGTTAAAAAAAAGTAGTCAAGAGTGTGTTTTCAGTTTAAAGCTCAGAATTAATTTCTCAAACTCGCCACAGCTCTATTAATTCCTATAATACTACCATTAAACAAACACATTCCACATACTGAACATCACGAAACATTACCTCCAGATCTCTGACACCCGATTCCTCTGGGTTCGTTTTGTGTTGTCTACTCTCCTGATTTAAAAATAAAAATATATAACATTAAAATACATGGTAAATCCTTAAAAACATTTCACATATGCAGACCACACACACTCACCCCTTTCTTTGGGATCTTAACAGACTCCCCTTCAATAGCGCAGTCTAGAACTTTATGCACAGACTTCCGTGGCCTCTTTCTTTCCAAAGGAGCTGCAAGTGCAATATAAATCAGGTTTATACATTCAGCTGACAATTACAAGTACAGTAAGCCATCCTAAACAACCCGTTCTCACCAGATTTCTTCTCACACGGCTCTGTCTCTAATGATGTTGCACAGGATGGAGATTTTGGTGCTGAAGGAGGAACGAGAACATCTGCAGGGGGTTTCTGCTCTTCTGCTACGACATGATCAAGGGGTTTTTCAGCTGAAGAGCTTGAAACAGCATCAAGTGTGATCTGGTCTGATGCCGGCTGTTCAGGAGTAGTGTTAGAGATACAAGATCCCTTCAGGAAAGACATGAGAGGATTTAATGTATGCGCTCACCTCAAGATTTGGTTACCCATATGCATGGCCATACACGAAGTTAACGTACTACTGAATATGCTGTTCTCTTATTTACACCGTCTAAACCAGCAGTTCTCAATCCTGGTCCTCACCGGTCTAAATGATGGGATGATCATGTAGCTTACCGTTTTACAGGACTCTGTGGATTTCTTAGTTTTCTTCTTCGAGGGAAAAATTTGTTCATATTCTTCCCCGCACTCAATCAGCCTCTTGCTTGGCTTTCGAAGTCTTTTGTTTTCTGAGAAGACAACAATTTAATTAAGTATAATGGTTATATTTCTAAAGATCTTTGCATTTTCATCCACAATTTTCGGAAGTTAAAACATAAATTCGACATAAAATTTTGATTGGGTTCGATTTTTTTTGTTTTTTTGCACCAGTAAAAAAAGCATTTTGAGAGATACCTGACAAAAGTCTTATCGCCAAAAAAGTTGTAGGAGGAACAAATAATAACTCAATTTCTAGTTGATCATCTAGTATTAAGCGTGGCTTATGTGAATGACAAAAGGCCTCTAGATTACACTTATTTTACCAAAATAATACATGATCATGCCTTTGCTTAGACTAAAGTCTCGTCACTGAACAGAAATAATGTCAAGTATAGAATATAAAGTCCTGCTGCAGTGGAAACAGAATGAATATTGTGTCTGACTCCATCATGAGCTTGGAGGACTGCATCCATACATCTCTGACATGACTCAAATCACTGATTAATAAAGTCATCTGGAATGGCGAAGAAAGCGTTCTTGCAGGACTCCCAGAGTTCATCAAGATCCTTTGGATTCATTTTCAACGCCTCCATTGTATTCCAGACATCCTCAATAATGTTCATGCCTGATGACTGGGCTGGCCAATCCTGGAGCACCTTGACCTTCTTTGCTTTCAGGAGCTTTGATGTGGAGGCTGAAGTATGAGGAGCAGCGCTATCCTGCTGGAGAATTTGCCGTCTCCTGTGGTTTGTAATGTAATGGGCAGCACTCTGCAGATCTCTCGCACACCCCCATACTGAATGTAACCACAAACCAAGATTTCTGTGAGAATCTTGTGTCCATGTGGGTTCCAGTAGGTCTTCTGCAGTATTTGTGATGATTGTGATGCAGATCAACAGATGAGTCATCTGAAAAATCCACCTTCTGACACTTTTCCAAGTGATCAACTAGAAGTCGAGTTATTATTTTTTGCATTTACAACTGAGATCAATGACAAGAGTTTTGTCAGGTGGGTTAAAATTATGTAATTTAAATTTAATGTATAAAGCTGACCCAATGTTGTGGTTGACCCAACATTCAGATAGGGATTCAAAAAAAAAAAAAAAGAGAAAGAAAATATCTTCAGATTGCAAAGACTTCATTGATTATTCAATTTTTCAGGACTTACCTGAAGCATCTTTTTTATTCGGGACGTCAGAGTGAGCCGATTCCTGAAGACCGTCTTTGAAGACTCCATTGGGCTCTGTGGACACACTCTTCACCTCATCTAGAGTCGAATCAACCTGATCGCTCTTTGGCTTGATGCTTTTCCCAAGTTCCGACTCGAATGTTTTCCAGCGCTTTTTAGGAGCAACCTTGGAGATGGTTCCCTTAGCGCAAACATCAGTAACCGCAGCAGAAACATCACTAGACTTTGGAAGATCTCCTAACAAAGGCAAACTCTTGTCAAGTACATCCAAACCTACAGGTGAGATTGGTTTCTTTAACGGAGAGACTGAATCTATAACAACGTCAGGCTTTTGACTTTCCTTTTTCACTGTTGATTTCAGCTTAGCTTTGCTTTGCTTTGAGTTGTTCGGTGTTGATGTTTTTCCAGGCAAGCTGCTTTGCTCTGCAAACTCCTTTTCACAAAGCACCTCATTTGGTGGCTCTTCTCCAACAGGGATGAGTGAAGGTTCTTCCTTTATTAACGAAGACGGAGATGTTGGAGGAAGAGTTAAAGGTTTCCCTTCCTTCTCCCGGCTGTCATGCAAATCCTTCAAGAGCATCAGGAAAGTACTGAATTTGTAGTTCGAATCGGCACGGAGCGGAGATTCTCCAGAGCTGCATTCCTCTTTAACAAGAGATCTAAATGAAAGCTCCTTGATGTCTTGAAAAGCGTCCATTGGAGAGATCGAAGGAGATGGGATGGATGAAGACGAGGTGTCTGAGAACATGCTTTCATTATTTACTTTAGATTCAGATTCCTCGTGTGATTTAGGCGGAGGATCTTTGTGAATGCCATTTTTTTGGGGCCGTTTTTTAATTCTTTTAATTGAAGTTGGGTTTGGAGGGGAGTCGGAGGCATCCACTGATTCTTCACTAGACTCGCTGTTATTTTTTACCTCCCAATTTTGTTTGGATAACTCATGGTTTGTTTGGGACGAGTGTTCAGAACTTGGCGAGTGAGAATTTGGCTCGTGGCTTAAGTCTTTTTCCTTGGTTTCTTCCCCGGCGGCGAGTGCTCTCACAATTAAGCCACTGCTGGCAGGCAGATAGTGAGAGTGCATGGCAAAAGAGCCATCCGACGAGCCCGGGGAACTGCTTTCCTTCAGTCTGGAGCTTGTAGCTTTAAGTGTTTTGTCTTTGGGCGTTGACTTCTTTAGCTTACTGTTCTTCAAGCATTTTACATCAGTTTTCTTCCCCGGTTTGTCCACGCTGTTCTTGCTCGTCTTCTTACATGCTTGTACTTTTGTAGTTTTAGTGCTCAACTCTTTCTCCAGCTCCACCTGCAGCGATTCGTCGATACGTTTTGAACACAGAATCCTCGGTACAGAGTCGATATCTGAATACGGACTATCTAGCGGGTCTGTGGCTATGGATGGTTTGTCTGATGAAGGGTTTGATTTGGATTTAAATAATGAAGGGGTCTCGCTTAATTTGATTGATTGAGATTGGATCATCTTTTTAGTTGCCTTCTTTTTGCTTGCAGTGCCGGGTTTTAGTCTGTTCTTAACGGATGCATTGAGTCCATTGGACAAAAGTGAGCTTGATGGTGTGGACAGTGTTGTAGACTTTGGACAAGCAGGGTTTTTTTTGTGTGCCTTGTCTTCTGTAATTGGCACGCACACATCCTGGATTAAAGTCAATGGAGGTTCGCTGTTTAACTGTTTGGTTAATGATGCCTCTGCCTCCAAGACACTAGCTTTCCACGATGGAATTAGACGCTTGGGAACCTGCAGAACAAATATATTTTATTATGTTACGTTTATGCAATAAAAATAAATAACTAAATAAATAATCAAGATAGAGTGTAAAAAAGGTAATAAGATGCATTTTTTAACTCTTTAAACTAATTAAACACTTTACATTATTCGAAAGAAAAGGCGTTCAGATGAATTCAAAAACATTAGGGCTGTAACGATACACCAAACCCACGATTCGATTCGTATCACAATTTTTGACCCACGATTCGATTCGTATCACGATTTTTTTTTCGTGTGGGGTGGGGAAAAAAAGATTTTTAAAACTATTTTTTATTAAATAGAATTATATCATTTTTGTTTTCTTTGTAACAAAATACTTTTGAAAAAACAAACCGAACTAAACTCCATTTTGTAGATGGTTCAAGCATGTTAAAAATTCTTTTTCAATCAAGTTCTCTTACATAGAAAAAGTCAATTAAATGGCTACTAGGGATGCTCATTTCGGTTAATTTTGCTAACAGACAACCGCCGCTCATTAATCGGTTATTATAATAACGGTTAACTGGTCAGATTACTATTAATTTTATATTAAACAAATTGACGTGTCTATTTTGTGTCTGACACATTAAATATTGCATTTTAAAATAGGCTACTGATTTATTTTTAAAGCATATTAATAACAGAACAGAACAACAGAGCATCTTCACGCACCTGCAGTGTTTAGCACAGAAGAGCAGAATAATTTAAATAAAATGAATAAAATAAATAGGACTGCCCTAAATTATTTTCATTTAAATAACTAATTTATATTACAAAACGAAAATACTGACTGATTCTTTTTAACAACCGGCATAGACTGTTTTTTTCCAGTCATGTTTTTTCTTCCGTCAAATAAAAATCGCAGACTTCCTCAAATCGCTCGCTCCACGGAAAAAAATACGCATTTATTTAATGCCCCGCTGTTATTATTATTATAACAAAACCTTTTACATTTTAATAGAAATCCTTATTTTAAAGAATAAGTCCTGATGGTTTCCTCTCTCTCCCTCGCGGTTCAAGTGCGCGTGCTGCATGATGAAAAGACAACAACAACGCACGCATATGTAGACTTTTTGTAAACAGTTTTGTTGTTTAAATATGCTATTGCATTAATGTGCATACATGCTTTATAAGCCGAAAACAAGGCGCATCTCACTGCCTTTATGTTGACAAGGAGAAAAGAAGAGAAGCGCGGTCCTCTTATGAAACGACTGAATCAGCTGGGTATCGATTGTGCATAAGTGTTGCTGTCTGTGTTGTTACAATTGTAATATTTAATGCTACTGTTATATTCAAGATTTGTACATTCATACAGCTCTGGATAACTTAGAACAGCGATTAGACCTTCAGAGCGGCATGCGTCCTGAAGTAAAGCGAAACGGCTATAAATTTCCAGCAAGATAGAGTGATTATAACCAGAGTCATATACCTTTATCTCTAAATAAAGTATAACTATAGAAACTGTGTTCATCTTAACTGAAAGCTTCGTCCTGTTTCCTGGCCTCACGCATCGCGCTGTCAGTCAGCACGTAACGTTAACTCTCAAAGGTTCAAACAGAAAGCGCACAGCAAGGTTACAGAAAAGTTTCCTCTGCAGAGGAGTCGGGGCATCTGGTGAACGCCCATCCCTCTCTGCGCAGCCACATTAACAACAATGCTTTGACAGCACTGGCAATGTTTCTGCCATTGTCTGTTGTCAAGAGGGGTTAAGTTGGTTTTGTTTTTGATATTCCTGACACATTCAGACAGTCCCTTACTAAGAGCTCCGTGCGAGCTCTCCCGGTTAAACGCTAATTGCGAGGGCTTAAACGGAGCAGTGCTCGTAATGTTGAGCGGAAAAAAAGTGTTTCCTCACGTTCTTCTTCAACTAGCTCAACTTTTGCAGGTACGCGTGACGTTATTGGAAAGGTAGTCACGGGGTGTGTCGCGATTCTCCCTTATCACACCGCGACACAGGATCGTAGATCTGAGTGTCGCGATTTCGATTTTATATCGTGTATCGTTACAGCCCTAAAAAACATGCACCACAATGATCTGTTTGATATTTTTTGTTTCTTTCATTGTGACATGCTGAATAGTGCAGTTATTTTCTTTGTTAGCATTACATCAGTAGTAATATGTTATTACTGTAAATTTTATGCATAAACAGTCATTTTTAATCTAAATCATCTTGACGTTTTGAGTCACCTCTAACGCCCTATTCACACAGGGCTTCAGCGTCAACGCTTTATCTGAAGTTGGGGCTGAAGCAATCGTCATAGCAGCGTCAGCCAATGAAATTCAGTCAGCAATAAGTCACTGTCTAGCTGGTGTATTTGCATAGAGCGATCTGATTGGCTGACGCTTCCATTGGCGCTTGAAAAGTTGAGCTAGTCCCAACATCTGCAGTGAGCAACACCTCTGAAGCGGCGCGGACGGATCCACAATGCAGTTCGGCAACGCCTGACGTCACCCATCCAAAGTGAATGGGAAGTGTTTACGCTGAGGCCCGTGTGAATGGGGCGTAAGGCCCAATCCCAATTGTATTTGTTTACCCCTACCCCTTCCCCTACCACTTCCTCTTCGAAATGGGATTCAAAATGGGACAGCAGTAAAACACCTGCACACATCATCATATGTCATCGTGAGCTCTGGTTTCATATGAGATCAGATGATGACGACTGCTGAAGTTATTCCAGTTGCATTATTTTTCGGTATTTATCTTCAGGACATCACTGAAGGCATATAACATGTTATCTTAACGATATAACACAGCAATAAGCTCGTAACTGTACTGTGCATTTACACCGTGCCCATATTCATCTATGCAAACACACCAAAACAACATTAACATTAGAGCAGACACTGTAAAAGCTCATTGCTAAACACTAGACTTTTCTGACAGGGTTTTCGAATGTCATCGAGTGCCTGAATGTTGTGGGACTGCTATACAGGAGTTATTATTAGGGATTATAGATCGCCAAATTTAGCGGTTTTTATTTTTGTGTTTGTTTTTTAAGCATGACGGTAAAACAACAAGGTTTTGAATGTATTAAAACACGTGCTTGTTAGTTGTAAAATTTCATAATAATGACAAAAAATACTAATTTGTGCATCTCCTGACTTCCGTGTGCAGCCATGCTGCCATTGTAGTGCCATTCTGTTTCAAGGGCTATCTACCCCTTCCCCTTAGCCCAATGCCTTCAAGCCAAAGAGAATTGGGACACCCCTAAGCCTTCACGTGAACGCACAAAATGAGGGTGTAGGGGTAAAACCTGGTTTTATACTTCTGCGTTGAGTGATTGGCATGACCCACGGAGCATGCAAATCGCATTGTCGTGCATTCGTTTATGTTCCTCTGTGTCGTTTTTTTCTAAACTATACCTTAATATACAAGTAGCTCAAACTCGCTCATTTTGAGGTGGAAACCAATGGACATGCAACAACTTTAATCATAAGGGAAACACAGAACAACCGTTTACATCTTGAGCACTTTCATGAGACTCCGACACTTGTAAACACTCGCTCCAACAAGCTCGCGCAGCTCTTGCCCCTGCGCACACTCGTTAGCACTACCAAGCCGACCAATCACAGAGATTGTGCTATGCGCCACTGCAACGTGTAGTTACATTTTTTGAGAGGTGCGCATCAGCGTTGGCAATGGTCACGCAAGGGCTATGTGACCACACGCAGGCTGTGCAAGAGCAAACGTGTACGTTTGACGCAGAAGTATAAATCAGCCTTAAGGGTAAGGGATGAGGGGTAGAATTGGGATTGAACCTAAATCTGAATGTTTACATCTTGGCTAAGAAATACCTGGCATTTTTATTACTATTATTTATGAGCATATAAAAAGTTTAAGATGAGGCTATATAAGATTAATTTACTTTATATAATATTTTACCAATTAATACAATATTTACCAATCTTTTGCATAATTTATGCGTCTTTTCTGCAAATATATTTGACAAGTGCTTGACCACATCATGTGCAAAATTATTTTATTTAACCTTAGAACAATAAAGAAACTTAAATAGACGCCAATTTGATGTTAAATATCTACATTTATTTACTTAGCTGATGTTTTTATCTAACAAGAAAAGATAGCGATATACAAATGCCACGATAAGACAAGTTTTTTTTTAATAGAGTAAAGCATACCTGCCAACACTCCTGCTTTTCTCGCGAGTATTTCACACCCATCTCCTCTTCTGTAAATGTGCAGTAAACTACTGTAATTGTACGGCCAAATTTAGTTACGAAAAATCACTTTTTGTCCATGTTGGTCGAGTTGCCAGATTTTGAATGAAGCTCATCACCTCACACAACTGATGAAATATTCTCAAATCTCAATCTCAAAGCATTTTTTAACTCAATCTGGCAACATATGTTTTAATCCCAATTCTTTTAACGTCAGTAGTAGACTACCAATCCCGATATTCAAAGACTAATGTTGGCAGCTATGGTAATGGGGTGTATTTGGAAAGAGTCTGGTGCGTATGGAGAGGAAAGAGTGCATCTTCTACAGGTTGTTTGTCACACTCAGAGTTACACAATGTTTAAGGGTGCAGTAGGTGATCTTCCACAATGCTAACAGCTTAGCATAAATCTCTGAATCACCGTCCCTCCCCTGCCGTCTAGAGCCACGCCTCCTTAAACACGAGCACAGCAAAAGAACCCACTCTCATGTGTTAAAAGCAACTAGTGCTTGTCCGGCGGCGTGCAAGGCAAACTGACATGCGATTTCAGAGCGAATATTTAGAGTTGCATGGTAAACAATATAGCAGGGGTGGCCAACCCTGTTCCTGGAGAGCCGCTTTCCTGCAGATTTCAGTTGCTACCCATATCAAACACACCTGAACCAATTAATTAGGACCTGAACACCACGTGATAATTACAGGCAGGTGTGTTTGATATGGGTTGCAACTAAAATCTGCAGGAAGGCGGCTCTCCGGGAACAGGGTTGGCCACCCCTGCAATATAGGGAGAGACTAGGCGGAATAGCGGTATTTACTTGTGCTTTGTTGTTAAACTAATTAAAATCTACATCATTGATGCTGTAATAGGTCCCTTATGAAACTGAAAATAGTCTCATTAATCTTTCACCGGAAGATTTTTTTAGCTGAACAACACTTCTGTAAAGATATAACTTATTTGTAACAACAACGTCTAACTTTACATCAGCTTTGCGTGAAGCTAAATTAGTTTTGAAACACAACATTACCCGTCTAAGAGAAATCCTTCAGACATGGTGTCATCCGTTCTCCAGCGTGCAAAGGTAACTCCAATATTGATTCAGGTTTTTAAAAAGTTTTGATTCAGCAGGTTTTTACCGATCACGCGCGTGTGCTCTCTCTCGTGACTGAAAATAAAAGGCTGCGCAGTTGTTTAAATCTGCATTTGCTGACAGATTGGGCTACTTATTGGAATTATGCGAGATGTCTGTCCGACTCGATTTAATTGGATGAACATTTTTTAGTTTTATGCCTTACCCAAAATATAAAAATACATATAAATACATTTAGATCATTTAGTGTAATCATTACTATTGGACTGTGAAGAGACTTTCAACCAGCACAACAAAAAATACTTTTGAAGAATCACCTACTGCACCTTTAATTTATAGCAGCTATATAGGGACACACACCAAAAGCCATAATAGCAAAAGCTTTACCGTGTACTTGTAATCCTTCTCCTTCTGTCTTCCTCTCCGTCTCAGCACCGGGAGTTTTTCAAACTGATCACCTCCTTCAAAAGGAAAAGTGGCTTTCGCCGGGACCCATGCTTGGTCCACGATCTCCCCAAACATCCGGACAAAATAGAGGCGGCATGGCCGACGACTGGGATCTGCAAGAAAAAATGCCATCAGTCTGTGAAATAATTGCAATAATGTATTCTAATATATATCATTATTATTATTTTTTTGTTAGTGGATGGGTTAACACTAGTGCTCCACAATAACAATGTTAAAATATAATGATGACGGAATAAGTTGTGCTGGGACCTAAATGCTGTCTTAGGGCGTACTCACACTATGTACAGCTGCTTTTAACCGGGTTAAAGCACACTTGTCCCTCCTCCCCCAACGACCCGCACTCACATTACATTCGGGCCTGAGCACGCTTACGTCATCGATGATGTATTCAGTAAACGCTCTCGCTCAGCACAGTGGAGATTTCTTTAGTTATATTGTTTAAATCAGTGGTCCCCAACCACCGGAACAATTAATACAAGGCCACATAAGAAATCATAAATTATTTCTGTAGAAAATATTCCCCCCGCGACTTGGTTTCTTCCACTCACCCCTGCCATCTCACGTGAAATGGACTATGCCAAAATCCACCACGGAGCAGGAAGAACAGAATATAGCTCAGTGGTGGTTGTTGATAAAGTTATAAAACAGGTATTATAGAGTCCAAATCAGCAGAGCATTTAAGGATTGTGCATATAACGTTATGTGTGCGTGCATCGCTAAGTAAGTACTCAAAATCATTGCAATATGTATCTATATGGAGTTTCACATAATCATACTCATTAGGGCTGTAACATGCCAATGCATACATTTAATTCGGCTATACGGTTGTATTATTGTTAACATGTTCGTCAGTTGAAATGTTTGGCCCAGATGTTATGTATTTGATGCATATAAAGCTTGATTGAAACATAATCAGACCGCGATAGTGCAACTGGCGCATGCGCACTGACTTTTTCATGATTAACCTGGATGCACGAGCGCAGCAGCTGTGTTCACGTGAAGACCCCCCCTCACACCTCACCGGTCCGTTGTAAAATTGACAACCGTTGACCGGTCTGCGGTGATAAAAAGGTTGGGGACCACTGGTTTGAGTAGTTTGATATGCAGTGACACGCAGTCAAATATTTCGTCGAACAGATCCAAGACTTTTGACGCACATAAACGATCATAAAGTCCTCGTGCTGCAGGAATTAGGAGGTTTGCTGAAGGTGCATCGGTCGTGCAGTGAGGGGTTTGCGTCTTTAATAATCTACGAGAGTTTGCGTTCATGAACAGTAAAGCCTGGTTTATACTTCTGCGTCAAGTGACCGGCGCAACTCACGGCGCAGGCAACGCGCCTGGCTGTGCATTTATACTTCTGCGCGCTGTCTCCGTTGGTCTGCATTAACACTTCCGAAACGCTAGTGGGCAGTGAGGTGTAAATGTTCCTCTGTGTCGAGTTTCTTCGCTTCTGTTTTGCTTTTCCTGAACACTTCCAGGATGTACAAGTGACTCAAACTCGCTCATTTTGAGGCAGGAACCGGCGGACGTGCAACAACTTTAACCATGAGGTAAACACAGAACAAAACTTTCCATCTGGAGCTCCTTCACGAGACTCCACACTTGTAAACAATCGCTCGCGCCATTTGCGCGGTTCACGGTCCCGCCCAGACTCGTCGGCGCTAGCAAGCCAACCAATCACAGAGCTTGCGCTACGCGTTGTTGCGACGTGTAGTTACAATTTTTGAGAGGTGCACGTCAGTGACGGCGACGGCCACGGCGATGGGCTATGCGTCAGCGCCGTAGCATACGCCGGTGTTTGACGCAGAAGTATAAATCAGCCTTAAGAATGATGAACAAATCCATATGAAACAGCCCCTTAAAAGTCACGTCACGGGCTCTGGCGCGCTTTGCACTTACACTACAAGCATACCGCGCCTGAGCCCAAGTGATCCGCGCTCTGGCCAACATCTTTCAACTGGGCCAGGGCCGGCCAAGCGATCCGTGCCTGAGCTCGATTCAGAGCACTCACACTTCTCAAAAGATCCGGGAAACGGGCCTGGGTACGATACGGATAGCATAGTGTGAGTAGGCCCTTAGGTTATTAATCAAAGGTGTTCTCTGTCACTGTTTGTTCTGCATAATTAAACATTAAAAGATTGTGATTTTAATTCAGAGCCACGCAACATGAATGATAATCATTTACATATGTTTATTAATGCTTCAAAGCACTGCATTCAAATCTGCGTTTGATCAAGAGAGAGTTTGAGTTTTTACACTTTTTCGGTTAGTTACAAACAATTAAATAACACAGAAGTTCTGGGAGAACAGTTTATAGTTCAGACATAAACACTGAGGTTTATGGTAAAGATTGAAATCACCGTTTAATAGAACTTGACGCTCGTGAATGTTGTAGCAATTACATTGTGTAACCAATGGGGGGCGACAAACAACCATCAAAATTATGTCACTAAATAGGTTTTCCAAAATGATTATTTTTATTGGTGTCAATGGTTTTTGCAGTAATATTTTTGTGTAAATGGAAAGCAAATGACATTTTTCTCCGCCTTTGCTGATCCAAAACATGGTCTGACCTCTGACTCAAAAACCGTAGTGTGAACCGAACCATGACATTTATGATACACAACTACATAGCATTAAAGGTTACTTACGTTCTCTTGTATTATGTATAGGTGTGTTGGTGTTTGTAGTGTGTGTGTGTGTGTGTGTGTGTGTGTGTGTATACATACAGTTGAAGTCAGAATTATTGGCCCTCTTTGAATTTTTGGTCTTTTTTAAATATTTCCCAAATGATGTTTAACAGAGCAAGGAAATTTTCACAGTATGTCTGATGATTTTTTTTCTTCTGGAGAAAGTCTTATTTGTTTTATTTCAGCTAGAATAAAAGCAGTTTTTAATTTTTTAAAACCATTTTATGGTCAAAATTATTAAGCTATATATTTTTTGATAGTCTACAGAACAAACCATCGTTATACAATAACTTGCCTAATTACCCTAACCTGCCTAGTTAACCTAATTAACCTAGTTAAGCCTTTAAATGTCACTTTAAGCTGTACAGAAGTGTCTTGAAAAATATCTAGTCAAATATAGCTAAGTGTCATCATGGCAAAGACAAAATAAATCAGCTATTAGAAATGAGTTATTGAAACTATTATGATTAGAAATGTGTTGAAGAAATCACAATTATAAATAACACAAAACATAAACATGTTGATGTTCTGACGGTGATTCCTATGTAGAAAGCCACGGCATCATGTGAAAACAACCGGTTTGCTTTGAAAAACCTTTATACTTTAAAACCCTACGAATGACTGAAATCATCAGCAGATGTTCAGATTCTGATTAGGGCTCCATTTGATTGGTTAAATTTGCATAAACAACCTATGCATACAAAACACAAATGATTGGCACAAGGGATGCACAATTTATGGTTTCAGCATCGCAATGTCTGTGTTCGCAATAGTCACAGGTTATGCAATGTTGAGTTGAGATTATTATTGATCAGCACCACCAAATAATAACTACAACAGAGTTAAAGTTAATCGTTGGCATGTGTTTTAAAGGCATTTCAAGAGCATTTGGGCACAAAAAGTACAACATTTGTAAATTTAATGTAGAATAATCTTACTAAAATATTAATACAAGGACGACTACACAGTGTTGTTTTACATTTGGCATTTAATTGTTCAATTTCTGTACTAAAATACTTGATTATAATTAATCATAAAGCATAATGTAAGCTACCACCTCAATGCTGATGATACTCAGCTTTACTTCCCCATAAAAATGGGAGAAAATTCTGTTTTACAGCCTTTTTTTACCTGTTTTAATGAGATTAAGGAATGGCTGGCTGGTAATTTTTTACACTTAAATGAATCAAAAACTGAAGTACTAGTGTTTGGTTCTCTGAGTGTCTGTAAATCTACAATTAATCAATTAGGTTCGATCAAGCCTAAGGTCCACAGTCACGTAAAAAATCTTGGAGCTACTTTTGACACTGAGTTAAAGTTCGACAAGCAAATAAACTCAGTCGTCAAAAGTGGTTTCTATCAATTAAGGAACATTGCCAAACTGAAGCGTTTTCTTTTTTTTAAAGAGCTGGAAACTGTCATTAATGTTTTTATTATGTCCAGATTGGACTACTGTAACTCTTTGTATTCAGGAGTTTCACAGGCATCAATAGCACGCCTGCAGCTGGTTCAAAATGCAGCTGCTAGGCTTTTAACTGGGACAAAAAAAATTCTAGTATCTCACCAGTTTTATCATCTCTTCACTGGCTCCCAGTCCAATTTAGAATTCAATATAAGTTATTGCAACTTGTTTTTAAGAGTTTGAATAGTCTGGCACCTATTTACATCTCTGAGCTTCTTCACTGGCACACTTCATTGAGGCCAATCAGGTCCGAAAACACGTTTCAGCTAGTTGTCCCCAAAACACGGTTGAAATCAAGAGGTGACAGGGCTTTTTCTGCTGTGGAATGGTCTGCCTTTACATATCAGGTCATGTTCTTCACTTGGTGCTTTTAAGTCTCATCTAAAAAATCACCTTCTGTCTCTTGCCTTTGATTGTAATTAATTAATTTTAATCTGTTTTATATATTTTGCTTAATTTTTATATATAGGTATAGATTTTGTATGCTGGTCTTTTTGTAAAGCACTTTGGTCAACATCTGTTGTTTTTAAATGTGCTCTATAAAAAAAGCTAACAACAAACAAACAAACAAACAAATAGAGCTATTTAAGTCATCTGGTGAAATTGTATTCATATCGCAATATATAATAGCAGAAAAACAAAATATCGCAATGCCAGATTTTTTCCAATTCTCGTGCAGCCCTACTCGGCACATAAAATGAATTTTATCTATCACATCTTTCTGCGACGCAGATATTGCATATACTAATATCGCAAATAAAGATAATGTTTAAACATATTGTGCAGACACTAATGAACAGACAGCAAAAAATATAATAATAAAACAGCAATTACTATATTCATGGTCTCAATATCATGTCTAAATATCACATCAGATGGACCAAATATTTGGATTAAAATCGAAATAAATCACCTTTCATTTTGGTGTGGACGTCAATCTGTGGGTCAGTGGTTACATGACAGGGCCACCAGGGTCTGCGGTTGAATTTGGCCCACACAACATCCCCAATAGAGTACTTGACACTGAGAAGCTGCTTCTTCTTTGGGCTGCTGGACTGCAGATGAAAACACAAACATGTCATTACCAAGATCACCCTTAAAACATCAATGGCAACTGTTAAAAGCACATCAAAAGTACTCTGTTAGCATTTCAGATACCTTCAGAAGTAGCCGTTTGTGGTTACAACTGCCTGCAATGCATGCAAGGGAGGTGTTGTGCATAGTGCTATGGTCGGAGTCCTTACTATGGCATGATTGTGGTCAGATAAGCTCACAAAATGAGTATGAAGCATCAAACACACCCAGACGAGGAAAACAAAAGATTCTAGGTAATGATCCAATGCACTTTTTTAGTTCATCTGGGTTTAGCTTAATAAAAAAAACACAATTATGGTTTATAAGCAGCTGGCCAATACCATCTATTAGTGATGGGTCGTTCGTGAACGATTTGTTCAAATTGAACGAATCTTCAATTTGACTCGGGAACTACGAGTCCTCTCAGGGAGTGATTCGTTCATCCGCGCGTGCGCACAGTTGTGCAGGTGGTATCGTTCATTTTAAGTCTTTTGAGTCGTTCATCACGGAAAGGCAGAAGCCAATCATATGCGTTTAGAGCCGGCAAAAGAATTGATCCGTTCATCTCTCGAGTCCTCTGTCGGGTTTGAGTCATTCGTTCATTCATTCATTTTCTTGTCGGCTTAGTCCCTTTATTAATCTGGGGTCGCCACAGCGGAATGAACCGCCAACTTATCCAGCTAGTTTTTACGCAGCGGATGCCCTTCCAGCCGCAACCCATCTCTGGGAAACATCCACACACACATTCACACACACACTCATACACTACGGAAAATTTATTCCACCCAATTCACCTGTACCGCATGTCTTTGGACTGTGGGGGAAACCGGAGCACCCGGAGGAAACCCACGCGAAGGCAGGGAGAACATGCAAACTCCACACAGAAACGGCAACTGAGCCGAGGATCGAACCAGCAACCCTGCGACCTTCTTGCTGTGAGGCGACAGCACTACCTACTGCACCATTGCCTCGCCCTTGTTTATTTTTAGAAAATGCAATAAGTATATTTTTGTTTGTGTACTGTATATATATGCTGTCAGTTACACTTTATCAGGATATTATATTTTATATTGTTTATTACAGAAAATCAGAATCTCCAAAAAATCTGAGCACTGTGTAAACATTTTGTCAATTAACAACACTTCAAAATGTTATTTAATGAAGCGTCTAATCTTTGTGGCTTTAGGCATTGTTGGGATACTCTTTTAAAGCTGGAAGCATTGACGACTTATATTGAAATATATATCGTTATTGTTCAATATAGAAAATTATTGAGATTGCATTTTTGCCATATTGCCCAGGCCTATGGCAAAGCAATGTTTTAATGAACTCTGTGTTTGCTTTTTAGGCAAACCAGCCAACAAATCACTCGAGTTGCTGAATATTAATCTAAGAGAAAGCATGCAAGCATTATGCAATCATTTCTGTGATGCTTATTAGCATGTTAAACAACATGGATAATGTGGATACATGTTTATTACAGATAATCGACCAGTCATACACTGCCTGACAAAAGTCTTGTCGCCTATCCAAGTTTTAGGAACAACAAGAAATCATTTGAATTCTAGTTGATCATTTGGTATCAGAAGTGGCTTATATGAAAGGTAAAGGCCTCTAGATTACACTTATTTTACCATAATAAAATATGACTTTTTATTATTTCATTAGGACTGTAAGGTCTGACTTTGCTCTGACACAAGTCTTGTCACTGAACAGAAATAATGTCCAGTATAAAATATAAAGTCCTGCTGCAGTGGAGACAGAATGAATATTGTGTCTGACTCCACGTGACTGCATCCATACATCTCTGCACTGACTCAAATCACTAATTAATAAAGTCATCTGGAATGGCAAAGTGTTCTTGCAGGACTCCCAGGGTTCATTAAGATCCTGTGCATTCATCTTCAATGCCTCCTCCATCTTACCCCAGACATCCTCAATAATGTTTATGTCTGATGACTGGGCTGGCCAACCCTGGAGCACCTTGACCTTCTTTGCTTTCAGGAGCTTTGATGTGGAGGCTGAAGTATGAGAAGGAGCGCTCTCCTGCTGGAGAATTTGCCCTCTCCTGTGGTTTGTAATGTAATGGGCAGCACAAATGTCTTGATACCTCAGGCTGTTGATGTTGCCATCCACTCTGCAGATCTCTCACACACCCCCATACTGAATGTAACCCCAAACCATGATTTCTCCTTCACCAAACTTGACTGATTTCTATGAGAATCTTGGGTCTATGCTGGTTCCAGTAGGTCTTGTGCAGTATTTGTGATAATTAGGATGCAGCTCAACAGATGATTCATCAGAAAAATCCACCTTCCGCCACTTGTCCAAATGATCAACTAGAAGTCTAGTTATTATTCGTTGCTCTTACAACTGGGATCCACAACAAGAGTTTTGTCAGGTAGTGTAGATAAAAAAAAATTATATATATATATATATATATATATATATATATATATATATATATATTTTTTTTTTTTTTTTATTTATTTTTTTTTTTTAAGATCTGTATGAGCCGATAACTACACTTAACTGACAGAAAACAAGCGTTCTTTGTTAGAAACATATTTTTTCCTCCATTCATATTTCTTAATTCAAGAGGTAATAAATCTTTACTCTTTTAAACACAAATCATATTTTGAAGAATGTTGGAAACCTGTAACCACTTGTTCCTACTATGGAAGTCATTAGCTATGTTTCCATCCACCTATCTTTATGCACATTTTGGATATGCACATAAAAAAGGGTTGATGGAAACGCCAAGATGCGCATCAATTTTGACAATGCACATTAAGTATATATGCGCATAACTGAGTAGAACAGATGTTTTATTCAATAAGAAAAGATGCGCATAAACTACGATGGAAACACTTTTACCATACAAATTTTAGCACGCGCATTAAAAAAAAAAAATCATGTGATTTTGTTATAAGAGATCATGTGGCGATTAAAATGTGTGTGAATGGACAATCCAGCAGGCTGAGCACACTGTAAAACATCTGAAATGTTGTTTTGGTCTTTCTAAAACTCCTTAACCATCTCAGTTTTCGTGTTATTATATTATTAATGACCTCCAGAATAGTCAAGAGTGTCTGTGCTCCGTGTCTCACACCTTCAAACGCCACCACATGCTCGTTGCGTGTCGGCATTGTTTTCTAAGGCGCAATTATTAATTAAAGATTCATGCAGCTTCTCCTACCTTAAGAAATTCAAAATTTACTTTAGATATTTGGCGGCAGTTAATCAAGAAGTGACAATTTTGCTCTCTTTGACTCGCTGGATGGAAACGCTGCTTTATTTGCGGGTCTTTTATGCGATATGCCAGTTTTGCTCATAAATTTAATTTGCATGTTTGGATGGAAACATAGCTTATGGTAACAGCAGGTTTCCAACATTCTTCTCATAAAGAAACTCATAAAGGTTTGGAACCACTTGAGTGCGAGTAAATGTCCAAGTTTGGCTAATCAATCCCTTTAATTTAATATTACACACAGTGGGGTCCAAAAATCGCATGCTTTCAGGGATGTTGTGTCTATAGACCACTTCAATGTTGTCATGTCCAGGGCCGGAGTGGGACTCCTTTTCAGCCCTGGAGTTTCAAGCCTTAAGGCTGATTTATACTTCTGCGTCAAACGCCAGTGTATGCTACGGCGCTGACGCATAGCCCTTCGCCGTGGCTGTCGGCGTGGCTGACGTGCACCTCTCAAAAATAGTAACTACACATCGCAACGACGCGTAGCGCAAGCTCTGAGATTGGTCGGCTTGGTAGCGCTGACGAGTCTGGGCGGGACCGAGAGCCACGCGAATGGCGCAAGCCTGATGGAGCGATTGTTTACAAGTGTGGAGTCCCGTGAAGGAGCTCCGGATGGAAAGTTTTGTTTAGTGCTTCCCTCATAGTTAAAGTTGTTGCACGTCCGCCGGTTCCTGCCTCAAAATGAGCGAGTTTGAGTCACTTGTACAACCAGGAAGTGTTCAGGAACCGCAAAACAGAAGCGAAGAAACTCGACACAGAGGAACATTTACACCTCACTGCCAACTAGCGTTTCGGAAGTGTTAATAAAGACCAACAGAGACAGCGCGCAGAAGTATAAATGCACAGCCACGCGCGTTGCATGCGCCGTGAGTTACGCCGGTCACTTGACGCAGAAGTATAAACCAGGCTTTATGCTGCGTTCACACCAAAGGCGGATATATATATACATATATATATATATATATATACACATATATATATATATATATATATATATATATATATATATATATATATATATATATATATATATATATATATATATTAAGGGTGTAACGATAGGCGTATTCGTATTGAACCGTTCGGTACGAGACTTTCGGTTCGGTACGTATTGCAATCCGAACACTTCAGAGTCAGACTAATATCCAAGAAGATAAAAGAGATCAAGTACAAGAAAGCCTGCAATGCTTGCCCCGCCTTCAGGCTCTTCTTATTGGCCCACTGCGCTAGAACAGAATGCAAATCCATTGGTCCATATCAGCACATCACTCAGTTCCGATGACAGAAATCTACAGCAGCGAAAAATGCAAAGGTCTGGATACGAGAAAATGAAAACAACACTGGCAGATTTAGTTTTAGAAACCAGCTAAGGTTACAACTAATGATATGATTAGTGATCATGTGCTGAATGTCAATCCAGCGTTTACACTTTTCGAAAAGTGGATAAAAGACTTCCAGTGGTTAAAGTCCGCTATGACTAAAGCATTCACCGTAAAGCCGGTGGTACGGAGTTTTCAAGTAACCGAACCGTGACACCACTGTGTTGCATCGAACCATGATTTTTGTGAACTGTTACACCCCTAATATATATATATATATATATATATATATATATACATACACATATACATATATATACACATATACATATATATACATATATACAGTGTTGGGCAGTAGCGTTACTACTAGCTTAGCTACATTTCTCAGTGTCGTGGCTGTAGCGTCGCTACTTTCTAAATCAAATAGCTTTTCAGTAGCAAAGCTATTTTATCAGTCAAGCCGCGCAGTAGCGTCCACAAAGCTACATTTACCAATCGCGGATCAAAAAGCGACGGCACAGACATTCACAGAGCTGTGAGGCCGGTGTTTGGCTGATGAAAGTAAATCCATACGATAGCAAGCATGATGATTTCTTCTTCTTCCTGTTTTACGGTGGTTGACAACAAACTTTTTGGTGCGTTACTGCCACCTCTGGTCGGTGACGTCGACAACCAAATTAGGCTAACACGAGAAACTTGAGGGAGAGGAGTCATTTCTGAACTGAAGTAGGATTTTTCATGATCATACCTCGAGAAGTACATGTTAAGATGCAATAACTTAATTTCTGATGCTGTGCTCAAAAAATACTTTAGTAATTTATAGTAAGTACTTCTATAAACTACTGCATTATGTAGTGTAATTTATTAATGAAGAGTTGTAAATATATATATATATATATATATATATATATATATATATATATATATATATATATATATATATTTATATATATATATACAAAATGCATAATGCTTATGTCAAAATATTTCCCTTTTCTCTAAATGACTACAGTATTTTAAATGTGTAACCACTGCTTTTATTGGATTTTTAGTTTGTGCTGCTATATACTATAATTTCTTTCTGTTTAGTACAGCATATTATTTACAGTAAATAATTGAACTGAACTATTCAGCCTCATATGTTCATTGACAGTTTTATTGATCACTAAGATATGATCGACTTGGATTTAAGTTGCTTCGATTTAAAAATAAAAATTGCAAAAATAGCTTAGATGTAGCTAAGCTACTTTTGCTAAGTAGCTTTTAGCTTAGCTTGCTACATTTCTCAGGGTGTAGCTTTAGGGTGCGTTCACACCTGTGAATCGATTCAGTTGTTCCGAAACAGAGATTAAAATTGTTACATTGTTGCTCTTTGCTCTTGGAGCGGTTCGCTTTCACACTGCAAAGTTTCCAATCGGACCAAAAGAGCTAAAACAAGTCACGTGCGAGTAAACTCTCCTTACATTGGTCAGAGTGTCAGGGTTTATTTTGCAGCGTCCCGCTCAGCTGTCAGGAGTGGTGGTTTGGTGGTGATTGACAGGGTGCGCGCGCGACGTGTCTGAGGAGAGACACGGTGGGGAGGGGTGAGAAGGGTGCGCGACGATGCCTATTTGAGGACCGGGAGGGAGACGCGAGATTACCGGGAGATCATCACTCGTTTGCGGGCATCCGGAGACTCGCGAAACTTCCCGCCCTACTCATAATTCTCTCTTCATATAGCCGTAAGCCTATTACATATCCATAAAACACTGTAATATAACCGCGCTCGGATCGGATCGCTTTCTCACTGCAATCGAACCGCTCCAGGGTTCGTTTCAATCAAGCCGAGACCACCTCACTCAAGCGATCTCGGAGCGATTACTTTGGCGCGGTACAGAGCGCGATTGCCCTGTTCACATATGCCAATCGAACCGCGCTAACTGGGCAAATGAGATACGTTCCGAAACAAAAGTGTAGGTGTGAAAGCACCCTTAGTGTAGTTAAGCTACATTTTAAGTAGAGTAGCTAATAGCTTAGCTCACTACATTTTTCAAGTAGCTTGCCCAACACTGTATCTGTGTATATGTATATGTATATATGTATGTATGTGTATATATATGTATGTATGTGTATATATATATATATATATATATATATATATATATATATATATATATATATATATATATATATATATATATATATATATATATATATATGACAATGTTGTACACCTGTTAGAGGAAAAACACAACAATAAATGTTTTGAATAATAAACCATCTTACAGGATTTGAATGGGAGTCGCTGGGTGAATGTGCTCTTTTGGAGAGATTGAATATTGACGCGCAGTTCTCAGTGCTGGGCAGATCGCAGTCACTGTCAGAATAATCATCCATACTGTCAAAATCCTCCATCATGGTAAATGGTACATGGAATGGACTCGCTGGAGGGTCCGACTTTGCTGTATTTTTACTACTATGTTTGTTTGCGTCCAACCTGTGGCTGCTCTGAGTTTCTGTTTTAGCCACATTTCGTTTCTGGCATTTCTTTGACGTGTCTTTAAACGTTGCCACCTCTCCCTTGACATCCTCGTCGTTATCCTTGCTGTCGCCGCTGTCAAACAGGGTCGAATCGAAATGCAAAAATCCATTGGAGATCGGAGAAAAGTGTTCCAAGCTATCAGAGCTCACTGGCGAGAAGCCATTCTTGTCCAGATCCTGAATAGCAGTGTTTCCTTGCGAATTGGTTGTGTTATAAAGGCCTATCCCGAACTCGTTCCCACCAATGGGACTGTGCATGAGCAATTTGTTTCGCCCGTGGAAGTCCTTATCCTGCAAACCTCCGTCCGCATGGTTCACCATAGTGGTCAGGTCCTGGAGTCTCCTCAGCGGGCTGTAGTTGGAGGTGGATTCTCTCTGGTTGTACGCAAACGGTGCAGAGAGTTTGTAGCCAGGGTTCAAGAAATGCATGGCAGAGCTTTGGTCGGCCTTGGTGCTCTGCTGTCCACATGAGCCGATTCGGACATCAAGAGCCCTGCTGTCCTGTGGATCTCCACGACACTCCGAGCCATCCCTGCCGGCCACTTTGTAGGACTGATTCATGTTGACATGGCTCCATCCTGACACATTCAAATCAATAGAAAATAGCATTAGGATGCATGATTAGACTAAAGAATTCACATTTAATGTTCTATATTAATCAAACAAACAAGATTTTTTGATGTCTATAACAAGGCAAGCACTGTAGTACTATGAGTAACAGGAAAAAAAACACTACTACTATGTGAAACAGGAAAAACACTGTACTACTGCAAAACACCGCATGCACGTGCATTACATCTTCCTGCTGGTGGACATGCTAGCTAGTTTGTAAGTTGTAACTAACAACAACTGATCTAAAATGTAGCACAAGGTGCTAAGCGTGTATTTTGTAGCAGGTTAACAAGCTAACACCGGCTAAAAATCAGCTAACACGCTCCAAAACACAGCTAGCATCTTAAACTGAGGGTGGCTACTCGGGTTTGAGACGCAAGCTCGTAGGCCGTCTTGTCAAAAAAAACTATCAAGACAAAGATGGAAGAGGTTTAAAACCTCCAAATAAATCGCGATGTCGAGGACACTAAGATATGCCCCTGCTGGACTGCCTGAAGATGACCTCAGCTTGAAAACGCGGCAGAAGTATGAGACATTATCATCATCATGTGCATCAACAGTTCCCATACAGTCAGTCACACAACAGTAAAGTCACCCTCGACGGTCAGATCAAACCCGCAGCAAACAAGCAGCACCACACAAGCTACGTTAGAGAAATCGCCGGTTTCTTACCATTTACGACTCGGTCACGACAGAACCACCGGATAGCCCTTGAAATTCGAGCATGTAGCGTTACTTTTTGTCAATTTGTGAAAGCGGATCTGCAAAATCCCAGCAGCATTTGCACCAGTAGGCCCGACCTCGGCACTCATTTCTCTCTCCAACATCAAAAATGGAGATTCATGAATAAACGAGAATGAAACTGGCCGCCTGTCACTTTCCCCCGATGCATCACGTCAGTGAATCAAAAGCACGTTTTTTGTCAGCGGCCACGATTTCTATTGAAATACATGATTGTTTGCCCCGCTTGCCGAGTGCCCCTGGTTCTGTGTATGTGTGTGTGTGTGTGTTAAAACGAGTGACTGACTGCGTGTGTGAGTGTGTGCTGGGGAGAGCGACCAATCGGCACAGCACACCCAACCCCCAGTCGGTATACATTCACATCCACTTAACCCGATTCACTATTTTCCAGGTACATCTCTTACACTTGCGCTAAATGAGTGCGGGTAATGTGCGCGCAAACGCAAGTTCCTCTTCATAGCTTCAGCGTTCATATGACTGACGCGCGTTGCTTGCATTGAAACCCACACAGCATCCAGCGTTTGCTTTTTAACCCTCACGCCATTTGTTTCCTTGTCCTAACAAAGGCGTAACTTCCTCCATTTTAGAGAGACGGCTCGTGGTTTGCAAGGTAGCCGACAGCTCTGGGTCATATGAGGAGAAAATATTATTTATTTGTCTCGATTAAAGGGAACAGGTTTCTGCGTGCCTCATTTTCTAAGTTGTCTTTGCGGATTTTGTGGGTGGTTAGAAATTAGGCCATGCCACGCATAAGTGTAATATGTCAGGCAGCTATGGCAAGCGGGTTTCACATCTAGCCTATTTATTTGCAGAGCTGACGCCAGAACCACCGACAGGGGGCGATCGCATGAGTGCATATAGTGTCAGACCCATTATTTTCACATTTTATTTGTGATAAAAATGACTAATTTTGTGGTGGTAATTCCCCAAAATTTGCGGACAATTTTGTGATATATATATATATATATATATATATATATATATATATATGTGTGTGTGTGTGTGTGTGTGTGTGTGTGTGGACTAGGCCTTAGTTAAATTAGGCTATTTAAGCCACATTTATAAAAATGGCCTCAGAAAAATATACTACTGGTGTGCACCTGGTGATAAAATATCACACTGTCATATTTTAAGACATCTCACCGCAAGTTATTTTGAGTTCATACAGCTCAAACATGCAATTTAATCTTGACTAGCCTTAAACCTTGATTGTGAAAGCGGGGGAATATGTGCCATCCATGTTATTTTATGAGATATGTTATAGTTAAGGCAATAACTAATGTGTAGATGTCCTTATTTTTGATAGATTGACTGGACACACACACACACACATATATATATATATATATATGAAGAGTTCAGATGCAAAAACCTCTAAATGCCGTCAGAAACTTTCTTCTAAAATGAGCATTTTTATGAGGCTCCAGTGTATAGATTCAGTAATTTCACTTTTATGGCAAAGAATAAGATCTTTTCATGGTCTTCAAAGTAAAATAACTTAACATAAACAAAGGAGGCTGAAAAATAGTGTTCATTTTTTATGTAAATTTCAGACTGCATTTAGAGGTTTTAACACATTTCTAAACATAAGTTTTAATTACGCATCTCTAATATGATATGCATGTAGTGTAGGACTCAGAGCTACAAATATGGAAGGTTCTTTAACCTTTTAAAGTCTGTGTGAAATCAAAACTTACAGCGCTTATGCTGTTTGCATGTATGCATATACTGTCAGACCTCATTGAGTTAGATCCACTAGTTGGATATCAATAGTTGATGATAAATTTATTAATAGTGTGATGCAGAATTGTTTTTAACCACAAAACAATTCCAGCTTCTTCTTTAAAATGGCTGGCCACATATAACATAAATTGGGATGTTACTTGGAATCTTCTACATAAATGTTTGCTAACTAACAAAGTAAAAAAAAAAAAAACATATAAAATATTATGTAGATGTTCAAAGTCAAAGTCAGCTTTATTGTCAATTCAACCACATGTACAGGACATATAGAGAATCGAAATTACGTTACTCTCAGACCCTAGGTGCCTAACATATAATGTTAACACAAAAAGTAGAGTTTTTAAGGAGGAATTTACAATAAATACAATTATACATAAAATGTCATCTAAATATATACCTACAATTTAGTCTAATTATATACATAAACTGTAATCTAAATATATACATAAACTGTAATCTAAAGAATAATAAAAAAAAAAGAAAGAATAAAAATTGTAATCAGTACAATACAATACAATACAAAACATTTGAGGGCATATGGCAATGAGTGCAAACCAGAGTTGTGCAGATAGAACCGTATATAGTGCAAAAAGGCTTGTGAAGTTTGGATCTGCCGATGTTGAGCAAAAATGTTCGACTATATGCACGCTTAAGGACAGATAAACGCGACGTGGACATACAATAACACTGTGGCGTACAAGACGAAGAACACAAAAATAAAGTTTTGTCGGGAGAGAGAGAAGCCACAGCGTGTAGACGCGCCGCCATCTTGCCATGATAAGTTATCCTTGTAATAGCGTACTTATTAAATATATGATAGATATTGAAAACAAATGTACTTTTTGTGATTTGAAAAAAAAACATTGTTCATCTTTTTTGTGAATGTACTTGTGTGATTATTTTGGACAGAACTGTATCTGTCTCTCAGAAAAGACAAATGTTGATATTTGTTTAAATACTTTTGACATCATTTTCTTTTATTACAACTCTAAATCTTGCATTCGGTACATTGCTAATCTTTTTATTATAATGGGTAAGTTTTTTATTCACAACTGCAAATTATTTAGGAAAACAAATCCAGTTCTTTCTATTTCTTAATTGACTAGAAGTCATATATTTTGTCTATTAGTGAGCATAAAAAACAAAAAGTCTTTTTAAAGTAAAAAATGGCTATCAATGTATAACCTTTATTATTTATTAATAACCTTTTAATTATTATTATTGTAATTTTCCTTCTGTGCTCTGTTTTTTATTTTACTTTTTGATTCATTTATTTTTTTATTTGTTAATTTTTTTCTTCTTTTTTCTTTTTTTAAGTTGTATTAAGCAGATTGTTACATCTTAATTTTTTTCTAGTGTTTCAAGTTTCTGCAACCTATTGTTAACTGTTATTGAAGCCAATAATACTATAAAAATAAATAAATTTAAAAAAGACCCACAAATTTTTTTACTACTTTTTTTAAAATGATTGATTTTGTGGTGGTAATTGCAAGAAATCTGCAGATAATTTTGTTATAAAAATTATATATATATATATATAAATCTGGCCAGTAGCCAGCCTATTGAAAGGGGTGGGATTTTTTTCTGAAAAAGTGGATCTTTTTTGCAGTTTTTCGCCTCATGCGAGCTCTAAATACTGAATTTTAGTGATAGTGTAAGCACTAAACTTTGCTGGATTAGCTTGTTGGATGGTGATTTTAACCACACTTTGATATACCAACATTCATTCATTTTCTTGTCGGCTTAGTCCCTTCCTTTATCCGGGGTCGCCACAGCAGAATGAACCGCCAACTTATCCAGCAAGTTTTTATGCAGCGGATGCCCTTCCAGCCACAATGTACCAAAATATTTCCAACAATTTTGTCAAGGTCCTTACCATACCATTTTATCACAAAGTATTTATTGAAAAATTTGGTTTTAAACTGAAAAATAATACCGTTTTATAAAAGTTATGAGGTTAGCATTTGAAATAAAAAATATTTAATAATACTTAGTCCCTTTATAATCTGTGGAATGAACTGCAAATGTTTCCAGCTTATGTTTTTTGCAGCAGATGCCCTTCCAGTTGCAAACCAGTAATGGGAAACATCCATACACTCTCATTCACACACATACACTAAGGCTTAGCTTAGCTTATCTGACACAAATAATAAAAATAAAGCTTCTTTATTTTGGTCTCGTCAAGACAAGATCTAAAACAGATCTAAAATGGTAGGGATTAAACCAAAGGAAGGTTTTATAAATCTTATTTTATTGACACTTATTCAGAAATGATTCCTTGGATTTACTAAATGTTTTTAAATTTTAGTGGTTGTAAACAATTTATTTAGGCTGAATTTAAATAAGCAAATTAAGTTGATCATTGCTAAATTTAATTTGTTCAAATTCAACACACATAAATTGTTACAATTTTGCAGACATTTATTTTTTCACTGTAGGATCTTACATTTTCTTTCTCAGATTTCACTCTCTGTAGCATCTGACATCATGTACCTTACACAAAGGACATGCGTTTGGGCTTCCCCTACCGTGATACACCTTAAACACAGATTGCTGTAAAACTCATCAAAGGCAGGGAAGTGTTTTCTCTTGATAACTTTAGAGAAAGGGTTAAACGAAAATATTTATTGATTTCACAAACACCAAAATACCAGCCATACATTTAAACACAAATAATCACATCCATCAGCCACATCCAGCGGTCATCATCTTTCAACCAGTCTCCATCATTGTAAGCTGTTTGCTTGTCTGTCTGTTCCATTGCTCCATTTGTTAGATGTTTGTTCACACTTTCTTTTGCAGTCTGAACCGCATAAAATTTGCCCAATTTGCGCCACAGGATGTCTACTCACATCTTTGCCTTTACCTTACATGTAAATCACTCGCTCTTCATCCGCGTCTGCTTAGTGCACAGGCTGCAAAACACCACCCCCCCCCCCCCACTCTCTTTCTCTATGTAATGTTAGGATTGTGAGGGTGCAGGTGAGATGTCATTTTCAGAGAGACACTCAAATACATCACGTGCGCTGTATGCAAAGTCTATAAGTCATGTAAAACAATTCATTGCTAACTGAAATAAATATATTTTGATTATATGGTTTGGAATTGGATGCTTAATGAGATAAATCTTTGTTAATAGACCTGCACTATCAACAAAGAAACAAAACACATTTAGGGTTATAAATGTTAAAATGGCTTGCCACATACGTGCGCCAACCTCTATTGTGTCATGAGATAAAATATCATTTGTTTTGAGCATTGATTTTAAGATTGCACATACAAAATTAAGAAGTTGCAATACATTTGCAATACAAAGTATTCTAATATGTTAACTTTATTATTGAGAATTTGCTCACGTTACAGCTTAATACCATACTGTGTGCTTGTAAATTGGTATAAAATCATGACAAACATAGGAGAGGACATGTAGATCTAATCTATCTGCTGTTTCCATATAAATATTCATCATTATAATAGGTCAAGAAAATCTAAGTTACTTTAAAATAGCGACATTTTATTCCTTTATTGTAATACTGTTAAGAAAAAGCAATT